TAGCTGATTGAGGACCTTATTACTGATGAATGTGTTTGTTTATTATGACCGTGTTTTCCTTCTTTCTGCTTGCATTTTGTATTTATTCATTTGATGTGTGTATTTTCTGCAATTCAGGGCTCATCTGTAAAAGACCTGGTCTCAGTATGACTCCCTGATAAAATAAAGGTCAAATAAAATATAAATAAATATCTGTTGCTATACACACCTTTTCTATTCGCATACTGTCAATACACACCATTCACATAAATATACAGTACCAGTCAAAAGGACACACCTACTCATTGAAGGGTTCTTCTTTATTTTTACCATCTTCTACATTGCAGAACAGTGAAGAAATCAAAACTATAAAACAACACACATGGAATCACGCAGCAACCAAAAAAGTGATAAACAAATGTTGAGATTCTTCAAAGTAGCCACCCCCCGCCTTGATGACAGCCCCACACACCTTGGCACTCTCCCAACCAGCCTCACCTGGAATGCTTTTCCAACAGTCTTGAAGGAGTTCCCACATATGCTGAGCACTTGTTGGCTGCTTTTCCTTCACTCTGCGGTCCAACTCATCCCAAACAATCTGAATTGTGTTGAGGTCGGGTGATTGTGGAGGCCAGGACATCTGATGCAGCACTCCATCACTCTCCTTCTTGGTAGAATAGCCCTTACACAGCCTGGAAGGGGTGTTGGGTCATTGTCCTGTTGAAAAACAAATGATAGTCCCACTAAGCCCAAACCAGATGGTATGGTGTATCGCTACAGAATGCTGTGGTAGCCATGCTGGTTAAGTGTGCCTTGAATTCTAAATAAATCACAGACAGTGTCACCAGCAAAGCACCCCTACACCATCACACCTCCTCCTCCATGCTTCATGGTGGGAACCACACATGTGGAGATTATCCGTTCACCTACTCTGCGCCTTACAAAGACACAGCGGTTAAAACAAAAAATCTCAAATTTGGACTCATCAGACCAAAGGACAGATTTCCGCCGGTCTAATGTCCATTGCTCGTGTTTCTTGGCTCAAGCAAGTCTCTTCTTATTATTGGTGTCCTTTAGCAGTGGTTTCTTTGCAGCTGTCACGTTCGCTTAAGGAGGAGGACCAATGCGCAGCGTTGAATGCGTACATATTATTTATTAAACAGATCACCCGATCAAAACAACGAACGAAACGTGAAGTCCTTCGATACACACAAACCAAAAGGAACAAGAAACCACAACACAAAGTGAAAAGACCGATAGTTAAATATGACTCCCAATCAGAGACAACCAGCTGACACTCGTTGCCTCTGATTGGGAGTCACTCAGGCCAACATAGATATACAAAACATAGACTTACACACCCTGGCTCAACATAACATAGTCCCCAGAGCCAGGGCGTGACAGTACCCCCCCCCAAAGGCGCGGACTCCGGCCGCGCCAAACAACCACAACAGGGGAGGGACCGGGTGGGCACTCCGCCTCGGCGGCGGATCCGGCTCCGGACATGACCCAGGCACGGGTTGTGCTGGACTGACGACGCACACCCCTGGCTTGATGCGTGGAGGATGAACGGGCCGGACCGGGCTGACGAAGCGCACCCCTGACTTGGTGCGGGGAGCAGGAATGAGCCGGACCGGGCTGACGACGCGCACCACTGACCTGGTGCGGGGAGCTTGGATGGGCCGGACTGGGCTGGCGACGCGCACCACAGACTTGGTGCGGAGAGCAGGCACGGGCCGGACAGGGCTGACGAAACGCACCATAGACTTGGTGCGGAGAGCAGGCACGGGCCGTGCCGGACTGACGACGCACACCACTGGCTTGGTGCGGGAAGCTTGGATGGGCCGGACTGGGCTGGCGACGCGCACCACAGACTTGGTGCGGAGAGCAGGAACGGGCCGTGCCGGACTGGCGACGCGCACCACCGACTTGGTACGGAGAGCAGGAACGGGCCGGACAGGGCTGACGACGCGCACCACAGGCTCGGTGCGAGAGGCAGGAACAGGCCGAACCGTACTGGGGACACACGCCACTGGCCCTATGCAGGGATCAGGAACGGGCCGGACCGGACTGGTAATACACCCCAGTACCTCTCGCCGTGCCTCCACACTTTCCCTCTCCTCTGTGACCAGTGGCCCCCTTAACCTGGCGGCCTCCTCTTCACACCCGCTGGACCGCACCATCGCGGCCTCCTGCTGCCCCGTCGTCCACGTCGTGAGCCCCCCCCTAAAAAATTTCTGGGGTTCTCTCCTCCCCGTGGACCAGGCCTCCCTAGCTCTCGCCAGACTCTCGATCCATTGCTTCATAGACCAGCCTCTCTCCTCTTCACTTAGCGTGGCCCAGCCGAAACTCCTACTCCCCTGATCCCAGGTCCTTCCTCTCTCCTCTTCACGCTGCTTGGTCCATTCTTGGTGGTTTCTTCTGTCACGTTCGCTTAAGGAGGAGGACCAATGCGCAGCGTTGAATGCGTACATATTATTTATTAAACAGATCACCCGATCAAAACAACGAACGAAACGTGAAGTCCTTCGATACACACAAACCAAAAGGAACAAGAAACCACAACACAAAGTGAAAAGACCGATAGTTAAATATGGCTCCCAATCAGAGACAACCAGCTGACACTCGTTGCCTCTGATTGGGAGTCACTCAGGCCAACATAGATATACAAAATATAGACTTACACACCCTGGCTCAACATAACATAGTCCCCAGAGCCAGGGCGTGACAGCAGCAATCGACCATGAAGGCCTGATTTATGCAGTCTCCTCTGAACAATTGATGTTGAGATGTGTCTGTTACTTGAACTCTGTGAAGCATTTATTTGGACTGCAATTTTTGAGGCTGGTAACTCTAATGAACTTATCCTCTGCAGCAGAGGGAACTCTGGGTCTTCCTTTCCTGTGGCGGCCCTCATTTGAGCCACTTTCATCATAGCGCTTGATGTTTTTTGCAACTGCACTTGAAGAAAATTTCAAAATTCTTGAAATGTTCCGTATTGACTGACCTTCATGTCTTAAAGTAATGATGGACTGTCGTTTCTCTTTGCTTATTTGAGCTGTTCTTGCCATAATATGAACTTGGTCTTTTATCAAATAGGGCTATCTTCTGTATACCAACCCTACCTTGTCACAACAAAACTGATTGGCTCAAACGCATTCATTCCACAAATTAACTTTTAAGAAGGCAAACCTGTTAATTGAAATGCATTCCAGCTACCTCATGAAGCTGGTTGAGAGAATGCCAAGAGTGCGCAAAGCCGCCACCAAGGCAAAGGGCGGCCACCCCGAAGAATCTCAAATATAAAATACATTTAGATTTGTTTAACACTCTTTTCGCCACCACATGATCACACATGCATCACTTCACAGCCCCGATGTCCCCACTATTATTCTACAATGCAGAAAACAGTAAAAAAATAAAAATAAAAAAAAATTATTTTATTTTTTTACCTTGAATGAGTAGGTGTGTCCAAACTTTTGACTGGTACTGTACATTATTTATATTCTGGACTCCGGTCTGGATGCTAATTTCCTGCAATTCTATCAATTTTGTTATGGGGTTTTGTACTGTGTATTTAAATACTGTGTTCTCGACATAGCTAATTCTAATATTTCTACTACTGTACATTGCATTTTAGTTACACTGTTTATGCACACCGCATATTTCTTTATATACTGGATTCTTGACATAGCTCACTCTAATACATCTACAGCTGTACATATCATTCCTAGTATATCTTGTGTAAATTAATCCAGTGTAGATAAGTACAGTGAGGGAAAAAAGTATTTGATCCCCTGCTTAATATGCACAATAGTCAATAGAGGCAGCTCTCCGTAACCTCCACCACACTTCATTGTGAAACATCTATAGAAAAAAAGGCAAATTGAATGAATCTCATAACAAGGGCTAGATGAAAATCATTTTCAGTTCCTTTTGAGGATCTTAAGGGCTGTGCGTGCAAGGTTAGCACTCCTAGCATTCCATTTTGGTTAAACAGCTGACTCAGGACCCCATGCAGCTGGCATTTGTAAATCCAGCATGTCTCTTTGTCTTTCCATTAAAGTGAGCTGGATAATTAATAAAGGAGTCTGAGAGACGTTCCTCCTACAAAAGGCAACATTCTGGCCCCCAGCCTAAACCAACAAGGGGAAAACACAGGCCTCTCTGCAGGCCAAAGCAAGCCTCCAGATGGGGCTAAGGCACAGTTTGAAGGCTGTGGACAAAGGGGGGGGAGAGAGGGGGAAAGATAGGGAGAGGAGGTAGGGAGGAGGTAACATGAGGGAAACTATTGGGGTTGAAGGAAAGACAGGAACCCCAGACTGAGAGGTGAAAATGGAAGTGTGTGTGTGTGTGTGTGTGTGTGTGTGTGTGTGTGTGTGTGTGTGTGTGTGTGTGTGTGTGTGTGTGTGTGTGTGTGCGTGTATGCATGTGTAAGTTGGTAACTCACCGCTCTCGCTCTTATCGATGACGTCCACCAGTTCGCCGGCCTGCAGGCTGATTTCTGCCGGCTCCTGCTTCTCATATTTGGCCACCACCACGTACTGCTCCAGTAGCATAGGATCTGCACCGTCCAAGCCTGGGGTTGATGGGAAAAAACACGCTGTCAGCCAACTCCCGGGCATGGGTCCGCGAGAGCGACCGCCGGGCACCCGCTGTGCCATAGGCCAATTTGTCAGTAGACCTTAGCCAATGGGAACACACGCTGGGCTCAGTGCATCTTCCCAAGAGTCTGGCCATATAGCTGGATCCCCCACCAGCCCAAAACCAGGGGCAGTGGAGAGTCTAAAAGGAAAACTGCAAGTCCCCCCAAAAACATCAAGCAGTTAGCTGAAGAGAATCCATTCTATGCTGTTGGGGGGGCTCATCCATAGTCCAAACTTGAGATTTAAAAAAATAAGAATAGAGAGAGGAGAAAGAGAGGAGAGCAATACAGACAGAGAGCAGGAGCAGCAGCAGTTTATAGATGGGACAGTGGAGTGGGATAGAGGAACGGTTTCCCCTGGAAAATAAACAGACTGCTAAAAAGCCTTCTTCTCCTCCTCGTTGGGGCTGGAGGAAGAGTAGGGGGGTTGTGTACGCCAATCATAAGAGTCGACACCAGAGGCCTTAAATAGAACCAGATGAGTGGGCTGGAGTTGAGCTCAGGAGGCCGGGCCTCGGCTGCTGTGAAACACTAGAACACAGGACTTTCATTCAGCATGGCCAATGGAAAGCTTATTTCCTGCCCTCACTGGGTTAACCATCTAAGCACCAGAAATGACTCTTCATTTTGACAATGTTGTTCAACAAGACCATAAATGTATCACTTCAAACATCCAAGAATGTGTCAGTATTATAGATGGGGTTGCTCTTAAACTGTGATAACAATTTTGGGGGGGTTATTTCATTTATCTGGCTCTTAAACAAACTGTGCAGTCCCTGTTGCATTGCATGGCATTGATGTTTATGATATGAATCTCATAAAATAAACCAGTTTGCAAAGACTAAAGCACACTTAATATGCACAGACTGGTATTGTAAAAAATATATTTTTAAACATAACCTGAACTTCAAAGGGAAAGATCATTGGAGATGTTTCTCATTTTCAAAACAGTAAATAAATTACATCTTCATAACAAATTCACCCACATACCACTGTACACTAAACCTTAAAAAGTCACTCCAAAACATCTCCAGCTGCAGACAACCCAGTTTAGGAGCAGAACTAACATGTCAGCTGTACCCTAGAATCAGAGACTGCTAAGATGGGGTTCACACATTACTGACGGCTCAGACTGGTCTCAGAGTTTCATAAAATAAAATAAAGTGTCATAAAAAAAGTAGAGAAATGATTCACAGATCACATACAGTAACAACACAGTATACAGCACATACTACATTATCCGGATGAAAAACCAGGATATCCTTTGGCCTAAACTCCAAGCTGCTTCAAGGCTTGCCTGAGTAAACAGATGTATAGTTTAACTGCTAACAGACAGTTCAAGTATATGGATACTAAGACAGAGGATACAGAGCAAATGCAATAACATTGTCAATATACTGTTTCTCTCTTAGCTGAAATCAATTATAGTATTTAGTGAAAGATAAATGAAATAGCGGAGTTCCTGTCCCACATAATCAAGAGAAATGTCTACCAAACAAATGTTATAAACTAGAGGAAGCCAAATGCGTCTAAATTAAAAGATTATTCAACCAGTGGTAAACTCAGTGTCTGGAACATTATAAAGAGAGCTCTATCTCAGACGATGGAAAATAGCATGATTCCAGTCCAATAAAGAAGATTAGATAAGAAGTGATTGAGACTGCTTGGATTAAGCTGCCAGTATAAAGAGAGGACCTGATGACAGCTGCCAGACTAAAGATGAACATTTCCGTAAATTAGGATTATATTCACATTCTATGCCGAGGGGCAGGTATCAGAAACATCAAAACACTAATAAATCATCCGGATGAGCGCAGCTTCAATAGCATCCAAAATACTAACCCTGCCAACGAGTGAAGTTGAACCAGTGTGGTTCCTTCTGTGGTTTACGTTGCTTTCTCATTATTTGCACAGAGTTCTTTGCTCACCGCGAGGTTGGGCACAGAATCATTGGAAAGTTAATATTAGTTGAACTTTGAGTGCAAGACTTTGAGTGCAGAACACTCAAGGCATCTTAGTAACCTGTCGGGAATGGTAAGAAGGATGGTGGAACACAAAGGCAGATTAATCCCATCTCTTAAAATGTTTGGACACCATATTGTAAAAAAAAGAAAAGAAACAAGTTCATGATGTCATTTCCCGGTGAATATATATATATATATATATATATATATAAAAACTCAACGGGGCGTGATCTAATAAAACGTGAATCCACGTAAAACGACGTGAAGTGATGTTTTTGAAACATGTGCTTCCTCTCTTGTTGGGCAGGGAGGGGTGTGCTCTGTGCGAATGAGTAAGGACTTTGTCAACACACTCAGTAGGTCCCAAAAACAAAAGCTAATATTTCAACCCCATTCAGGAAATGAAATGTTTTGCATCAGCAGGAATAACAGACTAGAACAAGGGTCACTAAGGTGAGAAATATTAGGAGGGAAAGCCTAGACATTGTAGGGTAGAGCTTAAATAAGGTCTTCATCATCTGGATACCAATAAAAAAAACTCTACACGGTGTAACATTCCACAAAGACAAAAGTAGATTAATATGAAAATGTATGTTGGATGAAATATGCTTCATTTCATAATACTTCCTTCTATTCTGTCTCCAAACTCTGTAGCTTTAGTATGCAAGTGATTTACAGTAGGTAGGTATTCCAACTCCATCATCTGAGGCCATGAAATTAGACGCAGTAGATGAAATAAATGTGATCGATTGGAGGAGGATGGTTTAGTGTGCTGCTAGTAGTGGCCACATTAGGGTCAACAAACTGAGTCTGTTAGGAGAGAAATCCTGCTTTTACCACATATGATTGATATCAGTTCCCCCACCCTTCCTGGAATCTCAGAATATCAACAACGTTAGTGTCTAGACTCTAGACTACTGTGTTTACATGTGGTGTGTGTGTGTATGTGTGTGTGTGTGTGTGTGTGTGTGTGTGTGTGTGTGTGTGTGTGTGCGTGCTTGCCTGCCTGCTATGGTGCCTGCGGGCATCGCCCATATGCACAGCACATATCTATAAGCTTAAACATTATAATATATTTGACACCAGACTTTTGAAATAGCCCTGTTAGACACTCTCTCTGTTTACATCTCACCTCACTCAGATTTATACTTGCACTTCCTGCTCCCACCCCGCTCTCCCCCTTCCCAATCCCATTAACGGTCCTGTTCAAAACAGGACGACAGTTGGGAGCGTTGCAAGAATGTATCTTGGGGAGGAAACAGGGGAGGTTGGGAATTGGGAAGGCTGTTGGTTTGGGTCAGGGGATTTGTCCTCCTTTGATGTCAGGGTTCCTGATCTTACTCTGGGTCTGGTCAGAGGGAGGGATGGTGTGACACTGACATGATGAGGGCCATTGATTTCACTGAAGCTGATTTAGCAGAGAGATGGAGTAGATCTAAATCTGGCAGAGTGACTGGTCTTTGGATCATCAGCTGAAGTTGTGTGGGTGGATAAGGAGGGAATACTGAGCGGTTGTTCAATACAGTTTACAGATGCTTTCACTGATTCACTTTGTTAAAATGGAGCACTATCTCTAAAGGATGTGGAATGTGTACGGTCAGGCAACAAACAAATGTGACTCCTTACAGGAAACTAGGCGTATGTCACTACTTCACAGGAGCGCCATTTGCACGTAAACCTTTCTTTTTAGCAAAATGTGTTTTTTGGACATGTGAACTTTCATGTGCCTTAATAACAAACTTGTATGCCATCTGTAAATAAGAATACAATTGTTAAATTACGAGCCTAGTTGGTTCAGCCACGGAAAAACACAGCAACCTTCCCGCTAGCCATGATTGGCTGAGATAATGAGTGGGCTGGACATGCCGAGAGATGAGTTCAGATTGGTCTGCCATGTAGCACGCTTCTGTCTATAATATGAGCTGGTCAGTATGTGTAGGTAATCCTTTCTAACGCTGCTTTTTTTTAAAGATATCACGTAGTAGAATTGCATAAGTGTTGCTCTCCACTTTCTGGAGGACCGAGTTTAGAAATCCATGGAATTAGAGTATGATAGCTAAGGAGATGGAGAAAATTCTGGTGTTTGATTGCAAATATGCAGACAGAGTCGAAAAGAGAACACACAGAAGGCTGTCTCTGGATTACATATTCAAACTAAGGGCAACCATGGCATCTGTGACAGAGAGGGAGAAGCGTCCATCCATGTATACGGGTAAGAGAGTCTAGCTAGCTACATTTTCAGATATTACAAGTTTCTAATTTTGTCCGAAAGTCATTTTCATTTCAAGTTAAAGTGTACTGTTAGCTAGTTAGCTGGCTGGCTAGATAACGTTACGTGTATGATCTGTGTAGCAATATTATTTGTATCTCAGAGCCATTTGCATTGCTAGTTATAGCCTAATGTTAGCTAGCTAATATTGAACCTGGTTGGTAAGCTACCTGCAGATTCATGCAGGGTAGTAACGTTATGAGTTGGGATTATGGTTCATTGTTTAGATAGCTAGCTACATGTCAAAACAAAAGACTCCACTATGCAAGTAACTATTTCAATAGAATGTTTATGATGTCACTGCGACAACTGTTGACAGATGTAGCTGGTAAATTCACTCTGGCTATCTACACTCAATTTCAGAGCACTCCCATCTGAGTGTGCCAGAGCGCAGAATAACTGACAAATTTACGAACGCTCAACACCCGTTGAATATGGCCGATGTCAGTAAATGTTGGCAAAAAAGCAGCACAGTTGCAGTCACCAATGCTCTGGGTAACATAAAAACAGCCTAACCAGCTCTGCTAGGGCAAGTAAAATGGTCAGAGTGAGCTGTTCTCTCATTTGTGTCTGGAAGTAGCTAGCAAGCTAGCCAACAGAAGCCAGTTAGCTTGGGTGCTTGACTGCTGTTCTTCGGTCAGAATGCTCAGATCAACCCTACTTTTCAGCCAGAGCTCTGAATTTACGAACGGCCAATCTGACAACGCTCTGAGTTTACAAACACCAAGAGCACACTCTGTCACTACAGATCACATTTACGAACAAACCCGTAGTATAAGCCAGCCTTTAGTCTTGAAATCTTTGGTTGTTTAGTACATAGCCTCACATGTGAATCCTTAAAGAGATGGGTGGGGCTAAAGCTTAAAAGGGTGTGAACAATGCTGAATGGGTGTAGACAAAGAAGAGCTCTCTAGTAGGTACCAAAACATTAAAGGGCCATTTTCTCAAAAGTGAGGTTACAAGTTTATCAACTTTCAAAGCAGAATTACTTTATCATTGTTCCTCAACTGTAGTGTATGATATACCATTTTCTAGCTCTGAGTCTCTACTTTTATCCAACGTAAAAAACACAATTTCTAATTTTGCTACATAAGACCGAATCGAGCCGGTCGGTCACAAATGGTAATGAAACTACAAAATGGGAAATAAACTGCACATGGGGTTCTAACCATATTGAACAGCTCATATTCAAAATCAGATATTGTATAAGGACATAAACCTATGCGGTAACACTTTATTGTAGGTGTCCTTATGTATGCATTCATAAAGCCCTTATAACAGCTACAGTGAGGGAAAAAAGTATTTGATCCCCTGCTGATTTTGTACGTTTGCCCACTGACAAAAAAATTATCAGTCTATAATTTTAATGGTAGGTTTATTTGAACAGTGAGAGACAGAATAACAAAAAAAATAATCCATGTTACTGGCTAGGCCACTCCAGGACCTTAATGTGCTTCTTCTTGAGCCACTCCTTTGTTGCCTTGGCCGTGTGTTTTGGGTCATTGTCATGCTGGAATACCCATCCACGACCCATTTTCAATGCCCTGGCTGAGGGAAGGAGGTTCTCACCCAAGATTTGACGGTACATGGCCCCGTCCATCGTCTCTTTGATGCGGTGAAGTTGTCCTGTGCCCTTAGCAGAAAAACACCCCCAAAGCATAATGTTTCCACCTCCATGTTTGATGGTGGGGATGGTGTTCTTGGGGTCATAGGCAGCATTCCTCCTCCTCCAAACACAGCGAGTTGAGTTGATGCCAAAGAGCTCCATTTTGGTCTCATCTGACCACAACACTTTCACCCAGTTCTCCTATGAATCATTCAGATGTTCAATGGCAAATTCAGACGGGCATGGGTACCTTGCGGGCGCTGCAGGATTGCAGTCCTTCACGGCGTAGTGTGTTACCAATTGTTTTCTTGGTGACTATGGTCCCAGCTGCCTTGAGATCATTGACAAGATCCTCCCGTGTAGTTCTGGGCTGATTCCTCACCGTTCTCATGATCATTGCAACTCCACGAGGTGAGATCTTGCATGGAGCCCCAGGCCGAGGGAGATTGACAGTTCTTTTGTGTTTCTTCCATTTGCGAATAATCGCACCAACTGTTGTCACCTTCTCACCAAGCTGCTTGGCGATGGTCTTGTAGCCCATTCCAGCCTTGTGTAGGTCTACAATCTTGTCCCTGACATCCTTGGAGAGCTCTTTGGTCTTGGCCATGGTGGAGAGTTTGGAATCTGATTGATTGATTGCTTCTGTGGACAGGTGACTTTTATACAGGTAACAAGCTGAGATTAGGAGCACTCCCTTTATTTGTGTGCTCCTAATCTCAGCTCGTTACCTGTATAAAAGACACCTGGGAGCCAGAAATCTTTCTGATTGAGACGGGGTCAAATACTTATTTTCCTAATTAAAATGCGAATCAATTTATAACATTTTTGACATGCGTTTTTCTGGATTTTTTTGTTGTCATTCTGTCTCTCACTGTTCAAATAAACCTACCATTAAAATTATAGACTGATCATTTCTTTGTCAGTGGGCAAACGTACAAAATCAGCAGGGGATCAAATACTTTTTCCCCTCACTGTATATAACACATAACATTAGTCATAAGCTGACATAAGTAGTTTTAAATAGTTAGGAGTAATGTCATAAGATGTTATAAAACTAGTTATAATGGGTGTTATAGATGACTGTTGATCCTGTTGTCATATGCTCTAATGTCAACTGTTAATAACAGCTGCTATTACAGAGCCTGAATGACAACTTATGTCATATGTTATTACATGCTACTTAACAGTCTACATACCAGATGTTATAACAGGGTGTTATGTCATTTACAAACATCTGTCACATTATTACATTAAATGGAATGATGGGCATCATAGCCATGTCATATGCCCTTATAGAGTGTGCACAGACACCTTAAATAAAGTGACATTAATTTGAGGTGTTATAAAACAGTTATGAATGTGCTTGTACAACAGGACGAGTTGAGAATCACACAACTTTAATATTCAAAGGATCTCAAAAGAAGCATGGGCAAACAGTCCATTGACTCCAACATAAACGTCTCGATATACAATTCGCAGATGCCTCTACATGTTATAAAATCATTATTGATTGTTATTGATTCATCAGACAATTGATGGAGTGTCATGTGTTCTTGCCACATATTGACACTCAACAGCTGTTTAGCATTGAAAATTGTCAGGCAACCCCTTTGCCTTATTTTGTGTCTGTTGGTTTCCTAACATGTATGTTCTGGCATACACAGGGTATTATGAGATGAAGACTTAAATGCTCTAGCTTGCTGCCTGCTGCAGGGTTAGGAGGGGTTGGTTCCTTGTTGAGGCAGAGGTGACAAATGGTCACTGTCAGAAAGTTAGAGGCTTGGCTCTAGAACTCGTGATGGTGTTAGCTACTTTTGCAATAAGTCACAAACTGTCGGTGCACACACTGACTTTGTGGTTTAAGAGACTTGCCAGTTTATAATGCAGTTCTGCTACTGCTGTAAGTATTTTAGAGTTAGTTCAACCAAATATTCATACAATATCTTCATAGAAAAACGTAAGAATGGTGCAAATGTATGCCTAGCATTGTCTAACCCTAGAAAATTTCATTATGAAATGGTAGATTCACTCGAGTGAGATTGAGTTAATTCAATCTTTCAGATGGTATTGCCCTTGCAGCATGTCAATAAAAGTCCTGTGTCTGGGAGCCAGAATGAGGCAAAAAGCTCAGTATGCAATGGCTTATCAAGCAAGGGGAGTGTGATTGCTGTTTAAGTGGTAGAGAAGCACACATTTGTCTTAATGGTTTCCTGCACTAGGCTAAAATCTCTGTCCGTCCCCCTACACACACACACACACACACACACACACACACACACACACACACACACACACCTTCCTACACACTCGGATACACACACACACAGTCAAGCACACACGTATACACACGGCTAGCTGGCCCCTTACCCCTGTGCGCCCCTTGACCCGCCACACACACCCCAATACTCCCCCTGATAGTCCTCCCACCCCACTTCACACACACACACACACACACACACACACAATTCCACTCCCTATATGCCCCTGAGCTCCCCAGCTCAAATAAAGCCAGCACGGCTGCGCACACTCCCCCGGTCCATGCGTAACACTTGCCACGTAAACCTACTCTCCTCTCCATCTGCTTTTCACATGCAAGGCGCCCCCAAGCGCTCTGACACTCTCTCCCAGTCTCTCTCTCTCTCTCTCTCTCTCCCTCCCCAACTCTCATTCTCGCTCTCATTCTCTCTCACGCTCTCCACTCAGTCCTATTATGCTAACACAGTAAAGCTGCTCACAGACAAACAGCTCATTTTCATTCACTTGTGCTGAGTTGGACAAGTTTATGTTTTCTTTGAGTAAATAGGGTTTCAGCCCGAACTGTTCTGTCATAGTTATTTCAAAACAGTTTCCAAACAGTGTGTTAACTTTCAAACCATTTTCCTTGGAGACACAGCAGATCTAGCTAAAACATTCAGGTCTTACTTCTGAGTAACCTCGTATTCTCTATCAATAGCACTCCTCTAGCTGCTAGTCTCCAGTCTAGTTGTGCTGTGACCATGAGGTGTTGACCAAACCGCACATGCTTAGACAGCCACCCAGGCTGTACTGTATGCTGTCTATGAAGTTAGTGAATAGAACAATAATAGACAGTGAGACGTACTGTAAACAAGGCTAAGATATATACCTGTACAACTAGTAAGGTACAGTATGTCCTGTTTTGACCCATAGAGAGCCACAGAATGAAGTGGACTCGACAGAGAGTGGAAAGCATCCAACTGAGAACCCCATAGGGCCCTTGATTTGATTGTAAGGGAGGTCACAGTTGGATAATAATTACTGAGATTCAGGCCAAAACCTTACCAAAACCACATGAAGGAGCAAATCCTTGGGCAAATCATTTATTCAGAACTCAATAGTGGTTTTCATATTTTCTTTATCGTAACGTCATAATCAATGGAGTAAATCCTTTTTTGCTCCTAATCAGGGACCCAGTGGTTCACCTCTGGGCAATTTCACCAGTCCATAATAAATAACGGAACTTGAAACTTTTGAACACTGGATAAACATTGAAGAAAGAAATTGAAGATAGCTGGCGGGTGTATGAGGGGATGACAAGCCACTGAGAGAGACAGAGAGAGCAAAAGAGAGAGAGACAGACAGACAAAAAGACAAAGAGAGAGACAGACAGACAAAGAGACAGACAGACAGACAAAGAGACAGACAGACAGACAAAGAGACAGACAAAGAGACAGACAGACAGACAGACAGACAGACAGACAGACAGAGGGGGGGAAACAGACAGAGAGAGACACAGAGAGAGAGAGAGAGAGAGAGAGAGAGAGAGAGAGAGAGAGAGAGAGAGAGAGAGAGAGAGAGAGAGAGAGAGAGAGAGAGAGAGAGAGAGAGAGAGAGAGTGAGTGAAAGAAGTGGGGCAGTCATAATGACGATGCTATGAATGACTGATTGTCTACATCAGAGTATAAGACAGAGCTGTTCAGATAGCCTGTGATTTCTGCAGCATATCCATGCCAGGTAAACAGTGTGAACCAGTCTGCCTAAACCATGCAGTAACCACCAGCAGTTTTGTGGCCTGGGGCAACATTTTCCTGTTAGGGCACATTTTCCTGTTAACCCTACTCTAAACTCTTAGGAGAGACCAACACCATGTAATTATGGGGACCATAAGCTGCAGCTACAGCAAAAATTCACCACAGACTCGCACAGTCTCTCCGCTGTTCTGATTTAATAAAGTAATATCAATATCTCAATGCAGTTAACCCTGTCTCTTGGTGTGCAGGAGGAAGATTTCAAAAGGAGATGTCCAGTAAGGCTAAGATGTAGAAGCCTTCATTAGACTAGAGTCATTTGGCAAAATATCAGCATCTTGAGAGATGATACTTTTCCTCCAAGGCTTTCCAACTTAATTTAAAAGATGGAAAATGTTGTTTACAAAAGACAATAAAATAGGACCATTCATTAATTCATCATTTTTCATCTACTGTAACTATTCAAAATGTATCGGAAGAGCAACTTTTACAACTGTGGATAACCTATTATTCCAGCCTCCGATTCCTGGAAGAAATGCAATATCTAGCACAGTCTGAGCGTAGGCTACAACAGAGACACGCCTGAAATAAGGCAAGCTTTCCATTTCATTATGTCAATGGAATTCACTGTTACATAAAGGCACAATACCATAGAGTATAGAATTAAATTAGGTTGGAGTCTCATTTCATTTGGTGGCAACTTCATTAGGTTGCCAGGAATGAGTAATTCAGCTGTACTATTTAATGCATAATACTGTAGGTCAGGGGTATTGAACTTTTACCCTATGAGGTCCGGAGCCTGCTGGTTTTCTGTTCTACCTGATTATTAATTGCACACACCTGGTGTTCCAGGTCTAAATCAGTCCTGGATCAGAGGGGAACGATGAAAAAGTGCAGTGGAACTGGCTTAGAGGTCCAGAGTTGAGTTTGAAGGCTTTAGGTGTAATGTACTATTCAAATAATCTTTGTCAAATTCATGGCAACTTCATGAATGGTTGAATCTTCTATGTTGTCACCTGGTAGTACTGAGCAATTAGTGCTTTTTGAGGTTGGTTCAGTTTTGGTTTGATTATTTTTTTTTATATATATTTTTTATTTGACATTATGTAGGTTGAATGCTGTAACACAGAATAAAACAATTAATAATTACTGTTTATCACTTATTAACCATCCTTTATTCACATTACTGTACTTGAATAAAATATTTCAGATGTTGTGTATATTACATTTGTTTTATTTGATGACTTTATTATTTCATTCCAAGTCATCATCTCATCTCTATAGAGCTGCTGCCTATGCGGTCTGACAAAACTACTATTTTAGTAGTTCTTCAAAGTAAATAAGGCATACTTTTATGACTGCTGAATGCCAATCACTTAGATCAGTGGTCACCAACCTTTTCTGAGTCAAGATCACTTTTTGAGTCCAAAAGCAAGCCGAGATCTACCGCACAACTTAAAAAACATAAGCCTATGCAACATTAACCTATTAAAAAGGGTGGCTATTTGAACAATCTCAAATATAAAATATTTTTTGATTTGTTTAACACTTTTTTGGTTACTACATGATTCCAAATGTGTTATTTCATAGTTTTGATGTCTTCACTATTATTCTACAATGTATAAAATAGTAAAAATAAAGAAAAACCCTTGAATGAGTAGGTGTTTTAAAACTTTTGACCGGTAGTGTACGTGTGTGTAGAGTGTGTGTGCTAGTGCTTGTGTGCATATGCGTGTGTCTGTACCTGTGTGTGTCTCTTCACAGTCCCCGTTGTTCCATAAGGTGTATTTTTACCAGTTTTTTTTATCTGATTCTACTGCTTGCATCAGTTACCTGATGTGGAATAGAGTTCCATGTAGTCATGGCTATATGTAGTACTGTGCACCTCCCATAGTCTGTTCTGGACTTGGAGATTGTGAAGAGACCTCTGGTGGCATGTCTTGGGGGTATGCATGGGTGTCCGAGCTGTGTGCTAGTAGTTTAAACAAACAGCTCGGGTATGAGGAGACGCATTAAATGGTTCAAAAAAGGGAACACTTTGCCTTCCCAGCGCTAAGGCTGCTGAATCAAGTGTGCCTACCGCCAACAGCGCAAAAATATATATATCAATTGGAACGCAAGGCTTTATCGTTGTTGTTTCTTACAGAAATGTTTGGTGATCGACTACGAATGCCTTGGAGATTGACCAGTCGATCGCGATTGACCAGTTGGCGACCACTGACTTAGATCATGTATTTTCAGGTAGAGATACCTTGCTAAGCAAATGCTTTCTATCCCTCTCGATCGCGCGTTCTCTCTTCTCTCTGTCTCCGTGTCGGCTCCACACAGACCGGAGAAGTAGACGGGCGCGCAATTGATTATGGTCATTGTAGTTAATTACCACGTTTCTCAGCTAAACTATGTAGAATATTGATTGGCCTGTTGGAAACTACAACTCCCTACTACATCGCACAGTTCAGGCTTGATCTGATTTATCTCTAGAGAAACTGCGTATCGAGCACACAGAAGAAAGAACGAATTGGAATTCAAATAATTGAACTGACATCTGTAAATTCTTTAAAAACGTTTTTTTTTTTTATTGGGTTAATCACTCAGCACTATCACCTGGTAACATCACCTGGAGTCTAGAATGCTGGTGACTCAAGTATGCACACACATGCACACGGTCATACTGCAGATGCACAGCTGCTCCCCCAGCCCCTCTGAATCCTACTTATAAACCCACCCACGGCCACTCACCGTCCCAACAGTCAGCACCCAACCCAGGCACAGCATAGCTGTACAAACAGGTGCTCCTTCCCACCCAACACTGTTTGCTTAACCCTTTCATCACAATGAGCCATGTTGGATTTGGCTGTGTGCATTAAGCAGAGACTCGTGAGCTGAGTTGGTCTTGGTATGCACTTAAGACGTTATAGAGCTTTCTTCAACGGTCTATAGATCTTTGCTCAGTCTGTGGAAACGATATGGACTCCCAAGAAATGCTTTGTTACAATCTGCCTGTTTGGTACAAAGACATGTATGCCTACACACATGCACACCAACAGAGATACGCACGCACACACACACACACACACACACACACACACACACACACACACACACACACACACACACACACACACACACACACACACACACACACACACACACACACACACACACACACACACACACACTAATGTCAATAAGGACTTAGATACATCATCACATAAGCTACAAGACCTGTTGCAGGTAACGCGATAACCAACCAAAGTAATACACTACTGTAATAACTTAATCAAAAAAGAACACACTACCACTGAAAACACAAATTACAAACAGGACACCATGTGATGCAACTGACCGGCGCAAAGTAGATGCACCTCTATGTGAGCGCTGGTCAATATAGACAGAAATTAGGTGACTTGTCTTACCTGACTTGCGTTTAGTGGATCCCCCATAGTCCCTGAAAAAGAAACAACACCAGAGAGTCATGGTCAGTGTGTGACAGGGAGCCAGGCCAGAGCAGGAGCATGCTGTCACACACAGGACTCTGTACCCTACCAGCTACCAGCCAAACCCTCATTAAGAAGGCACACACACAGAGAGGCACCCCACATGGAGCATGTCAGAGAGAGAGGGAGAAAGAGGAGGGAGAGAGAGGGAGGGAGAACAAGGGAGAGAGGGAGATTGCTGTGTGTACAGTATGTGAAAGTGAGAGAGAGTGACAGAGTGAGTGAGTGATTGTTGATTTGGTGGGGGGTGTGTGTGTGTGTGTGTGTATGTTGTGTGTGTGCGTGTGTGTGTGTGTGTGTATGTTGTGCGTGTGTGTGTGTGTGTGTGTGTACTGCAGTTTGGAAATGGCAGTCTGCAGGTTTTCATTAGGTTAACCTCAGACTGAACAGTGTTGAAAGACTGAAGGTCAATGTAAAATGCAAACACAGACAGCTGTTTAGTGAGGCCAGCAGCAGGACTGCAGCAATGTACAGTTTGGTCAAACATTTCCATAAGTTATGTTTATCAACCTCAATAAAATGTAGGTTATGATCAGCTGCTGTAGCTTAAACTGTTTTGGTAAATGTAGAAATTATAACCCTTTATAAAAGTATCCAAACCTTATCATGACATGTTGTTACCTTAAGTAGAATATCACTGTATCCACTATGAATGGTAAGGATCATACCCTTTTTTTCAATTTTCCCCTAAAATGACATACACAATTCTAACTGCCTGTAGCTTAGAACCTGAAGCAAGGATATGCATATCCTTGATACCATTTGAAAGGAAACACTTTGAAGTTTGTGGAAATGTGAAATTAATGTAGGAGAATATAACACATTAGATCTGGTAAAAGAGAATACCAACCAAAGAAAACATGCATATTTTTTTTTTTATAAAAAAAATAAATAATGTTTAGCATCTTTGAAATGCAAGAGAAAGGCCACAATATAATATTGCAGTTTAGGCGCAATTTAGATTCTGGCACTAGATGGCAGCAGTGTGTGTGCAAAGTTTCAGATTGATCCAGTGAAGCTTTGCAATACTGGACTATTTTGTATCAAGTCTGCCCAAATGTGCCGAATTGGTCAATTGATACATTTTCAAGTACATAACTATAGAGAACATACAAAAATGATATGGTAATACAAAATCTAAGTTTACACACTCCCAGGAATGTCATACATGATGGATCATTAGCTTATACACTAACTTTCACACATCTAGATGGCCGGGTGGGGTGGGTGTGGAGCCAAAGACAGCAAGGGTTCAAACTGTACAGTCATGGTCAAAAGTTTTGAGAATGACAAGAATACTAATTTTCACAAAGTCTGCTGCCTCAGTTTTGATGATGGCAATTTGCATACACTCCAGAACAGGGGCGGTGTGTTCATTAGGGCGATATGGGCGACGCACTGCCAAACGGGAAAAGGAAGGGATTTTTTTCCTAATCAATTATATCACGGCAACAGTAGTTATCAGTGTTCTAATCTAGACGTCTGATCTGCCACTAAATGTCCAATCAGGCTAAAGTCGTGCTTCAAATGGCCCCGCCCCTTTTGGGGCGATTTCAGTCAGGTTGAAAATCGCCCCAGAAGTCTCTCATAGACTCTCATGTAAAATCTTTTTTTTTCAAATATCAGAGCTTTCAATACAATCTCTATGGGTTCCGGGAGGGCTTGCACTTACGCGCTTTCGTCATACGTAACATAACCATGAACGTAACTAAGAAAAGAGCGGGTAGCAGCGTCAATCAATTCACGAACTACTGTCAAGATGGCTAGCGTTCAGTGCAACTCGATTGTCTCTTTGAAAGAAGTTCCTTTTTGTCGGCGAACAAATCAAGATAAATTGGCAACGAAACAATTAGGACCTCCCAGACTAAATTTAATAATTCAACAGGTTTCTACTAAAGGGGGAAAGTCCTACACCCGAGGATTTTCCAAAAATTGGTACGAACGAAAAACCTGGCTAGCAGGCTGCGATGTAGCTAATGCAGTCTTCTGCTACCCCTGCTTACTCTTTCACCCTGAAGGCGGCACGGCAGACAGCACCGCTTGGACAGCGACTGGTGTAACGGACATGCACCATCTTTCAGAAAAGATTAAGAAACATGAGCTGTCAAAGACCCACATGGATAGCTGTTTACGATTGTCTGCTTTGGGGAGAGTGAACATTGCCACTCAACTGGATGAGGGATACAGGCTAGCTGTCCGCCGCCACAACGATGAGGTTAGCAAGAACCGCCACATCCTCAGCCGGCTAATCCAGTGTGTGAAGTTTTGCGGAGTGTTTGAGTTAGCTTTGCGAGGCAAAGATGAAACTGAGGGCTCCACCAACCCTGGTATTTTTCTTGGACTTGTCAACTTTGTGGCACAATTAGATGAGGTGTTTTATGGAAATGCATATTGTTTATGCAGTGTTGAGGAATGTGAAAGAACACCCTTGATTATTTTTACTGTGATAACTTATTTTGCTTTTGTAAGCCAACACGTTTGAGATCAGTCAATAAATGCTTCTGGTATTGACTTATATGCTGCCCCTGTCTTCATGTTGTTGCTGGACATATCTTTTTTAAAATGTGTGTAGGTCACCTAAATCATCAGAAAAATTGCCCCCCCTGAGAATTTTTTCAGGAGCCGCCACTGCTCCAGAATGTCATGAAGAGTGATCAGATTAATTGCAATTAATTGCAAAGTCCCTCTTTGCCATGAAATGAACTTAATCCCCCAAAAAACATTTCCACTGAATTTCAGCCCTGCCACAAAAGGACCAGCTGACATCATGTCAGTGATTCTCTCGTTAACACAGGTGAGAGTGTTGACGAGGACAAGGCTGGAGATCACTCTCTGATTGAGTTAGAATAACAGACTGGAAGCTTTAAAAGGAGGGTGGTGCTTGAAATCATTGTTCTTCCTCTGTTAACCATGGTTACCTGCAAGGAAACACGTGCCGTCATCATTGCTTTGCACAAAAAGGGCTTCACAGGCAAGGATATTGCTGCTAGTAAAATTGCACCTAAATCAACCATTTATCGGATCATCAAGAACTTCAAGGAGAGAGGTTCAATTGTTGTGAAGAAGGCGTCAGGGCGCCCAAGAAAGTCCAGCAAGCACCAGGACCGTCTCCTAAAGTTGATTCAGCTGCGGGATCAGGGCACCACCAGTACAGAGCTTGCTCAGGAATGGCAGCAGGCAGGTGCGAGTGCATCTGCACGCACAGTGAGGCGAAGACTTTTGGAGGATGGCCTGGTGTCAAGAAGGGCAGCAAAGAAGCCACTTCTCTCCAGGAAAAACATCAGGAACAGACTGATATTCTGCAAAAGGTACAGGGATTGGACTGCTGAGGACTGGGGTAAAGTCATTTTCTCTGATGAATCCCCTTTCCGATTGTTTGGGGCATCCGGAAAACACCTTGTCCGGAGAAGACAAGGTGAGCGCTACCATCAGTCCTGTGTCATGCCAACAGTAAAGCATCCTGAGACCATTCGTGTGTGGGGTTGCTTCTCAGCCAATGGAGTGGGCTCACTCACAATTTTGCCCAAGAACACAGCCATGAATAAAGAATGGTACCAACACATCCTCCAAGAGCAACTTCTCCCAACCATCCAAGAACAGTTTGGTGACGACCAATGCCTTTTCCAGCATGATGGAGAACCTTGCCATAAGGCAAAAGTGATAACTAAGTGGCTCTGGGAACAAAACATCGACATTTTGGGTCCATGGCCAGGAAACTCCACAGACCTTAATCCCATTGAGAACTTGTGGTCGATCCTCAAGAGGCGGGTGGACAAACAAAAATCCACAATTTCTGACAAACTCCAAGCATTGATTATGCAAGAATGGGCTGCCATCAGTCAGGATGTGGCCCAGAAGTTAATTTACAGCATGCCAGGGCGGATTGCAGAGGTCTTGAAAAAGAAGGGTCAACACTGCAAATATTGACCCTTTGCATAAACTTAATGTAATTGTTAATAAAAGCCTTTGACACTTATGGAATGCTTGTAATTATACTTCAGTATACCATAGTAACATCTGACAAAAATATCTCATAACACTGAAGCAGCGAACTTTGTGAAGACCAATACTTGTGTCATTCTCAAAACCTTTGACCACGACTGTAGAACCCAGTTCCTACATTTGAATATAAAAATTGATTTTATCAAACAAAACTATGCTACATTTATCTCTGGGATCCTTAGGATGACAAATCAGAGCAAGATTATTGAATGTAAGTACATTATTTACCTTCAGAGGTGAATGTATCAAACCAGTTGCCTTGATAAGATTTTTGTTGTTGTGCACTGTCCTCAAACAATAGCATGGTATTTTTTCACTGTAATAACTACTGTAAATTGGATAGTGCAGTTAGATTAACAAGAATTTAAGCTTTCTGCCCATATAAGACATGTCTATATCCTGGAAGGTTTGCTGTTACTTACAACAGTCATGCTAATCACATTAGCGCACGTTAGCTCAACTGTCCCGTATACGGGACACCGATCCCGTAGAGGTTAAACTACAGTCATTGACTCAACAAGCATTGTCAGAACACAGAGCCTTCTCTTTGTTTAAACTCAGTGAGGTCTTTCTTAAGCTGTCAGAGGCTGCCAGTAGTTGCCATTGTGACATTATAGGCCTTTAGTAGTGTGATATGCCCAGTTGACTCTTACAGTCATGGTAGTGGCCATTTTAACTATGATAAATTGATCTATATGACAAAATATCCATAAAGAGACGTCAAACCCGCTTAATGACATACAATATTATTACTGTTACTTGTTGCCTAAACTGTACTTAATTAATACATTAAAGATTAAAGCTAGAAATAAAACTGTACTGGAACAATTTAATGGCGTTATCATAACAACCTCAAAATGTACACTGAATGTACAAAACATTAGGAACACCTTCCTAATACTGAGTCGCAGCAAACACCCCCCACCCCCCTTTGAATGGCACACATACACAATCCATGTCTCAATTGTCTCAAGGCTTAAAAATCCTTCTTTAACCTCTCTCCTCCCCTTCATCTACACTGATTGAAGTGGATTTAACAAGTGATATAAATAAGGGATCATAGCTTTCACCTGGATTCACCTGATCAGTCTATGTCATGGAAATAGCAGGTGTTCTTAATGTTTTGTATACTCAGTGTATGTCTCTATTTCTTCAACCAAAGGGATTTTTAAGAACAGTACCTCTAAATATTCAGAGGAATTTTCTGAAACACACTCAACTAGGCAGAGTCCTATTTTATATGGTGCCTCAAGAGACATGTAAATACTTACTTTTGCGCTTCATAAAAAACAGACTTATTAAATCTTACTTCATTTTGAAATAACAAGGTAATCAGATTAATAGACACTTCCATTTAACTATTCCATGGATCTAGCATACATACATGCATATATTTTCATTAGATTCAGGTTAGAGGCTTTTAAACTACAGAATAACAACTCTAACTGTCCTGCTGTAAACATTTCATAAAATGACATTATCAAGGGTGAGAGATGAAATAACCGTATATCCTGCTCCTTTTGATTCCTAGCCAACACAGTAAGACTTGTACTGTATCAAAAATTAACAATAGTTTTTGGGAACACTTTATTACAGTTTATCCTGACTTAGTGACCTGAACAGGAAAACATTTACTTACTGTATATGGAACTAGCCAAGTACTTATAAGTATCTCATTAATAATGTGTAAGTTGATGTAGTTGATGTAGTTAAGGTTATAGTAAGCAACCATCAGGTCCAGTTTTACACCTACCTTAAACACAACCCCTCTCCACTAACATACACACCAAGAATCATTACACCACTTCAGCCAATTCTTTCCTGAGGGCCAGTCAGGAGAATAGAGCTGTTATATTGGACGGTTGGACCTCTGGCCTCTGGAGCTAGATATTTATGGTCCTGGGCCATAGTGGCATATGAAATGCATTACCATGGAGGGCTGAGGGTGGGGTAGAGGGGCTGGGGAGTGTTGAGGGGTAGAGGGATGGGACCGGGGGAGGCTGGATCGGCCAGGCTAGCAAGTGACTAGAGATGGAATAATACACTTCCCAGGAGAAGAATGCATACACACTCTGGCTCAACCCACTGCTACCAACAGTAAAATCTAATAGATGTGCGGATGGTGAGGGGAGGAAATATCTCCAAACACTATTAAAATGTTTAAGATGGTGTGTTAGAGCTTTCTGCATTGAAGTTAACCTTTTGCTGACTGGAAAGTGTCCTTGTTCACACACACACACACACACACACACATACATATACTAGAACAAAACAATCCCTCGCACACCCACTCTCTCCCTAATGCACACCCTCACACACTGAAACATTCACTGTATGGGTGGGGGAGTTTCGAATATATCATTAAATCTGAATCCGCGAGGGCCCATCCTGAGCCAGAGTTGAGAATAACCAGCTGTTTGTGTGCAACTGCAGCTCAGTATTTGTAGGTGGGCCCATTAGACATGGAATGTGAGATATTAGTCTTTTGCACACAGTTTTTAACCAGTTAGGTTTCATCCAAGAGACGGAGTCTGCTCGAGGTATACACTAAACAAATACTGCTGTCCGTAACCTTAGTCTGCCCCTGCATGTGTTACCCCTGGTCCGAGGTCAAAAGTCATTGAACAGGAAGTCATTATAGGCCTAATCAAGAGTTGACCTGCCCACAGAAACATGCAGTGTGTGCACTTGAGGGAGGAGGGGGATGATAAGTGCATGGACACATCCATTGCCAGTGCTATCCAAGGCTGATTTTTCATGATTACCCAATGATGTCAGAGATAGAGAATGCTGGTTCGACCATGTGTCAACTACTAATTATATATCTTGTGGTGATTTAATAACATTACACTGTTTTTGTGTAGTTGTTGTTGTTTTTACAGTATCTCCAAGGAGTAGGTTGTGTTTCTGGTGCATGTGTGTGCCTGTGTGGGATATGCATGCAACAGACATGCAAAGGCACTTGTGCTGATTAAATCTAATGAACCTTATCTACTCTCACACACACACACACACACTTTACCTTGTACTCCTACACTCCATCCTGTCCCCTGAGGTACAGAGTCAATGACAACCTCGTTTCCAATTTAGTAAAAGCCCCTAGACAATGGAGCTGCTGGATCCATGTCAGTGGAGGTAAATAGCATGATGGTTAGATTAGTTGGTTAGCTCAATGTCAGAAGCCAGCATATCTGCTTTTTGGCCTACATTTGCCCAAAATAGTTTGTTTCAGTACAATATCTATCATCTTATCTTTTGAGATGAAAACTCAGTGCGTCATTCAGTGTATTTTGTTACGGTAAAACCCTTGTTCAGAAACATATCGGTGGCTCCCTCTTGTGATAGTAAAGGTACTGTATTTCTGGTTTCTGTATACTGCTTGAGGGGTGCAGTGAGGTTCCTGAGCCAGTAGAGGGCAGTGGAGGGAAGGTAATTGCAACTGTCCAGATGCTTTCTGTCTGAGAAATGAGCATACATGATTTCAACAAATAAATAACTTGTAGACATGTGAAATCAGGCCATAAGTCACGTCAGGTTGTTTCCTTCATACTTACTCAATGCCAATGACACCAATGACATACAGTACATAATCTGACAATGAGTCCTATGGTCTGACTATTGACAGAGAGCAAACCAAGGACTGTCAAATCAGACCAAAATAAGTTGGACTAAGTCTGAATCTATTTATTGTCCTCTCATGATGCCAATATACAGGTAGCTGCCAAAATAATGGAAATACTTGAGTAAATGAGGGATACAAAGTATATTGAAAGCAGATGCTTCCACAAAGTTGTGCTTCCTGAGTTAATTAAGCAATTAACATCCCATCATGCTAACACTTCTGCTACACTACACACGTCGCCATCATTGTGCCATCAATGTGACATTCTACCTGCTACACAGAAACCAACCAAAATCAAAAATAAATTGTCATTATTTCCATTCACAAGATAGAATGAACGCCATCGAGAATTGAACCTCAGCAATTCTTGAGCTTGGACGCTGCCATTGGACGTGACGCGAGCAGTATAGCAGCTTTCATTGATTTCAAAGGAATAATTCCCTCAATGGCTGATTGCTGATAGCAATGCCCGACGCCCGACGGCTGCATTATTCTGCCATTATTTTGGCCATTATTTTGGCTACCATGGCTATGCCCTCATAGGATGATAATGCCCCCCTCCACAGGGCACAAGTAGTCACTGAATGGTTTGATGAGCATGAAAATGATGTAAACCATATGCCATGGCCGTCTCAGTCACCAGATCTCAACCCAATTGAACACTTATGGGAGATTCTGGAGCGGCGCCTGAGACAGTGTTTTCCACCACCATCAACAAAGCACCAAATGATGGAATTTCTCATGGAAGAATGGTGTTGCATCCCTTCAATAGAGTTCCAGACACATTTGAATCTATGCCAAGGTGCATTGAAGCTGTTCTGGCTCGTGGTGGCCCAACGCCCTTTTAAGACACTTTATGTTGGTGTTATTTTGGCAGTTACCTGTACATTTTCTACTAACTACACAATAAGAACAATTTCCTTTGGTTGTCGTAGAGGGATTTTAACATTGACTTTAATGTGACATACAAGATGGAGCCATGAGGGAGCCATAGATCAGTAGAGCAGAACTCTCTCTCTCTCTGAACTACAATCCAGGAGCAGGTCGGGAGCTGGGTGGTATGGAGGGGCTCCTCTGACAAACAGCCTGCCTTTACTCCAAACTGATTATGGGAAAACCTGTGGTGGGCTATCTGCGGGATTGAAGTGGGATTATACTTTTTGAAGTGGGATTATCGTGTGTGTGTGTGTGTGTGTGTGTGTGTGTGTGTGTGTGTGTGTGTGTGTGTGTGTGTGTGTGTGTGTGTGTGTGTGTGTGTGTGTGTGTGTGGAGGGTAGCTATCGTTGATGGAGACCACCATGAAGAATACCAAGAGAAGAATTGGTTGAGGCAGCGAAGATACATCTAGCCAACCACCTGAATGCTGTTAAACATATTTAAGGCAATTCACAGTTAAACAAATGCCAACATCTTTGTCAGCTTTTATTGCACATTTTCCAAGAAAGGAAAATGAGCTGAACTAAAATGAACTAGATTACCTCAAGATAAAAAGATAACTAAATGCAGATGTAAGTTTCCACTTCAAATGTCCATTGACACCAAGTACCAAACCCTACTGGTATAGATCTGAAGATGATTAGGGCTGGCACAATTACCGTATTACCGTGTAACCGACGGTTATGGATGAAGACTTTCATGAATAACGTCAAAACCATTAACTTTTTTTAAAGGAACGAAGAGCTGACTGAAGACAGGACGGCCGGGCATTCTTGTGGCTGAGTCCGTTTCTGCGGTAACATGTACTCCTAACAACGTGATGAAACTTTGTTGCTTCTTGCTGAAACAAGGAAGGTGTTGTAGCAAACAAGTCTTTGGTTGCCTAAGCAACGCCCCTCTCCCTGCAGCAGCAGCACACATAGAAATATAATGAATAAAATGGTCTTGGAACCTCTAACCCTGGAAATTTGCCTGGCAAACTCATGGGTACACTCGCAATGTTTCCATTGTAATGTAGAATGTTCATTCAAATTATGTTAACTGATGTGGCTCATGCAATGGAATTTATTTTTGTAATGTCAGTTGAGTTGAATCAACAAATCACAGCACATATTGATGGGTACACTTCCTGCTTTTACTTATTTATTTTACCTCCTGCTTTATACCTATGGGTATGCTCACATTATGCCATCATTGACTTGAATGGGGACACCCGTTCTAGTCATTCCATTTCTATGGTAGCACATGCAGCAAGGAGCGGAGGAGAGGATAAATAAATAAATGAATGATCCATTAAAAAAATATTTGAATGGTTATAATGGTGACTGCGGTCATTTGGCTAGACAATAACCGTCATCCAAAATCCCATGACCGTCACAGCCCTAAGGGTGATAAATTAATTATAGTAATGCCTTGTCTGACCTGAGATCTGAACTTAACCTCCCTCTCATAATACCATTGAACAAAAAACACTGCGCTGGGATCAGGTGTCACCTCCCATGTATCATCATTAATATAACACCAGAGCCTTGCTGACCATCCGTCATCTATGTGACATGAGGTCACTTGGAGATCAAAACATGTCAGCGTGGGTGAGAGACGTCTGCACCAGCTGCTAGCACACTGACACACACACACACACACACACGTACATGCACACCCAAATAAAACTTACGCGTGGTATTATCATATTCATACAAATGAACTCCTGGTACATAGTAACCTAAATGAAGCATGCTTGTTGTTGTACTGCTGTAACAAGTCCACTTGGGGGCAGTGATTGATACCTTACAGTTTGACTGAAAAGTACAACATGAAGAACCGGTAAAAAGCCCCAAACAGTAAAGACAGAAATTGACAAATAGCCACCATATAAAACATGACAATATGTGGGATAGACATGTGTTATTATTATAAATTAAACTCACTCTTTAGGAGGGTTAAGATCCTCAGCCTTGGTTTCAAAGAACCTCAGCACCTCCTCACTCTGGGAGATCTGGTTAGGGAGCCTCATTAGGGCCTGGAGGGAGAGGGGGAGAGAGATGGAAGAGAGAGGGAAGGAGGGCGAGAGGGAGCGATATGGAAAATATTAGAATTGTGAAATAGTATAATGCTCATTCACAATGACAAGACTTCATGACACATCATCAAAACAACGTTATCAGCTAATTAAAGCTAATGTGGTCACATGTTCCCTGGATTTCATCGACTGACTGACTCCATATGTGGAAGCCTCCCACTACATCACAAAAGGACTGTGTGTGTTCCTGTATAGCACGGATACGGACGGCACAGTTTACACTTGAGTAAGGCCCTGTTACTCAGCGGCTGAGAGGATGAAGGGGAGGTCTGGAAGGCGAGAAGGGGAAGGAAGAGGGATCAGAGCCCGGAGCAGTGATAACACAGAGGAAAACAGATGGAGAACGATAACTACCACAATCCTCTCTGACAGGACTACAATTTCGTCTGTTTTGAAAACTACTTTAGAAATAAACGGTTTGCATACACAATAAATAACTGTATATGATATAGACGTAGGGACATACAGTATTTATATAAACTGTAAAACAGATAATGACATTTTAGAACATTATTATTTTTTTGACTCAGCACTTTGGGTCATAAGACAGGTTTCAGTTTTCTCCACAATAAATAGGCAAGCCACCAAGTGTCCCAGATCCAAGAATGCCTGAAACAAATGAGGTTAGGTGGCTAGCTGTGTTTATTTCTCCTCTCAAATGCTGAATCATTCTGTTCTACGGATGCTGTGTTTGACCCTATTTCCCCCCTTTCCTATATAAACCCACTATGTGAAAGGAAATGACATAAGAGAAGATCGAGCAGGACTTTCCTGTGGATGCTGGTGGTGGAGATAGAGCCAGGCCTCAGAAGCTACCACAGCAAACATGCTACAAAGACATTCAAACTAAACCATCTCTTGAAATGACTGGACTATGTGAGATGTGGCTCCTTAGTAGGTTATGAGTAAAAGATAGACCTCTTGCCATACATTAAAGGGATACTTGGTAACAAGGCCCTTTATCTACTTCCCCAGATTCAGATGAACTCGTGGATATCATTTTTATGTCTCTGCATGCTGTTTGAAGGAAGTTGCTAACCACCGCCAGTCATTGCACTAACGCTAGTTAGCATTGGCTCGAGAAACTACCTCTAACTTCCTTCATACTGGACAGAGACATAAAAATGGTATCCATGAGTTCATCTGACTCTGGGGAAGTAGATAAAGGGCCTCATTGCCAAAATCCCGAAGCATCCCTTTAAAACAGCAAACAGTGCATCATAATTTACTGCGAAGAAAAAAACATGATCATTTGTTCTTACTCTGCAGTAGTCATCAAGATGCTTCAACCTTTTCACAGCCACGTCTCTGACTTGACTTCGCCGAAATAAGACTTTACCTGTAAAAGAGACTTAGCACTTTGAGTTGTCATTGAATGTGCTGTTTCTAAAGGTACCACCAGGTGGCATGACATTAGCACAGACCCAAGCGTTCGGCAGTGGACTTTACACAAAAGGTTTGGCCTATTATGTAGTAGGCCTATTCTAAATAGTATGTAGTACTCAAGACAAGATTTCATGAAAAAGACCAATGTCAAATATGTGTGTGAAATTTGTGAGTGTGTATCTGTCTTTTTGTCTGTCTGTGATAACAGTAAGAGGACTGTTTCTTTTCGAGTGCCTAAGTGCACAGAGCCCACTCCCTGGCTAGGTTTTACAGTGCAGTGTAAACAACACTATCCAGACGTTTGGGAGCGGTGCAGCTCTCTGACAATGGCACTCTTCACTCCATTGGGGCATACTGAGGTTATCAGATTAGGGAGAGATTCTCTCTACCAGCCTCCCACTGCCATACCACAACCACACCACAGCTTTATTCACCCGACTGGAACAGTGGGAAAAATTGAAATGTGCTGTGTTAGAACAGACCCATTTCTATTCAAAATGATAGAGAAGCAAGTCCTTTCTGTGTGTTCTTGGGTTTCATTGAATTTGGTTTCATTGTGTTGTCAAACCCCCACCTCTAAAATGCTGCTAAACTGGTTGATGAGTGCAGTATGTTCTCTGTACATGTTGGCATGCTCACCTGGTAAGAAGGGAATGATTCTGTTTTTGGGGTCCTTCTGTCCTCCCTCCACTGGGAACTTGTCCAGGATCTGCATCTGGAATTAAAGAGAAGGCAAAGAACATCTTAACTTTTGTCATATAAAACAAATGGATAACCGTTTTCAATTAATACAGTCCTAAGTGCTATGTAGTTTATTTTTTAAATGTTATTTCAAACTTAAATCAATTACTGCTGGTAATAAAGTCAATTTGATAGCTATGTGACAAACAAAGCCATTTAGCTATTAGCACTAAATGAGAGGAAGCTCAAAGTGGAGGAATCTAGATGAGATCAGGGTGAGGAGAACCACTGGGTCATGACCTCTTAGCATCAGTCGACCTCCCAGTTAAATGACTACAATGTGGGGTGTAATTACATAGTCTCTGAAGAGCTACTATGTACCAGACACAGGCCCACTTTCATCTCTGGCACTGCAGACAGCCTTACGTCACTCACCACAGTCATCTGAAAACACACTCACAACAACAACCCCCAGAACTCACAGCGCTGTGTGCATTAGTGTAGGTAGTCTAACCACATGAAGTGTTCTAGACATGTTAAACCTAGACTCAGAGACAGTTCTCGAACCATGATCATTGTCGCTCTACTGAGTGCATAAAAAATTGAGTAACCCAATAATTTACTTGAGTTAGGGCAACAGATGTGCGTGAAGGAGAGGTCATTCTGTATCAAGTGGTCTTTTATGACGAGATCACATAAAAATGCATTCTGCTGTGAATGCACGCATGCCTGCAAGTTTGCCTACGTGTGTGTGTGTGTGTGTGTGTGTGTACATACTTGCGTGTGTTCATGACCGCATGTGTGCATGTGGCGTGTGCATGAATACATGAGCGCATGCATTGGTGAGTGTGCAAAAGGTGCGTGTGCCTAAGTGTCAAGTGTATATCTGTTTGCGTCACGCTCACTAAGTTTCGGGTTTCCTGGTCTAATAAATCATTCCAATGTGCTGTAGTAAATATATGCAGGGAGAGTCCTACAGTAACAAGCCTGCTCAGCTCCAGATGTGGTCCTGCCCTTCCTTGTTCCAGATGTGCTCTGGAGAGGGACTGATACTGTGAACAGATGTATCCAGGCCAGGGGACTGGGCCAGGGCCAAAGTGGACCAAAGAGGACGCAAAAGAACCAGGTGTACAAAGAGTCCCAGGCCAACTTGGTGGGCAGAGTCATTATGTCTGGGTCGGAATGGTTGTTTGAGAGGGTTTTCAGCTAAAGTTGGTTTAGTTATTTTCTTGTGGTTTTTCTCTCTCTGCTTCTCTGCTGCCGTTGATGAAACTTTACATCTCTTTTGGACCTTGGTATTTCCCCCTCACAAACAGAGACCGTAAATGAGGAGTGGTTTCCTTTGAAGGGGAATGCACTCAATATTGTCCTTTGAGAGTAAGGGGGAAAAGCTGAACATTAAGAGCTGGTTTGGTTAACCAAGTTATCTACAGTATATAAATGGGAAGATAGAAATTAAAGTTTCCCATGGCATCATGCTATTGACAAAAAAGCAAAGATTTAACTCTACTAAAACCAGATTCAATGCATCTTACAAAACAATGCATAAAGAGATTTGCACTTACAGTAAGTGTGGCTGCAACAAAATATGGGATAAGCCTACAGGATGAGGCAAATCTGTTTTCATGTCATTACTCTACACACACTGCCATTATTACATCTACAGAGTAATAATAATAATAATAATAATAATAATAATAATAATATGCCATTTAGCAGACGCTTTTATCCAAAGCGACTTACAGTCATGTGTGCATACATTTTTACGTACTCAACTGTACCTTCACTAAAGCTTAGTTTTTCTCAAAATTGCATTTCTCAAAAGAGCTGCAGATAACATGTTACTTTGAGTGTGTGGCACAGTCAGAAAAACAATAGGCTCCTATTGTTTATCTGACTGTTTATCCGACAGTGTCATACACTCATAGTAACATGTTATCTGTATCGCTGGTGGACATGATAGCAGTAGCCTGCTCCCCGCAGGCTGGGAGAGTTCTCTCCACACCTCTAACAGATCTCTGGCAAACCGAGAACATTCCCAATCCCAGAGCAATGCTGGGATCCCCCTTAGGCACGACTGGATCTGCTCCAAACTTCACGGGACAGGTGGGAGACCCATCATTCCCATGGAAACACAGTAACAGCTTGGAATCACAACTCCCTGTGCGGGCAATTCTCCTGTTACATTTGTGTTACGGCAGCTTTAGTCAGTTGCCCAGGAGATGTTTTATTTGTGTATACAGTGTTTCTTTCCCAAAGTGTGCAGTTCAGTTTAATGTGTTAAAAGTGCTGTGTCAGCCAAGTCTACCCTAGGGGGGGATTAAAATACAGGTGCTAGGATGTAATTCTCTCTCTCATAATTAATGGATGTTATTTGTAGGGGTTGATACATTTTTCGATAGTGCAAATCAAACCTGACATTTTCAAGTGAAAATGATCAACTTTAGAATCCGATTTAAACCTTGAATACACTAGGCATAGAAGGCATAGAATGCACTTTGGTCTGCACTGTAAATGTTTGGCCAGATTGCAAGTATCACACCCCTGTGGAATGTGTCCGTTTTGAAATGAAATTCCAACACCTATCTTTTACATTACTCCTAACTGGAAAAATTGCCAAAAGTCAATGACTATGCTTCTCAAGTATATTTCAGATTGCCATACCATAAAAAGCATATCTGAAGCACAGGCATTCATAAACAGAACACAAAGAGAGAAAGAGTAGGGAAACAAAAATTGACATTGAGTATTGTTCAGCGCCCAGACAGAAAGAGGGTGGAAGAATGTATGAGTGGGAAGACATTGAATTTCATGTAGTGGTTGTGTTCTAGCATCAACAATACATTTGTTTACTGCATGTACACTATCGGCCAAAAGTTTTAGAACATCTACTCATTCAAGGGGTTACATTGTAGAATAATAGGGAAGACATCAAAACTATGAAATAACACATATGGAATCATGTAGAAACCAAAAAAGTGTTAAACAAATCAAAATATATTTTATATTTGAGATTCTTCAAATAGCCACCCTTTGCCTTGATGACAGCTTTGCACACTCTTGGCATTCTCTCAACCAGCTTCATGAGGTAGTCACCTAGAATGTATTTCAATTAACAGGTGTGCCTTCTTAAAAGTTAATTTGTGGAATTTCTTTCCTTCTTAATGCGTTTGAGCCAATCAGTTGTGTTGTGACAAGGTAGGGGTGGTATACAGAAGATAGCCCTATTTGGTAAAAGACCAAGGCCATATTATGGCAAGAACAGCTCAAATAAGCAAAGAGAAATGACAGTCCATCATTAATTTTAGACATGAAGGTCAGTCAATAAGGAACATTTCAAGAACTTTGAAAGTTTCTTCAAGTGCAGTTGCAAAAACCATCAAGCGCTATGATGAAACTGGCTCTCATGAGGACCACCATAGGAATGGAAGTCCCAGAGTTACCTCTGCTGCAGAGGATAAGTTCATTAGAGTTACCAGCCTCAGAAATTGCAGCCCAAATAAATGCTTCACAGAGTTCAAGTAACAGACACATCTCAACATCAACTGTTCAGAGGGGACTGTGTGAATCAGGCCTTCATGGTTGAATTGCTGTAAAGAGACCACTACTAAAAGGACACCAATAAGAAGAAGAGACCTGATTGGGCCAGGAAACACTAGCAATGGACATTAGACCGGTGGAAATGTGTCCTTTGGTCTGGAGTCCGAATTTGAGATTTTTGGTTCCAACCGCCGTGTCTTTGTGAGACGCGGTGTGGGTGAACAGATGATCTCCGCATATGTAGTTCCCACAGTAAAGCATGGAGGAGTTGTTGTTATGGTGTGGGGGTGCTTTGCTGGTGACACCGTCTGTGATTTATTTAGAATTCAAGGCACACTTAACCAGCATGGCTACCACAGCATTCTGCAGCGATACGCCATCCCATCTGGTTTGGGCTTAGTGGGACTATCATTTGTTTTTCAACAGGACAATGACCCAACACACCTCCAGACTGCGTTAGGGCTATTTGACCAAGAAGGAGAGTGATGGAGTGCTGCATCAGATGACCTGGCCTCCACAATCCCCCGACCTCAACCCAATTGAAATGGTTTGGGATGAGTCGTACGGCAGAGTGAAGGAAAAGCAGCCAACAAGTGCTCAGCATATGTGTGAACTCTTTCAAGAATGTTTAAAAAGCATTCCAGGTGAAGCTGGTTGAGAGAATACCAAGAGTGCGCAAAGCTGTCATAAAGGCAAAGGCTGGATATATATAAAATATATTTTGGTTTGTTTAACACTTTTTTGGTTACTACATGATTCCATATGTGTTATTTCATAGTTGTTATTTCATGATGTCTTCACTATTATTATTCTATGTAGAAAATAGTAAAAATAAAGAAAAACCCTGGAATTAGTAAGTGTCCACACTTTTGACTGGTACTGTATTTTGATTTGTTAAAAAGAAATTGGTTGCTACATGATTCCATATGTGTTATTTCATATTTTTGATATCTTCACTATTATTCTACAAATGTAGAAAACTTTTGACCGGTAGTGTAGTTCACAACAGAGAAATGAAAACAAGTCCTACATACAGTCCTCAAATGATTCCGATGGTCACCCTTGCAGTGGCGTGTCCAGGGTCTGGCCCAGTGGCCCCACCAGAAATTCTGAGATCTGATAGGTTGTCTCTGAATATATTGATAATTTTTACCACGACGCGCACCGATAGCAAGACTCAATCTCACCGGAGAAAGCATCGGAGCGAGCGAAACAGCGCCCCTCTGTTTTAGTATGTGTAGCCCATGTAACTGATGCTGTCTGGCCAAATATAATATGGCATGTCATACTCTTTTTGGCCAGACAGTATCAGATACATGGGCTGCAGATACTAAGACAGAGGGGCGCTGTTTGCCTTGCTCAGATAATTTCTCTTGTGAAATAAATTCAACCTCTTGGGAATTGAAGGAACATTTGAAAACACGGATAGACAAGAATTATAAAATAATTGTATACGTTTGTTTCTTTTTTTATTACTAACCTTTTTGGGGAAGCCTGGCTTCCCTTGGCACCCATGAATACACGCCACTTTTTAGGCTGAATGTCATTACACTTATGGTGTTTGTAATAGCAACTAGCTCTCACAGTCTCACGTCAGAATTAGATGTTCATTCATGTTTCTCAAATGTCAAATTCTGAAGTTGTTCCAAACATCACATTTCGAAGTGTTTAATGTTAAGTTTAGGTATTAACTCATAATTTTTAAGGTAAGGGTTAAGTTTAGGCATTAACTCCAAAATCTTAAGGTTAGGCAATAAATCCAAATGGTTAAGGTAAGGGTTAAGGTTTGGGATAGGCTTAAAACAAAAATATAAAACAACGCTTTCTATCGCTGGATTCAAACGTATAACCTTTTGAATCAGAGGCAGATGCTTACACCCATCCGCCATCCCCGCCCTAGCAAAAAAGAAACCTACTTGAAGGTAAAAGTGCTCACTGTTGCCCCTTATGGACGGTTTCCACATCATCTCCCGACGTCCTCAGACATGGATGAACGTCGAATACTGACTTGCATCACGGGTGACCTGGCTGTGTAATAGATGTCCCTTTCCATTCAAATGGCGGGTGCACAGTGCACTGTTCGGATGCTGGACTTATTTTGGAGTTGATGAACGTGCACAGGTAACCTACTAAACCTACTTTTTGAAATGATTTGTTTGACAATCAGATGAAAACATCATGACTGGTTGTGTTCATGACACATTAAAAGGTAATACATTTTTACAGTTAAATTACATGTCTTTACTATAAAAACCATAAAAGAAATGTATCCACATTGGAGGTCCCGTTAAAAAAATAGAGACCCCCCGAAAGTCACAGTATAATTCACACTCTGGATGGCACTTTCAAGTGAACTCACTGCTGTATGCTAATACCTTTATATAAAATCCTGACCTTGAATGCAAACACTTTTTGAATTTATTTATTTTTTATTTGAACAGGGAAATGTACCAAACATACTGTAAGTTGAAGCATTTAATGCGTTGAACCATCATAATTATAGCGGAAAAAAAAACGATTAACGATCAAAATGTTATGGCCCATCTAAACTGGGTCTGTGCCCCACCTTGGCCAAACCATTCAAAATGTTCTGGACATGCCACTTCACCCTTTACCTATTACAGAGGATGGCTATCACACACTTAGGACTGATCAATACCTCAACAGTTTATTGATCCTGCCTTCCATTGCTTCACTCAAGGTTTCATGATTAGTACTTTCACACTCAAAATGACATCAAAGCTCATAGAATTTGGGATAGTGAATTTTCAAAGTGAATAAACTAGGGCAGCAGACAAATTACAGTGCAGACAGAGATGATTCTGATTCTGATTCTGGTCCAACTCCTGAACCCAAAAATAAAGCGACTAAGGGACCTTTAGAGGAGTTTCCATCCGAGCGGAGAGCGAAGAGAAACGGGCCAACTTGCACACGCCGCAATCCCCCAGTGGAATGTCATGACCTCTGTGTTATGTCGTCTGTGGTCCAAGGGTGTGGAGCAGGGAAGATAATTTCTCTTTAAGGGTAGAAACTCTGTTCGGGATCATTTCTGCTTAGTTCAAAATGTGTGGGTGAAAACATTTCTCTCAGACATATACACACCAGAGATGATGATGTAGGAGCACAAGCTCTGCAACATTTTACACCAAACAAAATTAAAGCAATTATTTAGCTAAATCTCAGGAACTTGTGAGAAATGTGTAGATTACTCATGTGTTTTTACACTCTACACAGTACAAACTGTGAAGTCAGCAAAAGATGAGAGAAGAGTCAACTGGATGGAAAATAATGGTTTCTAGTGATAGCATCCCTGAGGAGTAGTAAAGAGCTCTGATGAGTGTGCTAGAGAGTTTGGCAACATTAGGAGTAAGTGTACTTAAACCATCACCCTACTTTCAAGGGATACTTTATCTAACAGACAAATTACTAGCTAAGCTAGTGAACACTGGCTAACAATACTACACATCTAGCTATCAAGAGCTACTGCATTTCGAAGACAAACAACTATGACAGGCAATTTCATAAACACATGAAAATTCATGTCCAGCTTTATGTTACAACTGTGTACACCAACCACATTTTTTTTAATCTCAGATTTCATTCTTTCATACTAAATAATGCATATGATCCCTTGGCAAGCCAGAGAGTGCAAAGCATGTTCCTGTTCCCTGCAAGCTTCGAACTGAAGAGTGTGATTGTGCTTAAAGGACAGAGAACAGAGCTGAGCCTCAGATGAACTGTAGGTGTCTGTTGGCACCAGGCACAAATACTAACTCACACAGACAGGCTTTGTGTCTACTTAGCAGAAAACAAGAATTGCAGCCACTAGAGGAGTTCATAGAACAGAGAGGAATGAAGGAGTGGATCATCCTAACTATTGCTAGATTTCTACAACACTAGTAGCCAAAAAATGAATTATTTTTGGCAATGAAGTACAGTAAAACGTCATAATCTTAGATTATGTATGTTGAAAAATCACAAACTAATGGAAATATATGCATCATTAAAACACAGCGAGAAACTGTGTTTGAGTATCTACAATCTAGAGCAAGCGGGAAGGATTCATTACTTTATCCAGCATGTAGTACAGGAAAAGCCACCCTTATCTCTCGCTCTCATCATGTTTGGTGGTCATTTCACTCCCCAATGACCATCCCTCCACCCCTCCTTCCTGATCATGACTTCCCCTTCATTTCCACTCAGCGCATGTTGGGATTAAAGCCTGTCGTCTCCTCAGCTGGATCCTATACCCCCAGGGAGGTCACAAATCCCACTGGCCCGGAAGGACTTCCAGGAGACTCAAACACTCAACAAGTGTTCAGTGGAAGCTGCTTGCCGCAATGTTTTCATCTACAGACCTATAAAAGGACACAGCTGTTTAAAAGCCTGTGTGATATTGTCATTGTCAAAAATTGGGCTACAATTCAAGTGCTAAACTAAATTGCTTCCGCAAAAATACAAAACATTGTTCAGATGAGGACTTGGAGATGTTGATGAAGATAACTAACCATGTTACTAATGTTATAACCATGAATCCATTCCCTGGATCACCCAATGAGTCTACCCTTCTTCCTGTACCTGGTCCCACATAATGATAAAAGATACATCATATGCTTTCAGTCAGTGTATAACAATACAAGGGACAAACAACACCATAACTGACTAATGGACCATACTGTATGACTATGAGGGACTAATAAAAGGCAGTATCCCTACACATTCTCTGTGTGGACAGGTGTTGACCTTTGTGCTTCACAGACACTGAAACTGAGCCAGAGCCAGGAGCAGGGATCTCTGGACAATACTAATGTTTACAGAGACAGGGGAGATGCTCAGTTTCCATCAAACAGAGCAGGATAACAGGATTTTACTGGCTATTAGCAAGGGTCCCTGGAACAGTCAAGGGTCCACCTTCAACAGTCAAGAGGCCTGCAGTACAGTCTGAGTATGAATGTGTCTTCAGTGGGTTTCAATTGGAAAGTTTGGCATCAGCAGCCCAAGAAGTTTCCCTCAAGGCCATTGATGTCCCTCCAACCAATAAAGGGGCAACTTCACCCCTCATCCAATCTTTCAGTCTGAGGTAATTTTTTCCTCTCACCACTAGTCTGCAGGACTTGTGATGCATGGGCAGATGGGATTTTCCCTATTTCCGCCAGGCACCAATGGTCTTCAATGGGGCTTTTCAGTTGGGGCTTCCCCTGATTGAAATAATTTTGTGGGGAACACACAAAGCATTGACTCCCCACTGAGCACCAGACGGCCATCACTCAAAGTTCATGTTAATGTAATCTCATAGAGAACCTCATAGCAATGTCTTTTGCAACATATTCTAATAGATCATGAGTATTATGGTCCATTTAGAGGGCAGCAGGTCAGTTTGACAGGAAATCCAGGGTTGGGGAAAAGTGATTGAGGAAATGTATGCATTGAAAGAAAAATAGATGTTAAAACGTACAGATTCACTGTTTGAAATACACGTTTACGTTAGTATAAGTTTAAGATGACTGAGTGCATGATCAAACAGATACTGGAAAATGGTTCTATATCATCGTGCTATGGTCATATCTGCTAAAGAAAAATAAACTCTTACCTGGAGATCAAAGAATTTGCTGTATCTCCTATAGATGACATGAGAGGTGGAGTCGGAGTATGTGACATTGATGAGGTACACCTACAGAAGAAAACAAACAAGGAAAATTCATTAACAACAAAGTCACATTCGTCAAAGACGCATACAGTGTCTTCAGAAAGTATTCCTACCCGTTGACTTATTCCACATTTTGTTGTGTTACAGCCTGAATTCAAAATTGATTAAATATTATTATTTATTTCACCCATCTACACACAATACCCCATAATGACAAAGTCAAAACCTGTTTTAAGAAATGTTAGCACATTTATTGAAAATTAAATACAAAAATATCAAATTTACATAAGTATTCACACCCGTGAATGAATACACGTTAGAATCACCTTTGGCAGTGATTACAGCTGTGAGTCTTTTGGGTAAGTCTAAGAGCTTTGCACACCTAAAATTCTTCAAGCTCTGTCAAGTTGGTTGTTGATCATTAATAGACAGATTTACATCAAAACTGTAACAAGGCCACTCAGGAACATTCAAAATCGTCTTGGTAAGCAACTCCAGTGTAGATTTGGCCTTGTGTTTTAGGTTATTGTCCTGCTGAAAGGTGACTTTGTCTCCAAGTGTCTGTTGGAAAGCAGACGAAGACAGGTTTTCCTCTAGGATTTTGCCTGTGCTTAGCTCTATTCTGTTTATTTTTATCCTAAAAAACTCCCTAGTTCTTCATACCCATAACATGATGCAGCCCCGATCATGCTTGAAAATATGAAGAGTGGTACTCAGTGATGTGTTGTGTTGAATTTGCCCCAAAATTACCACTTTTGTATTCAGGACATAGAGTTAATTTCTTTGCCACATTTTTTGCAGTTTTACTTTAGTGCCTTATTGCAAACAGGATGGATGTTTTGGAATATTTGTATTCTTTACAGGCTTCCTACTTTCACTCTGTCATTTAGGTTAGTATTGTGGAGTAACTACAATGTTGTTGATCTATCTTCAGTTTTCTCCTATCACAGCCATTAAACTGTTTTAAAGTCACCATTGGCCTCATGGTGAAATCCCTGGCCGATTTCCTTCCTCTCCGGCAACTGAGTTAGGAAGAACGCCCGTATCTTTGTAGTGACTGGGTGTACTGATACATCATCCAAAGTGTAATTAATAACTTCACCATACTCAAAGGGATATTCAATGTCTGCTTTTTTATTTTTACCCATCTACTATTGGTGCCCTTTTTTTGTGAGGCATTGGAAAACCTCCCTGGTCTTTGTGGTTGAATCTGTGTTTGAAATGTACTGATCGACTGAGGGACCTTACAGATAATTGTATGTGTTGGGTACAGAGATGAGGTAGTCATTCAAAAATCATGTTAAACACTATTATTACACACAGAGTGAGTCCATGCACCTTATTATGTGACTTGTTAAGCACATTTTTACTCCTGAACTTATTTAGGCTTGCCATAACAATGGGGTTGAATATTTATAGACTCAAGACACTTCAGCTTTTCATATTTAATTAATTTGTAAACATCTCTAAAACATATTTCCACTTTGACATTATGGGGTATTGTGTGTAGGCCAGTGACACAAAATCTTAAATTCAGGCTGTAACACAACACAATGTGAAAAAAGTCAAGGAGTGTGAATACTTTCTGAAGGCACTGTAATACCACTTAGTTTTGAATGACCCAATGACACATAGAGAATTCCCTTCAGACTAAACTTCAAGAGGTCAGTAGAGGTCAAGCTAACTCATTAGGCCTGTCTGTCTGCACACACCTCATTAGAAGCCTGTGTGTGGTCAAAGAGGTGGTCAACAGGGTTTAACCATTAGCCATTTCATTTTGGGTTTCACATTTAAACAATTGAAGGAAATAAACAACTATTTACACTTCATTGGCTCCAACTTTGATAGACTAGCTAGTTAGGCTAGAGTTGCAATTTCTAGTATTTTACCATGTTGTTTTGTCAGACTCTAGTCTACAGCCATGACATAGTCCCAGAGGGGGCTGTTGGCTATAACTATATGGCTAGAGTGGGAGCTCTCCCTGGCACTCACTATGTAGGCCACAAACACTTGGGCACACCCTGTCTTCTACTGCAGATGCAGGAACATATGCTATTGTTCTGCATTTGTATGCGAGTTCTGAGTGTCGCTACACATGGCTACAATCTGTAAAGACGTAACTGTCCTATTTGAAATCAAGTCTTGATTTTAAGCATAATTCATTATAGAAATAGTGTGTTGCAGGGTGGAACAAGTTCCTGTACAGTTAATTGAGTGGAGACGACATGACCAAATGCTTTGGATTAAGTGTTTAGGAAACAACAGTGCCCCTAAAGTGTGGTAAATACAGATCCCTTTGAGAATGTCTTACATGCAGTGCATAGAGAGCAAATTTGGAGCTGTGCAGTAAATGGTAACATCAGTTCAAACACCTCATTTGTTCGTATGACACACATTTAGTATATGTATTATGTGTTTTGGGCACTAGAGACTCATTCAACACATCATCAAGAGAGGTTCTCTCAAGCCCAACATAATACTGCTGAATGTACAATAGCTGTACAAAACAATCGCTTTCTGGTGTTGTTGTTGGACTGTTAAAATAACAATGGGTTGCAAACTTGCAATAAAATCCAACATGGTATCTGACCATATCCACATCACTCTGCATGCAAGTCAGCATAATATCTGCATGACTAGCAAACTCTCAAGACTTTGTCAAAGAGGCCAACGGATTCCACAGAATATCTCCAAGCTGGCGGGACATTAAGCAAAAACACCACCATTAAAGCTTGGGTATGTGGACTGTGGAGACATTACTTATTTATAAGTAGTGTTTTTACTTATTCTTACTAGCTAAAAGCACAAGGACATGGGACTTCTTCCAAGGCAAGTTAAACACAGGCTTGTCAATACTTGTTAATGCCCCATTTCATTTATATACATTATAGAACATTTTAAATAATTTAAAAAATTGCTTTTTGGACCAGAGGTGATGGAAGGTATCTGAAAGAAACTGTCTTCAATCTCTAAACACTGTGGTAATACTGTAGTTGCCAAAGGCTCTCAGAGTCATTGTGCCCAGTCTCCCTCTCTCACTCATGCAAGGAAGTCACACTGTAACCTTGGAGACAAAAGACAAAGGGTTGCTTTTTTCCTCTCTCTAAAACAGGACAAGCATTTTCAGTTGCTTAGCTCATAGATAATGAGATTTGATTTATGTTTTACTCATGGGACTTCCCAGGCCAGCAGCATCTCCCAATGTGACACCCCAGGTGGAAGGCTTTGCACTGGGCTTAGGGACTTCAGGGAGGACTGGTTACATCGATCCTCTCTCTGCTTAAATAATCCTATTGGACCTGGCAGACTAATAGATTTTCCTCCATAGAGACTAGCATTGTTCCTACTTGTCCCAGAGCATATAATTCTACAATATAGATAACTCAAGTTTTTACTTATTGACAGGAGAATGACCACAAAAGCATAATAAAAGAATAAGTATGTGCGCGTATTTAAAAGTGATAGCTCAGACAAATCTTCAAGTAATTGTTTATGGTCATGAAGAACAAGCCAAGCGTATGCCATTGGCAGAGACCAGTAGAGTATACTCACATAATGTTTGGAGGGATTCCGCCTCTTCTGCACATCCACAACATTCACTTCAAGGACAGTTCGAAACTGCATCTTGAACAACTTAAAAATGTGATCCAGTTGATGGAAATGTAGTTATGTGGGGGGCATTTATGCTCCTCTTATTGTCAAGGAACGTTTTAGCAGGTCAATCTATCAATGCGCAAATGTCCTTAAAAATACATCATGCAAGCCTAAAAGAAAAGTCCATGTTTGTCATGTAAAGTTTGGCGTAACAATGCGCAACTTGCGTGTTGATCCGCTATCCAATGCAAGTTGCTGCCAGCTGCAGGTTATTTTTGCGGAGCAGGAAATACTGTAAACAACACACTGAACAGAAGGAGGGCAGCGGTTTGGCGATCGCATAATGCAGAGCACTGCTGCTCAGCCCTCCTTGAAGGAAAAGTAGGTTGGACCTTGTGTTGGATAGTTACAGTCCTTTAATGAGGGGCGGGGTGACTCTAGCAATTGTCATTTGTAGGGCTGAGGAATTACTAAAGCCTAAGAAATAGTGTGCTCCCAAACACATAATATTTATAAACAACTAGAATAGAATAAAATAGAATAACTTATTTAAAATATTCTAGTAGAATAGACGTATCTAAAGGACCCATATCTACCATGACTAGCTAGGCCTATCATGAAATAGGCCTATAGGCTACAGCAGGAATTGTAGGTCTGCTCTAAATTGGATTCCAACAATGACGAATTTGGCATAGGCTACAAAAACGACAAATTATGACACCCTACAAGTCCACTATAACACATTCAGCAAATTGCCATAGGACACATTTTTGTAGTTGAACAAAATTGCATTTTCAATAGTTAGTTTTATCTCAGTCTGTTAGTCTACTGTTTTCCATTACCCAATTCCATTGTTGAGCAAGAAGTTGAAACAAGTGGCTATACTGCACTCTATTGGTCATCTTTCATAATGCATTCTATGGTTCTTTGTCATGAACCCAGAACTTTTCTAAATCTAAATTGTTAACACGTGAGCAGTGGCGGCTGGTGAAAAATATTCTCGGTGGGGCTGTGCCATACTTTTTTTTTCCTGTAACCATCGCGATATATTTTAACACAAACTGCAGGACAGCAGTGCTCAGTGAAACATTCAGTAATTATTTAATGCCAATATTAAAAAGTTGAGGCATTCTTACACAAAAACATATTACACAAACCCAAGCCTTTCATTTGCATTTAAAGTGAACTTTTCACCATTGGTAGTAAACAGGCAACGCAACAGGCATGCTGTCAGAACAGAGTGGAAAGTGGACAATAACATGAAATTATTATAAAGTTTATAGGAAATCTTACACTGTATAAAAGGATGTATAATATAGAAATGGATATCAAGTGGATGAACTCAAACCTTTGACTGGAAGAATAGCATACAGTATTTTATGATCATACTAAATGTGACTAATTGTTAATGTGCTCCAGAACTGCAACAATTAATTGATACAAACAACATATATACAGTAATATTAGCAAAGACACTATTAAGACTTTCTAGAGTACCATATATAACTGGATTTTTTATGCTAAGGTCAACTATATACAAAGAAACATGCGGCCAGAGCTGCTCTGTGTGTGTGTGTCTGTCATCTTATTTGTACAGGAATTTTGCCCGTCTGTCCTTCTGAGTGGCAAACCTCTCAATGACCCTTTGATTAAAGTCAGGAATGTCCCTGACAAGTTTCTTCTCCATGGAGAGCATGGCCAGAGCGTTCAGGCGATCCTGTGTCATGCTGTTTCTCAGGAAGGTCTTGATCCTTTTCAGTGTAGAGAAGCACCTTTCTGACTCAGCAGTTGTCATGGGTGTGGTGATGAGGATCTTGAGGAGGCTGGCAGTCTCTGTGAAAGTGCTCTGAAGGTTGTTCTCCATGAAGAACTGGTACAGGGGCACTGCACCACTACAAGCCTTGAACTCACTGTTCTCATAGATGAGGGACAGTTCGGTTTTGAGCTTGGCCTTGTTCAACATGGGGTACGCCTCCACGGTTGTTTCAAGCGCTGTATCGGGGAACTTCACACTGTGTTGTGGGAACAACTCTCCGTGCAATAGTGTTGCGCTGATGAGGTGCTGGGTGAAGGAGAACCTCTCTTTGGCATGACTCAGGATGGTATCACATACCTGTAAAAGATACATCATCAGCTTTAATTTGCAATTAAGCTATTTTGATGCAAGTGATCCTGACTGACACATGCCTATGTCCAACTCAAGTATATGATTACCAAGGTGCTGATTGTTCAGGGTTTTGGCTACATACTACCAGGCCTGAAAATAGTTCTAGGGGGAAACACTGACAATTACATCACAACTTACCTCTATAGCCAACCTCTGTTGTTCTCCTGGTCCCAGCATCCTCCGTCGCTTGATGGGCTGTTGCTGCTCGTCAGATGCGCTGTCCCCACACAAAGAGGGAATTGAGGCCCTGGGTCCAAAAAATAAAGTTTAATTTGATAACTTGCAATCAGACTTCTTAACTCACTGTAATTCCCCCTCAACACACAACCAGTGACTTTTATATATATATATATATATATATATATATATATATATATATATATATATATATATATATATATATAGACAGACAGACAGACAGATAGTGTGTATATACACACAAACTATGTCTAGTAACTGCTTTTAACCTGTGATGTACATAATTAACTGATGTTATTACGTTTTAAAGCCTTTTTCTATTACATTTGTGAGAGGGATGCAACATCATTTTGTTCTGCTGTGCACTTAGCAATAAAGTTAATCTTCAATAACAACTAGGCCTCTTCAAGAAATTGACCTGGTGGACACCTGAATAATTATTACAAACTGTGTAGTACTTTCCTGCATTATTATCAACGTCTGATTGTGTCTTCTCTTTCCTTTTAAAATACTAAAACAAATATAATTGTGACGGCTCTATGATAATCACTCACTTTGATGACCAGACACATTTAGGCTTTTAAACTGTTGTAAGTGAACTATTCATCTTTCTAACAACATCTTTATCAGCCAATAGTAAATATAGTTATTTACCTGATTGTTAGCATGCTGTCTGTGAACCTCTGGACAAGTGCTTTAATGAAGACAGGGTCGATGTTCCTCTTCTGCAGCTGGCTGAAAAGCATGTCCACATTTGGCATGATCTTGTGGAACAGTGCCAGGAAATAACAGAAAGCCTCGTCTTCGAGCATCCTCACAAAGCCCCCCGCCTCTCTGACAGTCGGGGCATCAAAGTTCCCAGAGTCTCTGATGGTCTGGAAACACGTTAGGAGGTCATCCCTGTACTCGTACACAGTGTTTACAGCGCGACTGTGGAAGTTCCACCGTGTTGTAGAGGCTCTGGGGAGTCTATGCGCAACCACTTCGTCAAGCACGGTGGTTCGCTTGGGAGACCTGGAGAAGAAAGCAGAAAATCCTGCAAGGTCGGAAAAGAAAGTGCCGATCCTGGGGATGCGTGAAGTAGCCTGCTGCATGATGAGGTTCAGCTGATGTGCATAGCAGTGGACGTAGTGCGCATTTTCGTACACATCCACTATTTTACGCTGCACTCCGCCGGTGGCTCCCCTCATCACACTTGCTCCGTCGTAAGCCTGGGCAATAAGTTTGGCCTTTTGTCCATGTGAGAGTATGGTGCTGAGCCTCTCCAGCAGCGCTGTAGCGATGGTGTCGGCGGTTGCGTTCTCGATCAAAATGAACTCGAAAAAACGCTCTTGGACGTTACTTTTAGCATCGATGTAGCGTATCACAAGCACCAACTGGCAGTGGGTGGAAACGTCAGTCGTCTCGTCAGCTTGAATGGCGATAAAATCAGCACTCTTTACTTCCTCCAGGATGTAATCCTTAAGCACTGACAGCATACAGTCCAACAGCTCGTTCTGTATCGTCTTTGACGTGCCCTTAAAAACGGTAGCTGTCTTCAGGTGCTCCTCCAGCACACTGTCGAGGGAGGCAACAAAATCCACTAAGCCCCGGAAAATGCCGGGGTTGTCCGAGGAGTCAGTCTCCTCGTGCCCACGCAAGGCCAACTCAAAAGCCCCACAGAACTTCACACAATCGATAATTTTGGATAGAATGTGCCTGTTTTTATCCACCTCCTCATTGTGTTTCCTCACCGCAATCCTGTGGCCGTCATCCAGCTGCGTAGCAATGTTCACCCTTCCTAATACAGCTAGCTTTACAGAGTTGTCCATGTGTGCCCTGGTGTTCTCATGTTTCTTTACCTTCTCTGACAGGTGCTTCATATCCCTCACTCCGGTACCTGTCCATGCTGAATCTGACCCCGTCGTTTTAAAAAGCAAGCACGGAAAGCAAAATAAAGCATTAGCATCAGTGCACCCAGCTAGCCAAGCCTTCCTGGTGTACCAGCTACGGGAGAAGCCGCGCATATACTGCTTCCCTTTCTCGCTAGCCTGCTGTCTGATTGAGAGGTCAGGTTGATCTGGGCCCAGCTCTTTCACCCGAACTTTCTCTGACAAAGTTCTCCTCTCAAACGGATCTTGGAGGAGAGATTTCACCGAGTTAGGGTTGGGTCTTGGAGGAGTAACGTTTGCGCTCGCCATTGTCGTCTAGTAAAAATGGCGCCACTGGAGCCCGGTCCTTATTTTATCAGGGGCGAGCTTGGGGCGATAAAATAATCGCCCTCCTTGGATTCGAATTAAAATCGCTGATTAGCTACATTTTATGTCATACATTCATATCTTAAATTAGCAATTGGCTTAACTGCTACGTAGACCCGCCTCCTCGGGGCACTTTCTGTATCGCCCAGAGCTGACGAGGCGTTTGACAGGCAGAGGAAAGGTTGCGAATATGATTTTCTATCATATCTTACACATATTACTGTGTGCATTCCATATTTCAAACACACAAATATTGACATACTGATGTTTTTATTATTATTATTATTATTTTTATTTATTTTTTATTTTATTTTTTTAAATAATTTTATTTAAGGGGGCGGCGCCCTAGCGCCCTCTATCGGCCAGCCGCCACTGCACGTGAGCAAAGCCTCCAGCCGATGCTAGCTGGATCCTACTGTACAGAATTCCGGGTTCTCCCACTCTTACCCTGAAAACTCCCTTTGCCCATATTCACCAACTCTAAAGAGGCTGTTGAAAATATTGAAACTGATAGGCCTATAGAAAGTTGGGTTGCAACGTGGTCTCAGAGCATTTCGTATTATTCAGTACGTAACTCCAAGACGTTCCATTTACTATAATATGTTACGTTTTGTATAGTATGTACGATCACCATCATACTGTGTGGAGGTCCCATTAGAGCTCATCCACTGGCTGACTCGAACTTACAAACCTGTACATTTCACATACATTCTGCCATTGAAATGTGAGCGTAGCCGGCCAGTGAGTGGCTCTGACAATTGTTTGGTTTGTTTGGCCTACTACACAATCTAAATACACTGAGACTGATAACCTCTTAGGATATTTATTCAAGTAAAGCATATTTGTTTACATAGTTTGAATTGTTTGTTTTCTAATACTTGCTTGTTGTCTTTTTTTTCGGAGTTTCTCTCTCAATTGCGAGTGGCGAATTGCCAGGAACTGAGGTGTGTTCATTAATATGGCGCACAAGAACGTCACATGTTTTCACTGCGTGGACTCTACATTGTCCTTTGAGAGGGATGGTATTGGTAGGCCTATTTTTTCAGGTTATTAAAATTATTTGTCAATTGTTTAAATCTAATACTCATTTAAATATTTCATTGTGGTTTAAAAAAATATAAAACGAAAAGGATCATCTAAATAATGCATTCTATGCTACTACGATAGGCCTATTCAAATCAAATCAAATCGTATTTGTCACATGCACCAAATACAACAGGTGAAATGCTTACTTACAAGCCCTTAACCAACAATGCAGTTCAAGAAATAGAGTTTACTAAATATTTACTAAATAAACTCAAGTAAAAAAGAAAAGAAAAAAAGGTAACACAATAAAATAACAATAACGAGGCTATATACCGGGGGTACCGGTACCGAGTCAATGTGCGGGGGTACAGGTTAGTCGAGGTCATTTGTACATGTAGGTAGGGGTAAAATAACTATGCATAGATAATAAACAGCGAGCAGCAGCAGTGTAAAAACAAAGGGTGGGGTGGGGGGAGGGGGGGTGTCAATGTAGTTTGTTGGTGATGTGGACGCCGAGGATCTTGAAACTCTCGACCCACTCCACTACAGCCCCGTCGATGTTGATGGGTGCCTGTTTGGCCCTCCTTTTCCTGTAGTCCAGGATCCAGTTGCAGAGTGAGGTGTTTAGTCCCAGGATCCTTAGCTTAGTGATGAGCTTTGTGGGCACTATGGTGTTGAACGCTGAGCTGTAGTCAATGAACAGCATTCTCACATAGGTGTTCCTTTTGTCCAGGTGGGAAAGGGCAGTGTGGAGTGCGATTGAGATTGCATCGTCTGTGGATCTGTTGGGGCGGTATGCGAATTGGAGTGGGTCTAGGGTTTCCGTGAATGATGGTGTTGATGTGAGTCATGACCAGCCTTTCAAAGCTCTTCATGGCTACCGACATGAGTGCTACGGGGCGGTAGTCATTTTATGCAGGTTACCTTCACTTTCTTGGGCACAGGGACAATGGTGGTCTGCTTGAAACATGTAGGTATTACAGACTCGGTCAGGGAGAGGTTGAAAATATCAGTGAAGACACTTTGTCCGCGCATGCTCTGAGTACACATCCAGGTAATCCATCTGGCCCCGCGGCCTTGTGAATGTTGACCTGTTTAAAGGTCTTGCTCACATCGGCTACGGTGAGTGTGATCACACAGTCGTCCAGAGCTGCTGGTGCTCTCATGCATGCTTCAGTGTTGCTTGCCTCGAAGCGAACCTAAAAGGCATTTAGCTCGTCTGGTAGGCTCGCGTCACTGGTCAGCTCGCAGCTGGGTTTCCCTTTGTAGTCCACAATAGTTTGCAAGCCCTGCCACATCCGACGAGTGTCATAGCCGGTGTAGTAGGATTCAATCTTAGTCCTGTATTGACGCTTTGCCTGTTTGATGGTTCGTCTGAGGGTATAGCGGGATTTCTTATAGGCATCCGGATTAGTGTCCCGCTCCTTGAAAGCAGCAGCTCTAGCCTTTAGTTTGGTGCGGATGTTGCCTGTAATCCATGGCTTCTGGTTGGGAAATGTACATACGGTCACTGTGGAGACGTCATCGTCGATGCACTTATTGATGAAGCCGGTGACTGAGGTGGTATACTCCTCAATGCCATTGGATGAATCCCGGAACATATTCCAGTCTGTGCTAGCAAAACAGTCCTGTAGCATAGCATCCGCATCATCTGACCACTTCCGTATTGAGCAAGTCACTGGTACTTCCTGCTTTAGTTTTTGCTTGTAAGCAGGAATCAGGAGTATATAATTATGGTCAGATTTGCCAAATGGAGGGCAAGGAAGAGCTTTGTATGCATCTCTGTGTGTGGAATAAAGGTGGTCTAGAGTTTTTTTCCCTCTAGTTACACATGTGACATGCTCGTAGAAATTAGGTAAAACGGATTTAAGTGTGCCTGCATTAAAGTCCCCGGCCACTAGGAGCGCTGCTTCTGGATGAGCATTTTCTTGTTTCTTATGGCCTTCTACAGCTCGTTGAGTGCGGTCTTAGTGTCAGCATTGGTTTGTGGTGGTAATTAGACGGCTACGAATAATATAGATGAAAACTCTCTTGGTTGATAGTGTGGTCTACAGCTTATCATGAGGTACTCTACCTCAGGCGAGCAATACCTTGAGACTTCCTTAATATTAGACATCGCGCAACCAGCTGTTATTGATAAATAGACACACACTCCCACCCCTCGTCTTACCAGACGTAGCTGTTCTGTCCTGCCGATGCATGGAAAACCCAGCCAGCTCTATATTATCCGTGTCGTCGTTCAGCCACGACTCAGTGAAACATAAGATATTACAGTTTTTAATGTCCTTTTGGTAGGATAATCTCGAACGGAGATCATCTAGTTTATTTTCCAGTGATTGCACGTTGGCCAATAGAACGGATGGTAGAGGTGGGTTACCCACTCGCCCATCATGTTTAAATTATCAATTTCCTGACCCTACCTGCTGTTGGTATCTTCCAGGTTCAAGATGGAGCTATAGGCCTATAACCAGCTCTATGGTATGCTTAAAGGTTGAGGTCACGCTAGACCTACAGGCCACAGCTATATTTGTTATGTTCACCTTCTGGTGAGGTTCCCAATCTGGGCATAGTGTTCTGCAGTTTTTGCAGTTATTTCAGTAATCTCCAAATTGTTCTATTTAGCTTTGCTTTTTGATGCTACGCTACTAACCTACTTACTTTTTTATTAAATATGTTTGTACAAAGTTCCTGTGAACCTTTGTGCCTTATTGCTCACTGCAATAAGGCATGTGTATGTGTAAGACTAGGCCATTTGTTACACATACATGTGGACCTAACCTATTTCAGACTGACAAGGGGGGGGGGGGGGGGGTCAAAAATGGATTGGTTTATTGTTAATAGATTAGATTAAATCAAAATGAATTGGCTTATTGTTAATAGATTAGAATAAATCAAGCCCTTTAGAAATACACATTTCTCCAAAGCAGTGAGTGAGCTACTTGAACCTCGATGTGATACAGACAAAAGAGTGCGTGACAAAAAAATTCACAGGGTGGCGCCAATAGCACGGATTTCAATTATAACTCGCATCACTTGAGTTAGGACAGGGAGGGTGAGGGTCAATGCAATTTAAAAAAGAATTAAGTCAGTGAATTAAAATTAAAATATGGAAATGTAAGATTTGATGATGAACTGGAATCGTATTTAGGCCTCGGCTAATTGCACTGGAATAAAAATGTCAAGCCTGTTATATTTCAAGTTGAGTCAGGTAACTGAATTAAACAAATTGATGTGAAGAAGACTGCATTTGAGTTCAATTTGTTTAATGTATTGCTAAGGGAGTTGGAAGGAATTTATCAAATGCTTTGTTTGGCCATGTCAAAGCTTCCATTGCGGCTGCGCTTCACGGGTACGCGCTTTCCACAACATACAGCAAGGAGGAGGAGGCAAGGCACTCTATCATCAATTCTGAAGTTGGTTCGGTATGAAGGAATAACCCGTATTAAAACTAACCTGCAGAAAATGAAATGTGAAGAAATGGCCACACCATAAAGGACTACCGACTCCTGGAGCTTCAAATCTGAGAAACTTCAGTTCATTCTCTCGTTTATTTTTCCGTTCCTTGTGAAGACAGAGGAGTTTTATTAGCTTGCGTGGTTGGGCCGTGACTACGGGTTATGAGTATGTCTTTGAAGGGAGTTTTATGAAATCGATACTGCTGAACTTCAAGACGATGCTGCCAGTCTGTTGAGATCCATTTATTTAGCCGCTTGTTACATTATCATGTGTGTATTTGTGCAGTAACCATCCCAAGCCCACCCCTCTCCTGCATTTTGTTGAGAATGATCAAATGTAGCCAACGAGTTATGTGAACGGTTTAATTTACAATAATAATAATACGCGATTGATGTTTCAGCTCATGAGTAAATGCGGGTATTGAATTGTAGCTTATTATTATTATTGGGTTTATTTCAAGAATCATCTGTCGACTTGTCTAGCAGCTAACGTTAAATGGCCACAGTGGCGCGAGCTAGCTGCCCTATTACAGCCTGATAGACACTTGGACGTTATTGTGCATTTTGGATTCTTCTTCTTTCTTTGTGGGAATTGCTGGAAAGGCCACTCAGACTAAACTCACAGAAGATGTCGTTCTTCAATTTTCGAAAAATCTTCAAGTTGGGGTCTGATAAGAAGAAGAAACAGTATGAGCACGTACACAGAGACGAGAACCCGGAGGAAATCTGGGAGATTATTGGGGAACTGGGAGATGGGGCCTTTGGGAAAGTGTACAAGGTAATAAGAACGGTTTTATTCCCTTTCAGTATAAAAGCCATTAAGGTCAAGCCTGTTACTCATGATACCTTCATACAGGAAGTTCTACTGAGAGACATAACTCAACCCCTCCTATCATCAGCATGTCAAAAATGATTTTTTTTCTCCAAATTGAGTTCATGGCCCATCTCATTTTGTCATTTTTGTTCACCTTTGACATGTCAAATACTAGGCTACCTCAACATGAAATATTGCAAGACTCATATTGCCTGCCTAAAGCAGAACTTTTTTTTACAGATGAATTTTTCTATGAATGAATATTGAATATGGTAGTAGTATCCTTACTGAATTATACATTACTGGTAAACGATGACATTTTCAATGCTCGTCTATGTCGACATTCAGTTTTCAAGGAGTGGCTCTCCTAGAAAGTCAACGGGGCCTCCATAATGATAGGGTGGGTTTTAAGTGCAAATAAAAGGGTTCAAGTTCATACTCCCAGAACAGCAGTGCAGTGGGGTATGAAAATCCTCATGGCTAGTTGGGAAGGGAAACTCTTAGGCTGCAAAACAAATCAGAATAGTTCACATAGATACACCAGTGATCCGAGAAGAGCTTATTGTTGACTGTGAAGATGAGAGCAATATGGATTACTTGAGGGTGTGAGTTGCAGGCAGTAAACCTCATAGGAAACAGGATGCAGTTGAATAGTTACCTAGATAAGGAGGCCTTATCAATCAGAAAGGTCCCAGCAGTGTAGACACATCATTAGTGAACAGGTACTTTGTTGACATAGCCCAGGGGGGAGCAGGATGGGCGTTAATACCATGGACTGTACTGTAGCAGGTTCTCATGTCAGAAGTATGTGGGTGGAAATGTGTGATAATGAGTAAATGAGGGATACAAAGTATATACAGGTGCTTACACACAGGTGTGTTTCCTGAGTTAATTAAGCAATGAACATCCCATCATGCTTAGGGTCATGTATAAAAATGCTGCGCCTGAGACAGTGTTTTTCATCACCATCAACAAAACACCAAATTATGGAATTTATTGTAAAATAATGGTGTCACATCCCTCCAATAGAGTTCCAGACACTTGTAGAATCTATGGCAAGACACATTGAAGCTATTCTGGCTCGTGGTGGCCCTATGCCCTATTAAGACACTTTATGTTGATGTTTCCTTTATTTTGGCAATTACCTGTAGATTACCAGTTGTATTAGTCTATTCTTGGCTCTGGGGCTAGTAATCTAAATCATTCAATAGTCGTGATGCTTATTTAGGCCTGAACATTACTCTGTCAGGGTTGGGACCAGCACACAGAGAGGTAGAACTGTTAATGATTTACCTCCTACTGTACTTTCTTCATTACCTCCTACTGTACTTTCTTCATTACCTCCTACTGTACTTTCTTTGTTGTCTTGTTATCTTTGGGACTGGTGTCATCTTTGACCTAGTCAGCAAGATAGAGCAGAGGGAATAGCACTTTTGTTGTTGACTTGTTCATAGATGGTATTTACATTTACGTAATTTAGCAGACGCTCTTATCCAGAGAGGGGGGGGGGGGGGGGGGGTAGAAGGATTACTTTTATACTATTCCAGGTATTCCTTAAAGAGGTAGGTTTTCAAGTTTGGGGTGCCAGAGCAGCGAATAGCTTTGACTGGGCTGAGCGGGAACTGTGCTTCCGTAGAGGTAGGGGGGCTAGCAGGCCAGAGGTGGATGAACGTAGTGCCCTCGTTTGGGTGTAGGGTCTGATCAGAGCCTGAAGGTAAGGAGGTGCCGTTCCCCTCACAGCTCCGTAGGCAAGCACCATGGTCTTGTAGTAGATGCAAGCCTCAACTGGAAGCCAGTGGAGTGTGCAGAGGAGCGGGGTGACATGAGAGAACTTGGGAAGGTTGAACACCAGACGGGCTGCAGCGTTCTGGATAAGTTGTAGGGGTTTAATGGCACAGGCAGGGAGCCCAGCCAACTGCGAGTTGCAGTAATCCAGACGGGAGATGACAAGTGCCTGGATTTGGACCTGTGCCGCTTTCTGTGTAAGGTAGGGTCGTACTCTGCGAATGTTGTAGAGCATGAACCTGCAGGATCGGGTCACCGCTTTGATGTTAGCGGAGAACGACAGGGTGTTGTCCAGGGTCACGCCAAGGTTCTTTGCACTCTGGGAGGAGGACACAATGGAGTTGTCAACCGTGATGGCGAGATCATGGAGCGGGCAGTCCTTCCCCGGGAGGAAGAGCAGCTCCGTCTTGCCGAGGTTCAGCTTGAGGTGGTGATCCGACATCCACACTGATATGTCTGCCAGACATGCAGAGATGCGATTCGCCACCTGGTTATCAGAAGGGGGAAAGGAGAAAATGAATTGGGTGTCTGCGTAGCAATGATAGGAGAGACCATGTGAGGATATGACAGAGCCAATTGACTTGGTGTATAGAGAGAATAGGAGAGGGCCTAGAACTGAGCCCTGGGGGACACCAGTGGTGAGAGCACGTGGTATCTGCTAGCGGAACTTTGATGACCAAGAGAAAAATCTAAACGTAATGTCTAATGTAAACAAATTGTTCTCGCATGCGCATGTTCCGGTATTCTATAGGTCAGAAGTCTTTTATGCAGTCCTTGGAGCCTTCAGTTTCTGCTGATTCTCTCCTTTTCCTGGAACTTAACTGATCAAATTATGTTAGTGATTAGCCAGTGAGTCAATTTGCCCCGGTTACCCAAGTCTTCATTAGCTGATTAGGAGGCAATGATGAAAGCCAGGACTGGAGACACTGCAGCCCTCAAACAGAGTTGGGGAAAACTGACGTACTCAGTCATGCGTTCTAATGTCTCTGTCAACATAAGAACATCTTTGGTGTATCTAAACTGGATATCTTTTGTCATTAGTAAACACATCATGTCAATTGTTTCAGTGAGCTCCACTCAAATGCGCAGTGGTCTAAGGCACTGCATCTCAGTGCTAGAGGCGTCACTACAGACCCCCTGGTTAGATTCCAGGCTGTATCACAACCGGCCGTGATTGGGAGTCCCATAGGACGCTGGGCACAATTGGCCCAGCATCGTCCGGGTTTGGCCAGTGTAGGCCGTCATTTTAAATAAGAATTTGTTCTTAACTGACTTGCCTAGTTAAATAAAGGTAAAATAAAAAATAAAAAGATTGTACTTATAATTCCTATCCACTCACAGTCATGGAATGTAGTAAGTTGAGTTTGCCCTAATGGTTAACAATAACCAATCACTTGACCAAATCTGTTACCATGTAATGACAATATCAAACCCTGTACACTATTATCTGTCATCCCTTGGCCTACAACTGTTATTCCACACTACTGTACCTTAAAAGATCATTTTGCTTTTTCACAACCAAATCTCTATTTGTTGTGGTCCTCTGTAGCTCAGCTGGTAGAGCACGGCGCTTGTAACGCCAAGGTAGTGGGTTCGATCCCCGGGACCACCCATACACAAAAAAAATGTATGCACACATGACTGTAAGTCGCTTTGGATAAAAGCGTCTGCTAAATGGCATATTATTATTATTATTATTATTTTGTAAAAGGATCCATATACTTATTTTGCGATTTCACTTGTTTTTGAGAGACTTAGCCCAACCAGCGATTCACTTCCTCATCCTCATTGTGCACTACAGGGGCTCTGAAAAAACATGAACAAATGCTCCAAAAACGCCCTAATACGTCCTTTTAGAAACGTAAAAGCTCTCAGTATAGTGATGCTGGTCTTTAGATGTTGTACACATTAAATTGTTTCATTCCATACTTTATCCGCAACGTTATATTCCATTTTGTTGCAAATCAATCTGTATTTGGGTGTTTTTGGAGCATTTGTTCATGTTTTTTCAGAGCCCCTGTATGGCACAATGAGGATGAGGAATTGAATCGCTGGTTGTGGTAAGTTTCTCAAAAACAAGTGAAATCGCAAAAAAAGTGTCTGGTCCCTTCTATATTACATGCCATTTACATCAAAAATAGAGATTTGGTATTTAAAAAAAAAAGCCAAATTCTCCTTTATCATATTACAGCCCTGTGGTGGGTGTGTCACACTGAGGTGTGGTGGTGTTAGAGGCGGCAGCAGTGGGTGAATCAGCTGGCTGGGTCTGGGAGGAGGGGGATTCTTGGCATTCAGCCTGAGTCACAGCTCTGAGCTCACCCCATGACAAACCGTGGAGCACAGCCGCTGTAGTGGGTGTGAGGACATGCCATAGCTCCCTGTCACAACAGCTAACACAAACAACTGATAGCCCTCTATTCACATAGCTAGGTTACTTTCCCCTTCATCATTTGAGAGAGCAATACCTTCCCTTCTGCTTGCTTGGGGCTGTGCTCATTCATGCTTCTTTAATGTAAATCTCTGGACCTGTTTTGATTTGGTCTTCTTGCCAGTTTCCTTGTTATGCTTTGCTAAAGGTCAGACTGTTTCTTGGATATGAACCATCAGAGTTCTTGATGGAATGTGAAGGCTGATGCCCAGTAGAACTGAGGTCATAGAGCCCATTAAAATAGGTAGGCAAATATCCCCAGCATCACAGGTATGAGCTCGTGTTGAATGTGTGACCGCTGAGGCTAGGGCAGGCGATGCCTGGTACAGACAAAGAAAGGGAGTGACTGTGTAAATATAAAGTCTGATGCAGTTCGCTACACTGACACTCCCTCCCTCCTTCATTTTCCTTAACTCCACTAGTTTGGCTCTGTATCCATAAACATTAAGGCCAAAGCTTAGCTCAAAATAGCAGCCCAGTCTGCTAATGAGAGAGAGGAAGTGGAGAATGTCATTCTTCCCATTAAATGTCTTCCTTTTCAACCAGGTCAAGCCTTTGCAAGTAGCCAAAGGAACATGCATGTATCTATATGCTTTTGACCAATACACATGGTTGCTCGTTTATGCTTCCTAAAGCCATAAGCTAATACCTTTTCTATATATCTAATCTAACTTTTAGCTTGAGCTGGATCCTAAATCCCTTGGTTTTATTGTAATTATCTGCTGTCAACATTTGTCTGTTTTATGACTCCTGGTTACAATAACTTTTAACTATCATGACCATTTTGTTGTTTGTTGTTTTCTTAGAAAACTGCACCTTTTGATATTAAACATGATATAAAATATGTTTAGGTAATTTTTTTTACAGTAGTTATCACCAAGGATAGATAGCATAGCTTGGGCATGTGGTACCAGTTGTTCCTATGCGTTTCCTTTCCGGAACAGTTAACCTTGATAGTCTGTTAGGCTAGTAAATACAGTTTAGCTATCTGTTTTTTCCAGAGACTCCACACTGTAATTGTCCTGACCACAGATGGGAATTGGGCCTCTCCTCAAGCTGATTTTCCTGCAAATATAAAGCCTCTTTCTTATGTTTTTGTGTCTGTATGATGAAATACATTTACAGAAAGATGTGACCTTTAGAAAATTGCCTTCAGCTGCACTACCATAAACCACTCCAATGCTAAATGCTCCAACTCCAAAACGGCAGTGGCCTTTTCATGTTATCGTTACCGTTCATAAATGTCTTTACGTTAACCACTATCCATTAGTACGGCTAATAATCTGCAGCGCTTTTTCTGCCGTGTGAGTTTGATCGAATGGCGCTTCTTGTCAGGAGAATACATTCACTCATTTCCCTTTTCGTTGTCTTTGTTGTTTTAGGCCCAGAACAAGCAGACTGGGACCCTGGCTGCTGCCAAGGTGATCGATACCAAGACAGAGGAGGAGCTGGAGGATTATATGGTGGAGATTGACATTCTGGCCTCCTGCGATCACCGTTACATAGTCAAACTGCTGGATGCCTTCTATTATGAAAGTAAACTGTGGGTAAGTGGGCTCCCTCTGGAGGAGTTGGGTTTCTCAGATGTGGAGAACAGGGCCACTTAGTGTTCACAGTTCACACCACTCACACACTTGTGTGCATACTCATGATCCTGCTAAGGTGGGGGAGTTCACCGTCTAACACTTGAGAAACCTCAATCTATATGCACCTTACACAAGTCAAAAATGATGATATTTCTCATTTATATACAAACCAGTGCTTTATAGATTAACCTTACGATTCAAATAAGGTCGCCTCACATTCTCTTATCAATGTCGCACCTTATTCTCTCTCAAGCCCCAGACTTCACATAGGGATAGTGCTGAGCGATACATATTTTTATTATTATTAAATAACTAATTGACTAATGTCGGTTCAATTACTTGAATTCCATTTAGTTCTTATTTTTGTGTGAGCCCAATGTGCCGTTTCTCTAGAGAGAAATCAGATAATTCACAAGAGAAATCAAGTCAAGAACTATGTGGGACACTGGGTTGAAGGGAGTTGTAGTTTTCATTAAACAAATATTCAACCTAGTTCAGCGCAGAAATGTGGAAATTAACTACAATGACCATCCATGGCGCTGGTTCTTTCGGATACACTTTTACGCCTGCTACGTAAGGTTAGATACACACAGACTGCATGATAGAGGAATGTACACAACACACCGATGAGAGGCATAGAGACTGTTCGTGAAAGTTTACCTTTTCTACTTTAAAGAACTAGAACAATTATCTTGTCAGACAGCTCTGCAGCATACTTAGGCAGTCTAGCCTAGCTAAATAGGATGGCTAAAGACAGTACAGTATGGGGAGCACAGAGATAACATTAGGTGGTCTGGCTGGCTGGCTGGCTGCTACTGCCTGAGCAGAGATGAAATGATGACTAAGTCATCAAATAAAAACCTAAGTAATGTATTCAACTTAAATATCTTATTATTGATAGTCATTTACTATTTTTGTGTTGATGTCTACCCAATGTGGACCTGACCTGACATAATAATTTAGTAATTATTTCATAATGCATTTCATGTTTTGAAAAATAATCTAAATCAAATCAAAACGTGATTATTTTTTCATAAACGAACCAACCTCAAAAAGCACTAATCACCTTCAACTGCTGTGTAAATGCTGTCAGTGGATCCTGTCACACTGTTGGTGTGTTTAGAGAGAACTACCGCGCGATTACGTCCAGGTGGTATCATGTGATCCCCCGCTGTGGGGCTGCAGCCATGGGAAGATAATGGACTGCTACTCTGGGCTGGAGAAAGTGCTGATGAATAATTTAGAGACCTCATGCCATGTAGTGTGTGCCACTGGTTGAGTCCTGAGAGAGATTAACGTGTAACTTCTGCCTTTAAAACATGTCAGGCGTTTAGTTAATGTGTGTGAACATTCCATTCAGTCAAAAAAAAGGACTCATTCATACCAAACCCTGTGCAACAGTAGGTGAATGTAGTGAAATATACTTAAGGCACTGCCAGTAAAATGGTAGCTAGTGCCTGATGACTTACGACGCTGTTAAGGCATAGTAAATAATAATGGAGGAGATTTATGACTGCTTTAATGATAATTGTATCATATTTAATGTATGATAACATTAGTAAACCATTTAAAATGGTTCATTATTGTAAAACGGTTAGCCCTCCATTGATGTGTATCATTACATAATGGATCACCACAGTCTTTCCATCCTCTTTGTTTAACTCACTGAATGGGCGTCGCTCAGTGAAGGTTTTGATTGATTTGTGTTACATCCGATACCTCAAGCTGCTGTTTTACACGTCCTGGCTATGCTCCCATGAATCAGGTGATTAGTATAGCTCACAATAGCTTTTATCACAGAGGTCAGAGGCTGGTCAGTTTTCACATCTCCATAACTGCATTAGTTCATGACATCATCTGATAAACCAGACAGAACTTTACCAATGGCTCAGTGCACTTACCAATTGCTAAGCCCCACCCCCATTGGTTACGGTTGCAACCTCGGACAACATTTTCCTGGGAAGCCCAATTCCCCATTCAACCACTGCCGAAATCCCCTCATAATGATCTCAAACTGTTAGCTAGCCACTGAATGCCTCTGAATTCATTTTTGCCATAGCCCTCACTGGCTTTCATGCGATATAAACTTGAGCTTATCTGAGGTGTAGGACTTGACACAGTTGCTATCCATTGGAGTGCTGCAATTGGTTGGCCAAAATTCTGGGGCGGGGCTTAGCAAAAGGTCAATTGATAAAGTTATGTCTAATAGTTGTTGTTGTAGAAAGTGTTGGAATGGTTCTAAGAGGTTATGTAGACTGTGGGTGAGTGGAGTAGACCTCTCATTCTCCAGTCTGGCCTTTGTCTGCTGTGTGTGTGGACCATTGTGTCTGGGGCAATGGCTGCTACAATGACTCTTCCTCTTAGGAACAACACTGGAGCAGAGCTCAATAGAGTAGGCATTTGTTTTCCTCACATCATCCTGTAATACAAATAGTGTGGTCAGATTTGAATTGCTTGCGGAGAAGTTGCCGTCTGAGGACCACACTTTTTGAAAAAGAGCTGATTTAAAAAACCTGATGTAGTTTATGCTGCAGATTTATCTGTCAAACATGTATGCCAAACTGAATCTCTTACAAAAAATGAGGAAGTCCCTTCAGTTTAATGATGAAAAACAATTGATAAGAATTATTGCACTGGTTAGCATTGCACCACAGTAATTGAGAACCTAAAGAGCTTTCACAAGGTTGTAAAGAGAATTTCTGCTGTGAAGGATATCTGTAATTGAGTGGTCCTTTTACATGTGAATTAAGCTCACAATTTACATAATAGAATTTCTGAATATATCCACTGTGAAATCCACTCATCTTATTGCCCAGTTAAATGAAATGACAAGTTTGTGCATGCAACAGAGAGTAGCTGGAATCAATGTGTCTCGCAAGCACCCTTGCGAAACTTTATTTTCATCCAGCTCCAAAGAATTTGACCTCAAGTCTCCCTCCATTAAAACATTGATGTTTTCAGGTTTGAGTGTTACCCTGAAACACGCATAACATCGAGGGGAAACATTGGTACAGTGTATAGTAACTGTGTATGTAATTTCTCTCTCCTCAGATTCTGATTGAGTTCTGTGCGGGAGGTGCTGTCGATGCAGTCATGTTGGGTGAGTATGGATTTTCAAAAAGATTTACAAAGTAAGTGAAAAAAGGAATACATGGAAAATTACGGCGTCCCTCTGTCCTCAAAGAAAGTCAGATCATCACAAATGTTATTTTTATTTCATTACAAAACAGCCAGTGTAGAATATGTTCCCTCCACCCAGTTGGGAGTGGTCAAAGTGTATAATTATCATAGTTCCCATTTCTAGGAGTGGTTAGTCCAGTTTTAATGCCTCAGTACTTTCTGTTGTGTTATTTTGAAGTTTTAAGGAACCTCCCACCATTGGTTTAGAGTTGAATTGGGACTTGCTGATTTATATTTTAGGCATTTAGCAGACACTCTTATCCAGAGCGATTTACAGGAGCAATGAGGTTTAAGTGCCTTGCTCAAGGGCATATTGACAGTTTTTTCACCTAGTCGGCTCAAGGATTCAAACCAGCGGCCTTTTGGTTACTGGCCTTATGCACTTAACCACTAGGCTACACAATCAAGCCAATCAGATATGACTGGGTGTCAGTCTTTACACTGTGAGATGTAAAATATGAAATTAATCTGAGGCTTTGAGTTGAGACCACATGTCCTCCATTTTGTAACAGCACACTGTCATTCTATTATACCACACAGTTTATTTCACGACCAACTATGACTCCCCTCAAGTCAACTCTAGCTTGTATTTCTATTTTTAGCGAGTAGATTACAATTCACACAGGCTGATAATGATAGCACAAATAGCCTGTTTTGTGTAATGAGTTTACATATAGGCTGCTACCCTTCTTCACTCTAAGCATGTAAGTCACAGGAGGCTGGTGGCACCTTAATTGGGGAGAACAGTCTCGTTCTAATGACTGGAGCTGAATAAGTGGAATGGTATCAAACACATGGTTTACAGGTGTTTGATGCCATTCCATTTGCTCCGTTCCGTCCATTATTATGAGCTGTCCTCCCCTCAGCAGCCTCCTGTGATGTATGTATAGGTGGGAGGTGTTGTTAAAGAGCCACTGAATATGCCGATCGGCACTTGTGTTTTTCTGTTGCTCATTAGAAAAACGCTATTTCAGTTTGGAGGTGTGTTTCCTGACCTATTTCGCCTTTGGTTAATGATGTTTGTCCCCCATGAGACATTGTAGACGCAAAAGCCTATTTCACTTCCTCAAAATCCCCAGAATGAATCTTAAGATGAAACAAGATATCTGTAATTAATGTTGATGTTTTTGCTGAGGATGTTTGAGTTGCGCAATTTTACATCTTAAGGTGTTTGTTGCAGTATTTCTCAAGTAAAATAAATTGCGACATGTTCTTTAATGTAAACCTGCTGGGCAGGTATGTCTCATCGTCTATGCTATTGGATAGAGCGCAATCACCGCAGCTCTTCACCCCATGTTAGTGGGCAAATGGACATCATCAAATCAAAATCCAACCTTCATTTAACTGTTGTGACGTATGGATGGTCCAAACTCCGTTTTTAGATTAGACTGACTTTATGACCTAAATTATCCTATTTACACTTTGTTGTCAATTTTGACACTAGAATAACTGTTTCTGACTCGATTACACAGGTTGTTTTTCCAAAGGGATTTGTTGCTTTTTAAAAGCAGTCACTCTTTAAACAGATATGAAATGTCATGGTTGAACCTCTTCTGTTGGAACAGGAGTGGTCCAGTGTTGTGACTCACTCTTCCATGCTGTTGGTCCAGTCATGACTGCTGGCTGTAGGAAGATGGGCGTGGAGCAGTGTTCTTTTGCAGTTGCTAAGGGTTACAGCCCCATGTCTCCAAATTGTTATGTCTAGTGTGTGTTCACCATGTACTATGAAGGATACAGTACATAAAGCATAGGTAAAACCTTTATGAAATGTCAACAAACGACACAAAGTTCCAGTGGATAGAGATTTGTGGTACACTAAATTCATGTGTCTGCTTCGTCTATGCCTCTGCAGAGCTTGAGAGGCCTCTGACAGAGCCCCAGATCCGGGTGGTGTGTAGGCAGACGTTGGAGGCCCTGGCCTACCTTCATGAGATCAAGGTCATCCACAGAGACCTGAAGGCTGGGAACATCCTCTTCTCACAGGAGGGGGACATCAAATTGGGTAAGGCCTTGCCTCGCTGGACCTCTATTGGCTCTTTGTCTAAGAACATATCCTACTGTATTTCATGAGTAGTAGGCTGTCCTCTGTTGACTTGAGAATAGGTTTAACTGGTATCCTGAAAATATATTGTTAAAATGTCCTTAATGTGACACTCCTAATAGGCTTTAAGCTTAGGAAAGTGTGGTGTTACTACCCCTTTACTTTGAGGGCCTTTGCATCCAGCCCAGGAGAGAATGTAGTGGACTGGTCACTGGCCTGATATGTGTTGTTAAAAATACAGGATTCATAAATATAATAACCTAATGCACCACTTGTAATGTGGGGGAAAGTTCAAAATAGTGATGATTCATCATCATTATTGGCAACATGCAGGCTGCAAATGTATGTAAATGAAGCCTTGGATATGTAAATGTTGCAGTTGAGTTAAGTGATGGCACCCATAGCTACAGTTTCCATGATGATTCATATGATGTAGGCATACGGAGGGTCATGACGGGGCTAGGCGTAGCCTTAATTAGCAGGCAGTCGCTAGGGACACAACATGCTTCATTTTATCTCTCACATGTACACTAAGACTGCAGTTAGAGGCAAAGTAACATTCAGAAATAATCACAAGGTAGTGTCGCAATGACAGGCTCCAAGTACAAAATTAAGGAGTATATTGTGAATGTGGATGTATATTAACTTAGATTTCTTATAAAAACATAATTAAATGCTCTTAAGCCATATATAAACCAAGTAGCAGCAATACAAGTCATTGTGGTGACATCACCATACACATCCATTAAGTCTCTCTGTCATTCTCCATCTCCACCCAACTGCCAAACTACTAAATTCTGAATCAATGTCTGTTTTCAGCTGACTTTGGCGTGTCCGCTAAGAATACCATGACGCTACAAAGAAGAGATTCTTTCATTGGCACTCCATATTGGTGAGTCATGCTGTTCTGATTCTTTACGTATAAATTTTTATAGCTTCTGATTTGAACTGAACAAAACTTGTATGAGGAGTATTTCATATCCACGGGGCAACCATTTGTTTCGCAGCGATGATGTCAAGCTAATTACCAGTATATTACTGTAGGGGTGAATGAAAAAGCTCTTTCAGAATGTCCAATGCACTGACTCATGTTCCAAATACCGTATTTTCCGTACTATAAGGCGCACCGGAGTATAAGCCGCAGCAGCTAAATTGAATGATATTGAATGATGTGTACATATATAAGCCGCACTGGACTATAAGCCGCAGGTGTTTTAATGTTTAATTACCATATGTAAGGGTTCGTGCACAGAGGGGATTGTCGGGAAAGAGACAAACTGTCTCGCTCTCGTAATGTCTGTCTGTCTTGCTCTCGTTCTGTCTCTCGTACCACTCTCGGTTCCACTTTTACTTTTGCGCGCTACCTGTCTCACTCTTTTCCGGCCTCCAGCTTTTCCTGCTGGAGCCCGCCGCTTAAAGGTGGGGGGCGCGGACCGGTCATAGAGCCCATAGAGTTAAAGTTGGTGGACTGTAACCTGTAAAATCCATAGATTTAGGAGGTCTTCTAGTGGCCGTTAGCTGTAAAAATCCATAGATTAGCCGCACCGTTATATAAGCCGCAGGGTCGAAAAATTGGAAAAAAGGCGCGGCTTATAGTCCGAAAAATACGGTAGTATACTCTTTGAAAATCACACCAGAACACACACCCAGTGTACACACAAACACACTAGCTTTCACCTACACACACACACACACACACACATAAACTAATGGAACACTTGGGCATTCACTCACTCACTCTCGCATGCACAACACACACAAACACCAGGGTTTCCGTTAGGAAAATATGGTGCCGGACATTTGACCGGCAGCATTTTAATTTACCGGACATTTGAGAAATTTACCAGACACATATGCATTGGGTGCGTAACCTGATTAGGGCGTCCACCCACAGTGCTCAGAATGACAAAAATCAAATTTAGATTATGGCCATTTATATTAACAGAAAATGCAAGTCGAGAATGCAACGATGTGCGGTCCTTACCTCATTCTGATGCGCACTTTGAAGATGTTAGAATAACTGTCCACATTTACATTAGCCAACAAGATGAGTAAAGAACAGCAAAAATCACTAGCCTATGTCAATCTCCTATCCCCCATAGTAGAAAAGTTTACCTATTCTATTGGGCAGCTTGTCGAGAAAGAAATAGCCTATTCCAAACAGACTCTGGAACAGTTGTGTGACGTTAGATCCCACATTTATACAACCAGTACAGTGAGGGAAAAAGTATTTGATCCCCTGCTGATTTTGTATGTTTGCCCACTGACAAAGACATTATGGGTCTATAATTTTAATGGTAGGTTTATTTGAACAGTGAGAGACAGAATAACAACAACAATATTATAAATTGATTTGCATTTTAATGAGGGAAATAAGTATTTGACCCCTCACATGACTTAGTACTTGGTGGCAAAACCCTTGTTGGCAATAACAGAGGTCAGACGTTTCTTGTAGTTGGCCACCAGGTTTGCACACATCTCAGGAGGGATTTTGTCCCACTCCTCTTTGCAGAACTTCTCCAAGTCATTAAGGTTTCGAGGCTGACGTTTGGCAACTCGAACCTTCAGATCCCTCCACAGATTTTCTATGGGATTAAGGTCTGGAGACTGGCTAGGCCACTCCAGGACCTTAATGTGCTTCTTCTTGAGCCACTCCTTTGTTGCCTTGGCCGTGTGTTTTGGGTCATTGTCATGCTGGAATACCCATCCACGACCCATTTTCAATGCCCTGGCTGAGGGAAGGAGGTTCTCACCCAAGAGTTAACGGTACATGGCCCCGTCCATCGTCCCTTTGATGCGGTGAAGTTGTCCTGTCCCCTTAGCAGAAAAACACCCCCAAAGCATAATGTTTCCACCTCCATGTTTGACGGTGGGGATGGTGTTTTTGGGGTCATAGGCAGCATTCCTCCTCCTCCAAACACGGCGAGTTGAGTTGATGCCAAAGACCTCGATTTTGGTCTCATCTGACCACAACACTTTCACCCAGTTATCATCTGAATCATTCAGATGTTCATTGGCAAACTTCAGACAGGCCTGTATATGTGCTTTCTTGAGCAGGGGGACCTTGCGGGCGCTGCAGGATTTCAGTCCTTCACGGCGTAGTGTGTTACCAATTGTTTTCTTGGTGACTATGGTCCCAGCTGCCTTGAGATCATTGGCAAGATCCTCCCATGTAGTTCTGGGCTGATTCCTCACCGTTCTCATGATCATTGTAACTCCACGAGGTGAGATCTTGCATGGATCCCCAGGCCAAGGGAGATTGACAGTTATTTTGTGTTTCATCCATTTGCGAATAATTGCACCAACTGTTGTCACCTTCTCACCAAGCTGCTTGGCGATGGTCTTGTAGCCCATTCCAGCCTTGTGTAGGTCTACAATCTTGTCCCTGACATCCTTGGAGAGCTCTTTGGTCTTGGCCATGGTGGAGAGTTTGGAATCTGATTGATTGATTTCTTCTGTGGACAGGTGTCTTTTATACAGGTAACAAACTGAGATTAGGAGCACTCCCTTTAAGAGTGTGCTCCTAATCTCAGCTCGTTACCGGTATAAAAGACACCTGGGAGCCAGAAATCTTTCTGATTGAGAGGGGCTCAAATACTTATTTCCCTCATTAAAATGCAAATCAATTTATAACATTTTTGACATGCGTTTTTCTCGATTTTGTTTGTTGTTATTCTGTCTCTCACTGCTCAAATAAACCTACCATTAAAATTACAGACTGATCATTTCTTTGTCAGTGGGTAAACGTACAAAATCAGCAGGGGATCAAATACTTTTTTCCCTCACTGGAGGCCTAGGCTACATAAAAAATCTAAATAAATACAAAAAAAAGCCATGAGTCTGATGAAACAGATCAGAACATTCAGCTTAAAATGTTGATTAACTATTATTTCTTCACATTATAAGCTTAGCAATGAGCACAAGGCAGTAGACTACATGTGAATGTTCCTTCCATAACGCAATTATTGGGAAAACACTTGTCAAAAGCGCATTGCACATGCGAGCGGCTTCATGTGACAGAAATTTAGAAAGAGGGGAGATCTAATATGCAAAAACTAGCATGGGTTGCTAATACTCTAGGATTGTGCGTTTGGCTACTGGACAATGAAAGACAGTTGATATAAAAGAATTGCCTCCATGGATATGGTCTGATTTTGGCTAGGCTATTTTGAAGCAAGGTAAGACATGCCTTATGTGTAGTAAAACGTTCAAGTTTCAAACAATTAAGTATATGTTTTCAAAATGCATACTGCCTCCAGCTCATTGCAAAGTGGTGTGTGACGCGCTGATGAAGCCTGCCTTCCATTGCCTATGCAATTTCTGTTTGAAATGCTGTAGCAGCAGCTCTCGCGTGGTCGTACAGATTTTTCACTCAAAGGCTCTGTATCTGTATGCTGTACGCGTGTGATAAATAAGATACATAACGAATATACTGTACACGTGCCAATTTAATTTGGCTAAATTATGCAAATTACCTATAGAGAGATAAGCATGACCGGTCAAAAGTGCCTTTGGAAAGTATTCAGATTCCTTTACTTTTTCCAAGTATAACTTCTGGAGGAGACCTGGCACCATCCCTACGGTGCACCATGGTGGTGGCAGCATCATGCTGTGGGGATGTTTTTCAGTGTCAGGGACTGGGAGACTAGTCAGGATCGAGGGAGAGATGAATGGAGCAAAGTACAGAGAGATCCTTGATGAAAACCTGTTCAGGACCTCAGACTGGGGCGAAGGTTCACCTTCCAACAGGACAAAGACCTTAAGCACATAGCCAAGACAACGCAGAAGTGGCTTCGGGACAAGTCTCTGAATGTCCTTGAGTGGCACAGCCAGAGCCCGGACTTGAACCCGATCGAACATGTAAATGTATATTTCAGTTTTTATTTTATTTTTGTTATGCAAACATTTCTAAAATCCAGTTTTTGCTTTGTCATTATGGGGTATTGTGTGTACATTGATGAGGGGGAAAAAAACTATTTAATCCATTTTAGAATAAGGCTGTAACATAACAAAATGTGGAAAAGGTCAAGGGGTCTGAATATTTTCCGAAGGCACTGTATTTCCATCGACTGGTTATTTCCATCAGGAAACAGGATTTTTTCTTCTTCTCCCGGACAACTGGCCGGAGCCAATTGTATTAATCGTCTTTTTCAAGTTTATTATCAGCCAAAAGCCGGCTATTACCGACTAACGTAAACCCTGACACACACGTACACATACTAACACAACCTCTCTCTCCTCTGGTTCTCCAGGATGGCTCCAGAGGTGGTGATGTGTGAGACATCTAAGGACCGTCCGTACGACTACAAGGCTGACATCTGGTCCCTGGGGGTCACCCTGATTGAGCTGGCACAGATAGAACCTCCCAACCACGAGATGAACCCCATGAGAGTCCTGCTGAGAATAGCCAAGGCCGATCCGCCCACACTCATGCAGCCTTCACGCTGGTGAGAGTGTAGAATAATGTTATAGCGAGTGATGGAATGAGTCAGGACTGGTGTCGTAGAAACAGACCCTAGACCAGGTGATGGAACACAGTGAATTGTAGTCTGAAATATGTATCCCCCTCTGTTTGGCAGGTCACCAGAGTTCAATGACTTTCTGAGGAAGGCGCTGGACAAGAATGTGGACCGTAGGTGGGGCACAGCACAGCTCTTGCAGGTGAACGACTCGGCATGTCCGATAACCTGCATATATAAAAAAGAAAAAAACTTGCTTTATTGTTTCCAAGCCTTCTTTCCATCTATTGTCACATGCGAAGAACAAACATCTTGAATACCCCGCCCTAACACTTATTTTAAAGTGTGTGCTGATGTCACACGTATGCCCCTGTATTGACTACATGTTGTGGGATAATTTACTACCTTGTATTGATTGTATTGTGTTTCCCCACCACTCCATACAGCATCCCTTTGTTAGCAGTGTAGTTGACAACAAACCTCTGAGAGAACTGATTGCTGAGGCCAATGCTGACGTCTTAGAGGAAATTGAAGAAGGTAAAGAGGAAGAGGAAGAAGAAGAGACGGATGCAACTCTGGTATGTAGTATACCACACTGTTTTCATCATTCAATATGGAATAGTGTCATAAAAGGTCATAAAGTCTCCCAGCATTGATTGGCCATGTGTTTTCCCTGTTTCTGTGAAGGTGGTGCCCGGACATAAGCGAGCGCCATCAGACACCAGCATGGTCAGCTCTGAGGATGAGAAGCTCTCCGAGACCACCTCTACACTGGACTCAGTCACAGAGAAGACAGAGCCTGAGACTGCAGAGGATAAGACCAGTGATAAGCTGTCTGACGATGGCCTGGGGACCAGTGTGGTCGACAGGGCAGAGGGTGAGAAACTGAACGAGGTGTCTGATGCCAGTAATGAGGACTTAATCAATGGACAGGTGAAGCCCATGGAGCCCAAACCAGAGGAAAGCCCTGCAGGAAAGCTTGAGGAGATTCCTGACCGTCAGATCACCATTGTGTCAGAAGCACCATCAGACACACAGGAGAGTGTGATTGTGAGTGAGGAGACGGGGGAAGAGGAGAAAGTAGAGGATGGACCTCTACAAGTATTCGTGGAGGAAAGAGTAGAAGTAGAGGAGCATCAGACAGAAGAGGAGGAGGAGGAGAAGGTGAAGAGGGAACCAATCACAGAGGATCCAGAGGTGATTCTCCAGCCTCCCACCGAATTCACAGATCCAGGGGACCAGCCTAGTAGTGCTTTAGAGGAACCTGGCGCCGTGTCGACAGAGGTCAATGCTAAACCAGAGGAGACTGAGAAGGAGACACTCATAGAGGAGATGACAGAGGAGGTTAAACCAGAGGCTGATGGGGTCACAGACATAAACACAGACACCGACGTGATTGAAGACACAGACGCAGACAACACAGAATCGGACGTCAACACAGACGCAGAGGTAGATGCAGCTGAGGGCTCCACAGAGGTCTCTGCAGACACAGAACCCCAAAGAGACAATAATGTAATACCGGTGGTGGTTCTTGAGGAGGGGACAACAGAAGAAAGGGAGGAGAAGCCACCAGCTGAGGAAGCGCGATCCCAGAATACCGTTTCGGAGTCAAAGACCGACCAGGAAAGCACTCCTGTTAAGTCGAAGCCAGATGTGGAGAAGGACTTGGACTCTGGGAGCAGCTCTGCAGCCGATAGCAACAGCATGGACCTCAACCTGTCCATCTCCAGTTTCCTGTCCAAAAAGGCTGAGTCGGGATCTGTGTCCATACAGGTAACAAGGCAGAAGTTGACCAATGATGACAAATGTGTCCCAGATACAGGATGTACAGTGTCATTCAAGTGAACATCCTATTTAAGGGGCCAAAATATGCACTTCAATTCAGACATTACATAAAACAATATCCTTTTCTCCGCAGGACACGAGACGGCAGAAGAAGACTCTGAAGAAGACCCGTAAGTTCATGGTGGACGGAGTAGAGGTCAGTGTGACCACGTCAAAGATAGTCACCGATAACGACACCAAGAACGAGGAGATGAGATTCCTGAGGTAGGTCTCTCCTCTGTACCGTGACTAAATATGGCATGTGACCCATTTCGGAGTCCTGCCATAAATAGTTATCATTCATTGCTCAGTTCCCTGGCTTTTACAACTCCAAGATTGATGAACAACGATGAAAGGTAGACTTTTATGGTCTATTTTGGCCATATATTTTAAAGAGCAGTGGAAAAAATACTCACCTGCTCCATCTCAAATGTCATCTGTTGTTCCTCTTTTGGTGTCAAGAGTTGACCTTCTTGTGATTCCCTGACCTGAGAGCTGGGTTCATTCCATTTTGACTCAATTTCAAGTTAAATCAGGAAATTAACCGGTCACCTTACTCACCTATGGACAGATTCCATGCCCCTCCAGGGAGTTAAATATAATATGTTACAAATCATTTGTTGGAAGGTGGAAATCTGTTGAGTCCAATTGTGAACTGTTATTGTGTGTTGTCAGGCGCCAGGAGCTGCGAGAACTGCGTCTGCTGCAGAAGGAGGAGCATAGAGCCCAGCAAGAGCTCAGCAACAAGCTGCAGCAGCAGAGAGAACAGATCTACCGCCGCTTTGAGCAGGAGATGACCGTGAGTCACCCATCCTGGTGCATCTATCTGTGTGTGCTGTTGTTGTCGTCTAGGGATGTCCCCTTGGAAACCAGATGATTCATATCAATGGGTTTTTATCCTGCACACATATTCAGATAGAAATGAATAACAAAATGAGTAACTGTTATTCCCTCTGGTCATGTTAGAATACTTAAAAATATACATCCCTCCGAATCCTTTCACTGATGTGACAGGGTTTTACTGGTAAAAGAAATACAATAAGAAACCTTGCTTTTCAGAATCTGTTGTGAATGTATTGTTATGTTTTAAAAATGGTATAAGTGCCTTAATTTTGCTGGACCCCAGGAAGAGTAGCTGCTGCCTTGGCAGGAACTAATGGGGATCCATAATAAATACAAATACACTCAAAACATGCATTTGCCATTCCACTAAGGATCAAATCAAATCAAATCAAATGTTATTGGTCACATGCGCCGAATACAACAGGTGCAGACATTACAGTGAAATGCTTACTTACAGCCCTTAACCAACAGTGCATTTATTTTTAACAAAAAAAGTAAAAATAAAACAACAACAAAAAAAAAGTGTTGAGAAAAAAAAGAGCAGAAGTAAAATAAAGTGACAGTAGGGAGGCTATATATACAGGGGGGTACCGTTGCAGAGTCAATGTGCGGGGGCACCGGCTAGTTGAGGTAGTTGAGGTAATATGTACATGTGGGTAGAGTTAAAGTGACTATGCAGTCAAATCTGTCAACAGAAACTAATCAACTCTAATCACTCAAACAGTGGATAGGCATTTGTCTTGGTGAAAGCCTGATCTTAATAATCCCAGGTGTGCTCCTCCAGGGTAAGAAGCGTCAGTACGACCAGGAGGTGGAGAACCTGGAGAAGAAACAGAAGCAGACCATCGAGCGTCTGGAGCAGGACCACACCAACCGGCTGAGGGACGAGGCCAAACGCATCAAGGCCGAGCAGGACAAGGAGCTCTCCAAGTTCCAGAACATGCTCAAGAACCGCAAGAAGGAGGTAAGGAGCCATGGGGCATGTGGGGCTGTGCATGTGCAACGCATTCAACTCTTGTCATGAATGGAAAGGGCATGAGACTGTTGGGGACTGGGGCTTGCTTACCGGAGCTGGTGTGCTGATATCTAAATAAACTCCCATTTTGCTTTGCTGTTGATACCTTCCGTACATTGGGGTATACTTTATAAAGGGTTTATAAACCGTTTCTTATAGTCTATAGCTGTAATAAGCCCATATCATGCCTTTTATCATGATTTCTTTGGGGTGCAACATGGTGATTCTCTGCTCAACAGCTTTGGCATGCAACACTCTATCCAAAATGACAGTGGTGTTGCGGTATTTTTTGATACTAGTCATGCATACAATATGTGCTTTTTTTATTCCATGCCATGGATCTGAAAATGATGTGGCTTCTTTTGCCAAGTTCTATAAATCATGCGTTCAGTTTTTTGTCTAGAGTACATGCAATGTAGCTTAGCTTTACTGTGTCTCTAATTCATACTGCTCTTATAACTCCATTAGCTATCCGGGAAGCTTTAAGTATTCTGCCATGTTGGTGAAGTGTTCTCAGGCAACTCTCGTGGCCAAACCTATCCAACTATGTGATGGTGGTTATCTCATACATGCATGGCAATCCTACAGACCTGATTAGACTGACTGCTCTCGCTGCTCAACTGAACAAAGCAACTACTTTGAACCTATACAGGATCTGCACTGGCTCCTGGAATGAATCTTTTAGAATACATATTTTTTCTGGAATAGTTGTTTTATATATTGTTAAATTACATATTGTATTATATGGCTATTAATATTGTATTTTAAGGTATATTAGTCCATACATGTATTTGACTGTACTGTATTTATATGTAAGTAACCATGTCTCTTGTGTGAGTGTGTGTGAGTTGGGTTTGGTGATGGGATGGAGGACTTTGGGAAACTAATATTGTTAAAGGCTCAAAGGATTACATCTTTGATGAAACACTTCAGTGGCCTTGTGAAGTATTGTAGCAGTTTAGGCCTTTTACATTTACATTTTAGTCATTTAGCAGACTGACCAGTGATCCCAAGGTTGATGCACATTCAAATACCAAGATGTCCCAAGAGAATGTCCTGACAAAAGAAAACTGTTTGCAAGGGGTTTGGTCAGGAGAAACCTCTGGAAATTATTTTGTTGCCATGTCTCAACAAAACTGCCTTAGTCTGTGGTCAAAACTAAAATGATATTTTACACACTGGATTAGTAGTGTGCACCTTCTTAGTGATCACTGTGTACTGTGTAAGCATTCTGTACTTACGATTGATTCTCTCTAAAGGACTTGCATGGTGGGAAGGTAACACTAGGGAATTATTCCAGACTAACTTGTTTTCCTATTTAACACTGCAAGCTGATTTAATCATACAGGTATCAAGTCAAATCTGTCAACAGAAACTAATCAACTCTAATCACTCAAACAGTGGAACAATTTATTTGCTCTAAAGCTTTTGGATACTCTACTAATCAAACAAACGCAAAACATTTCCTAATTAAATCAAACACCAACCACTTGGAGATCTAGCATGGAGACACTATCAATCAAACCAGGGTTTGTGGATATCTAAAGTAATTTATCAGGGCCTTGCATGACTTTTCCCTAGTTATTATGACTGACGTACATAGCGGTCCAGGAAACTACAACTCCCAGTTTTCCCACACTATAGGTGAAACAGGAAGTTGAACAGTCACCCAAATTCATGAGGAGAGAGCTCATGAAACTCTTAAAGGAAGACCTATCTCTCATTCAGACTGCAAAGGTAAATGTCCACCTACTCACTCACTCACACGCGCGCACACACACACATTTTCTCAACTCTTGTCCCACAAATACACCGCTCTTCGAATGTCTCAGAGCGTTGTTGAGGCAAGATCTCATCCCCCTTGTTCTTCTTTTTCCCTCAATTTTTAAAATGTTTGTTTTCAGGAGTTGGTTAGGTCAGTTCTTTACCTGACAGTGAAAGAAGGAGCAAATCAGAAAGGTAGCATGGAAGTTTAACACAGTGTTGTATGGATCGCTGGAATAGAAGTGTGACTAGTAGTTCCTACTGCATAGGCAACTCCATCTGACCACGCATGAATAGGACAACAACAACAACACTAACCCATCCTGTATTCTTTATGCATATGAATAACCTGAATTGAATTAACTTTCTCCTCCTACCGTGTCATGCCCCTCACTCCTGCTTTAGTCTACCCCTAAAACAGAAAAAGGTTTAGAAACTCAGGGAGAGTGTGTCTGGTGTGTGCGTGTGGTTGTTCCTGTGATTTTGTGTGTTGACTGAAGGAGTGTCTTCATGTGTTTCTCAGCCTGTGTTGTGGCGAGTGTCTGTCTGTCTTTATGTGTGTGTGTGTGTGTGTGTGTGTGTGTGTGTGTTTTCCTCAAGCCTGCTGTGTGTAGCATGTGCTCTCTCCCTGATCTGGATGAGTGCGCTGTGTGCTCTCCTCCACAGGGTGTGGCCCAGGTTATGATACAGTCTTTTCAGTTGTCCTCATGTGCTCTCTTCAACGCTCAGATGCAGGATGTAAGTTGTCACCCCCTCTCCGTCTCTATCGGCCTCCTGCTCACATGTGCATGTCTTCGTCAAAGTGTAAAGCTAGTGAGACTGCACATGCGAGCATTGTGGTGTTGATGTATTGCAGTGTTGTCACTGTGTTGGTGCAGTGGTACTTCTCCTTTTGTTTGATATCTCTTCTGCTACGCACTGTTACTGTACATGTGTCCTGTATGTTACGCCCCCACCTGTGACATCACACTGTTTGGGAGACTACAACAGAGCTGAACCTTTTTTTAAAGATTCTGAAACCCTTTTTTGTGGTGTGATCCAATGGAGAGTAGTTTATGGTAACTCTAGGTTATGCTAATGCTCTTGGATTAAAACCTAACAAGTTAATATGTATAATATTGTAAATGTTATAGTAGTGTAGCCTGATGAGAAATATCAGATAATTAATCTTTGTTAAAGCTGCAATATGTAACTTTCTGGGCGACCTGACCAAATTCACATAGAAATGTCAGTTATAGATCTGTCATTCTCATTGAAAGCAAGTCTAAGAAGCGGTAGATCTGTTCTATGGGCATTATTTCTATGATTCCCATTCTTAAGTTTAGTTTTTGTGTCTTTTACTTTAGGTTTTGTACACCAGCTTCAAACAGCTGAAAATACAATATTTTTGTTTATGGAAAATATATTTCACAGCAGTTTAGACGGTACAATGATTCTCTACACTATACTTGCTTGTTTTGTCACAAACTGAAATTAGGTATTACTATTAGAATTTTAGCAACCAGGAAATAGCGTAGCCATTTCTGCATAGTGAATCTTTAAACTTCATTTTCTACTGGAAAGCTTTTCCTCAGTGATGTCTTCAGAAGGCATGACCAGGAAAATAACGTTGGTTTCATGTTTAATACTCATGTAAACATACCCCTCAACAACAATAACCAGAAACATTATTTTACTCTAGTGATGTTACGTATAATTTACTCTTTCTGTGAATGTCAATTTGGATGTCGTCATACATGGAAACTGGATCTCGACTGGGTTGTTAACATTTTTGCTCTCTTTCCATCCATTCCAATGTTGGATAATTCCCATGACTTCTGACTGTCTCTTTGTTTTACTGACTGCAGTCAATGATGTGCTTCTTCTTTGGAGTGTAGTACTGTACTGTGTTGATCTCTAATAGTGGTTGGCATGGTATTTATGAAAGTTCCTCCATGTAGTCTGCACTGTTCTGGCTGTCCCTGGTGTGTGCTGCACAATAAATACAATCTCTCATGTTTGCCTCTTTCCTTCTCTCTCCCCTCTCTGTCGTCTACACTTAACCCCTGTCCTTTCTAAATGTTCCCTATCCCTGTCCCTCATGTCTATACTACACTCCCACCATTTGGGTCTGCTTTTACCCCAACATCTCCTGCATCCCTCCTCCCCATGCCCATGTCTCATCCCTCCTCCATCTTCTGTCAATTAACCCCCATCTTCCCACGTATTGTCCTCTTATCCCTTTACCTTGCCCCACTTCCTCCCCTTATCCCTGCTCACTCCCTTTCCATCCCCCATACCCTCTCTCTATCTCCCCCTCTCTTCCCCTTCTCTCCATCCTCAGGAGCAGGAGTTTCTGCAGAAGCAGCAGCAGGAGTTGGATGGAGCCCTGAAGAAGATCATCCAGCAGCACAAACATGAGATCGCCACCATCGAGAGAGACTGCCTCAACCACAAACAGCAGCTAATGAGAGGTGAGAGAGAGATTTACAGTACCATAGAGAGCAATAATACAGCAAACTTATCCACATTCAACAGCTAATGAGAGGTGAGAGAGAGATTTACAGTACCATACAGCAAATTTAACCACATACAACAGCTCATGAGAGGTGAGAGATTTACAGGACCATAGAGAGCAATAATACAACAAACTTAACCACATACAACAGCTCATGAGAGATGTGAGAGAGATGTACAGTACCATAGAGAGTTATGAGCACAGCAACTTAACCACAGTTATGAGAAAAAATACATATTACCATAGAGAGACTGCCTAAGAGAAATCTAAATAATTGAACATGACTTTGGCTACCTCAACGGGTGAAGGCCTTCTGTTATATGAAAGATTTGATGGTGAAATAATACTATTGTAAATGGTGAAGTTCTCAGTGGAGTGATGTGTTACAACTTGCCCACCACAGTGATGCAATTTCCTGAATGACTTATTTGTGACAAGCCTGTCTCCAGATGGTGCTCTTTACCGGAAATGCTGCTCGTGTGTGTTGCGTGACCATCCCGCCTGACGTGTCTCTGGTCTCCTCCCTCAGCTCGAGAGGCAGCCATGTGGGAGCAGGAAGAGCGCCACCTGCAGGAGAAGCACCAGCTGCTCAAGCAGCAGCTCAAAGACCAGTACTTCATGCAGAGACACCAGCTGCTCAAGAGACATGAGAAGGTAAGGGCTCTGGGACCTACTGAACAGCTCTGGTGAAATACAATCCATTATTGTTATTATCTACTGTACATCAGGAAATCTGGACTGAGGGTAGAGAGTGAGGTGCATTACATTTTGACACTAATGGGTGATTTGAAAGTGTGCTGAAAGGTTAGAGCTGTCATTTCAATGCATTTCATTGTGGATCCAGATAAAGTATTGAAATGTGTTCTGTAGGAAATGGAGCAGATGCAGCGCTACAATCAGCGTCTGATTGAGGAGATGAAGAACAGGCAGGCCCAGGAGAGAGGGCGTCTGCCTAAGATCCAGCGGGGCGATGCCAAGACACGCATGGCCATGTTCAAGAAGAGCCTCCGCATCACCTCTGCACCTGGCACCCCAGAGCAGGAAAGGGAGAAGATCAAACAGGTATATTATAGTGTGTACACACAGTTATTATTCTTTTTAAACAGAATAATGTGAGATGTGTGTTTGTTCCAGTTTGCAGCCCAGGAGGAGAAGAGGCAGAAGAATGAGAGACTCCATCAGCATCAGAAACATGAGAACCAGATGAGGGACCTGCAGCTGCAGTGTGACTCCAACATCAGAGAGTTGCAGCAGCTTCAGGTACAACACACACACACACTTGCCCCTACACACACTCACACATTATGTGGTTTCATTTAGTTATTATGTGGGTTCATTGGGTATGTTATACAATGAAACCCAATGAGCAAAGCTAGACAGTAGGTATTTGGCACTCAACCATAACAAACTTAATCTGGGGCTTACACATAGACTATATAGATGGCGCCGATAGACATGGCCGCCTTGTTTCAGGCTCCTAAGCAACTTTGCAGTATATATTTTTGCAGCCGGCAAAGGGGTATTCGGAGTGGACTTTTAGTCCGACTCAGGAGCCGTGCACACCATCCACCGCTTCCGAGTATATTACTCTGGACAATAAAGTAGACGAGCTCAAGCCGAGGGTCTCCTTCCAGAGAGACATCAGGGACTTTAACATACTCTGTTTCACGGATTCATGGCTCTCTCCGGATATACTGTCCTCATCCATACAGCCAGCTGGGTTTTCAATACATTGTGCGGATAGGAATAAAGAAGTCTCTGGGAAGAAAAAAGGCGGAGGTGTATGTTTCATGATTGACTACTCATGGTGTGATTGTGGTAATGTATAGCAACTAAAGTCATTTTATTCACCCGACCTAGAATACCTCACAATAAAATGCAGACCTCATTACCTCTCTAGAGAATTTTCTTCGGTTATCGTCACAGCCGTGTATATTCCCCCTCAAGCCGATACCACGACAGCTCTCAAGGAGCTACACTGGACCTTGTGCAAACTGGAAACTGCATATCTGAGGAAAACGCTACCGAAGTTCTATCAACACATCGCCTACAGTACTCGCGCTTCAAAAACTCTCGACCATTGCTGCTCTCACTTCGGGGATGGCTACAAGGCCCTCCCCCAACCTCCGTTCTGCAAATCAGATTGCTCCTCCCTCCCAGAAACTTAAACAGGTAGTACCTGTGCTGAGGTCTATTCAACGCTGGTTCGGCCAATCAGAATCCAGCCAAAAACATTTAAACTCAGTTTTTCAGAATTCCTGACATTTAATCCCAATAAAAATTCCCTGTCTTAGGTCAGTTAGGATCACCACTTCATTTTAAGAATGTGAAATGTCAGAATAATAGCAGAGAGAATTATTTATTTCAGCTTTTATTTCTTTCATCACATTCCCAGTGGGTCAGAAGTTTACATACACTCAATTAGTATTTGGTAGCATTGCCTTTAAATTGTTTAACTTGGGTCAAACGTTTCGGGTAGCCTTCCACAAGCTTCGCACAATAAGTTGGGTGAATTTTGGCCCATTCCTCCTGACAGAGCTGGTGTAACTGAGTCAGATTTGTAGGCCTCCTTGCTCGCACACGCTTTTTCAATTCTGCCCACACATTTTCTATAGGATTGAGGTCAGGGATTTGTGATGGCCACTCCAATAACTTGACTTTGTTGTCCTTAAGGCATTTTGCCACAACTTTGGAAGTATGATTGGGGTCATTGTCCATTTGTAGGACCCATTTGCGACCAAGCTTTAACTTCCTGACTGATGTCTTGAGATGTTGCTTCAATATATCCACATCATTTTCCTTCCTCATGATGCCATCTATTTTGTGAAGTGCACCAGTCCCTTTTGCAGCAAAGCACCCACACAGCATGATGCTGCCACCCCTGTGCTTCACGGTTGGGATGGTGTTCTTCGGCTTGCAAGCAACCCCCTTTTTCCTCCAAACATAACAATGGTCATTATGGCCAAACAGTTCTATTATTGTTTAATCAGACCAGAGGACATTTCTCCAAAAAGTACGATCTTTGTCCCCATGTGCAGTTGTAAACCGTAGTCTGGCTTTTTTATGGTGGTTTTGGAGCAGTAGCTTCTTCCTTGCTGAGCGGCCTTTCAGGTTATGTCGATATAGGACTTGTTTTACTGTGGATATAGATACGTTTGTACCTGTTTCCTCCAGCATCTTCACAAGGTCCTTTGCTGTTGTTCTGGGATTGATTTGCACTTTTTGCACCAAAGTACGTTCATCTCTAGGAGACAGAATGCGTCTCCTTCCTGAGCGGGATGACGGCTGCAGGGTCCCATGGCGTTTATACTTGCGTACTATTGTTAGTTAAGATGAACGTGGTACCATCAGGCGTTTGGACATTTCTCCCAAGGATGAACCAGACTTGTGGAGGTCTACAATTTATTTTCTGAGGTCTTGGCTGATTTATTTTGATTTTCCCATGATGTCAAGCAAAGAGGCACTGAGTTTGAAGGTAGGCCTTGAAATACATCCACAGGTACACCTCCAATTGACTCAAATTATGTCAATTAGCCTATCAGAAGCTTCTAAAGCCATGACATCATTTTCTGGAATTTTCCAAGCTGTTTAAAGGCACAGTCAACTTAGTGTATGTAAACTTCTGACCCACTTGAATTGTGATACAGTGAATTATATGTGAAATAATCTGTCTGTAAACAATTGTTGGAAAAATTACGTGTCATGCACAAAATAGATGTCCTAACCGACTTGCCAAAACTATAGTTTGTTAACAAGAAATGTGTAGAGTGGTTGAAAAACAAGTTTTAATGACTCCAACCTAAGTGTATGTAAACTTCCGACTTCAACTGTATGTATATACTGTATTCTAGTCAAGTCCGTCCTATTCAACTATTGCTGTACATATACTATTCTATCCACGTCTTCTTCAGATATACTATATATTCCATCCACATACTGTCCATAGTGTCTTTACTTCCCATCATATATATATATATATATATATATATATATATATATATATATATATATATATATATATATATACACACACTACTGTTAAAAAGTTTGGGGTCACTTAGACATTTCCTTGTTTTCGAAAGAAAAGCAATTTTCTGTCCATTAAAATAACATCAAATTGATCAGAAATACAGTTTAGACATTGTTAATGTTGTAAATGGCTATTGTAGCTGGAAACTGCTGATTTTTAATGGAATATATACATAGGCGTACAGAGGCCCATTATCAGCAACCATCAGTCCTGTGTTCCAATGGCACGTTGTGTTTGCTAATCCAAGTTTATCATTTTGAAAGGCTAATTGATCATTAGAAAACCCTTTTGCAATTATGTTAGCACAGCTGAAAACAGTTGTGCTGATTAAAGAAACAATAAAACTGGCCTTCTTCATTTTAGTCATTTTAGCAGACGCTCTTATCCAGAGCGACTTACAGTTAGTGAGTGCATACATTTTTTTTTTTCATACTGGCCCCCCGTGGGAATCGAACCCACAACCCTGGCGTTGCAAGCGCCATGCTCTACCAACTGAGCTACACGGGGACTAGTTGAGTATCTGGAGCATCAGCAATTGTGGGTTCGATTACAGTCTCAAAATGGCCAGAAATACAGTTTAGACATTGTTAATGTTGTAAATGGCTATTGTAGCTGGAAACTGCTGATTTTTTATGGAATATTTACATAGGCGTACAGAGGCCCATTATCAAAGCACTTTCAAAGCACTTTCTTCTGAAACTCGTCAGTCTATTCTTGTTCTGAGAAATGAAGGCTATTCCATGCGAGAAATTGCCAAGAAACTGAAGATCTCGTACAACGCTGTGCACTACTCCCTTCACAGAACAGCGCAAACTGGCTCTAACCAGAGTAGAAAGAGGAGTGGGAGGCTCCGGTGCACAACTGAGCAAGAGGACAAATACATTAGAGTGTCTAGTTTGAGAAACAGACGCCTCACAGGTCCTCAACTGGGAGCTTCATTAAATAGTACCCGCAAAACACCAGTCTCAACGTCAACAGTGAAGAGGCGACTCCGGGATGCTGACCTTCTAGGCATAGTTGCAAAGAAAAAGCCATATCTCAGACTGGCCAATAAAAAGAAAAGATTAAGATGGGCAGTCTGAGATATGGATTTTTCATTGCAACTCTGCCTCGAAGGAGTGGCTACGGGACAAGTCTCTGAATGTCCTTGAATGGCCCAGCCAGAGCCCAGACTTGAACCCGATCGAACATCTCTGGAGAGACCTGAAAATAGCTGTGCGGCGATGTTCCTCATCTAACCTGACAGAGCATGAAAGGATCTGCAGAGAAAAATTTGAGAAACTCCCCAAATACAGGTGTGCCAAGCTTGTAGCATCATACCCAATAATAATTGAGGCTGTAGTCGCTGCGAAAGGTGCTTCAACAAAGTACTGAGTAAAGGGTCATTTCTACACCTGTTTTTGCTTTGTCGTTACGGGGTATTGTGTGTAGATTGATTAGGGGATAAAAAATAATAAAAAATTAATCAATTTTAGAATATGGCTGTAACGTGGAAAAAGTCAAGCGGTCTGAATATTTTCCGAGGCACTATAGGTAGCTCCAGTTGGTCACCCTGTTCCTGCTGTTGTGTGTTTCAGAATGAGAAGTGCCATCTCCTGATTGAACACGAGACTCAGAAGCTGAAGGAGCTTGATGAAGAACACAACCAGGAGCTGCAGGAGTGGAGGGAGAAACTACGGCCCAGGAAGAAGGTGAAAGAGAAAGACGTCAACATGAAGATAACCCTCTTATTTGATCATCCTTTAAAGTTTCAGGCTGCGTCGCGATTCTCCCAAAGTGCACTTGCATGGATGTAACAATCGTGGAGACTTCCTCTAGCCATTGATTACACCAATCCGTTGCTTTTAAATCCATGACTGGAAGTTTGTAAGTGCACAGTGTGGAGAATCAGGATACAGCCGGTCAGCCTCAGTGTAATCTGTTGTTTTGGATGTTTGACTGTCTTGTCTTTCCTCTTCTGCCACTTGTAGGCCTTGGAGGAGGAATTCACGCGCAAGCTCCAGGAGCAGGAGGTCTTTTTCAAGATGAGCGGGGAGTCGGAATGCCTTAACCCAACGACCCAGAGCCGAGTTTCCAAGTTCTACCCCATCCCTAGTGTGCACAACTCTGGTTTATAGCCCTCCTCAGCGCAGGAACAGGAACATACTGGCTGGGCTCATAGACTGTGTCCCACTGGTGGTGGGGAGGACATCATCCCTGGCTGTTGTCTGGAGACTAGCGTTGGTCTGTTGTGGATCTTAGGCTAGTGTGATGTCTTCACACAAACATGCACACACATACATATGCACGCAAGCGTGCACACATGCAAGAGCGCACACTTATCTGGACGCACACACACACACACACACACACACACACACAGCAGTGTCAGCTGTCATAGAGAGGGATGCAATCTCAAGTCACAATCACAACACTTTCCTTTTTAAGCCTTTATTTTCTCCTTGTTCCCCCCTACTATTTCACCCTTCTCTGCTCCAAGGAAAATGTTGTCAAAAGCGACATTTGCACTTTTCTGAGCATGGTTATGTTTTACCACTTTTAAAATAGCTCAGGCAAATTTCAAACAAATTGCAAGTACAACGTTTATAAAGAACCCAGTGCCTAAATTAATTGACATAGTGAGCCTGCTTTTCTCCAGGCTTGCTCTCTTACCTGCTGCCCAGTGCTCCCCTGAGGCCTTTTGCACTAAAATGGCTGGAAATTTGTACAAACCATGAAATACCATCAAACCTTTATTTTTTAGTAATGCATATAAGCTGGTGCTTGAGTTAATTATAAGGTCATTGATTGATGGATATCTGTTAACAAATAAATGTACTATTTTGGTAAATCATGAAGTGCTCATTCACGTGATGTACTGTATGTATGGAGTTGTGATTTACTTTAGATACTGTGCTATTGAATTATTGAATCAATGAAATCAAACTGTCCTGTATGTTATAACTAATGTTCCCACTTTCTGCATATTGTAATCACGTGATGGTTTTTGTTAGACTTCTGGGTTGTCGTCATGTCAATTACCTTTCCTGTTAACGATCAACACAGCTTATTGTCTTTGGATTTACTTTGAACACATTATTTTGGATGTGGCACACATACATATTATTACGCTGAAAGGAATGTAAGCCGTTGATCATATTTTTGCACTGTTTTATGTGAACTGAGAATATGCAGTAATTGACTGTTATGTATGTACAGTGAGCTCCAAAAGTATTTGGACAGTGACACATTTTTTGTTATTTTGTACTTCAGCACTTTGAAATTATACTTTAACCTCATAGTCATTGTATCATTTCAAATCCAAAGTGCTGGAGTACAGAGCCAAAACAAAAAAAAATGTGTCACTGTCCCAATACTTTTGGAGCTCACTGTATCTTACAGTCAGAAAAAAATGAGGGTCTACTTGGATTAGTTCTTTTTTCAAATGACTTTTTGCCACCTCTACCATAATCTATATTTTATTTTCAAATGAACTGAATCATTCAAAGCAGTGGCGCCTTGCATGTTTTTGTATTTATACTTTTATTTTCAATTTGAAATATGTCCCTTTACAGGGTTGAGGTAAATTCTAATTGAATTTGAAATTCCAATTAATTTTTTGAATTCACTCATGAAGTGGAGAATTTAATTAAATTCGAATTTTATAAAATCTTCAAGCTATGGAATTGAACTGGAATTAGACTGTTTGGACTTTGTCAATTGGAATTGTAAAAACATGTAATCTTTGGAATTGAATTGAATGGAATTAAATATTTGTACATTTCACAGTTAATGGAATGAATGCACATAGTATCAAACATTGACTGTAGGATTTGTTTTTAATCATTTCAACTTGTATTTCTATATTTCCAGTATAGCTAGGCTGTCTGAACAGTTATGTTGTCAGCCTGAAAGCCTGAGGGAATTGAATTAGAATTGGAATTTGTGAAATTGTTGGGGATAATATTGAGTTGGGAATTGAATTATTGGAATTTACCTAACATTGGAATTCAGAGGAATGGAATTATCTTTGAAATCAAAGATTGACCTGAACTTGAATTGAATTAAATGGAATTTACAAGGAGGAATTGACCTCAACCCTGCTATTTTATGATTACCAGTTTTCTAAATATGTATACATGTTGTATCAATGTACATCTCAATATAATCTTTGGACATCGTTTTTGGATGGACATTACGATATCTGTAAATGGAAGTCATTATACTGTCCTAATTGGTTAATTCAAAAATAAGAACGTATGTATTTATAATATGGACAAAGTACTGCTGACCCCTTCAAGTGTCGAGTCCACTTGACATTATGACAAGCTCTCTATAACAAACATATCCTTATAGCATGTCATGATTTGTGTATGACGTCCTAATAAAACATAGATGGCATGCAAAGGGTGAATGCTGTTCTTTTATCACAATTATATCACATCTTGAATGCTGGATTTGTATTGGGGTTTTGGTTAATATTACCCATAATGCACGTTAGGTTCAGGCCATAGAGCTAGATGGGGGACTCATCTTTGTATCTGGGCCATTATAGCGTCTGTGACAGGCATTCTCCATTTTGAAGTAGTCAATTTTCTTCTTCACGATTGGCTGATCCCTCCTGATGACCTGATTGGACATGACTCCAACAAGAAGCAGAAGGGCTCAGCCAATGAATTTGGAAGTCCCACCCAGTTGACTACGTTCAAATGGTGGAAGCCCTCAGTGGCGCTGCACATGCTAACACAGCCTTTTGACCACTAGAGGACTCTATAATTCTCTATGGTTCAGGCATTATCGCCTTTATATTTTCTTTATTTTTCAAGCAGTTACTTTTTCAAATACCTACAGGCACAAAAGTATTGCAAGTAATTGGATATTGAAAATCAACAGGGGTTGATTTAATATATAGCCCATCATGAGCCTATTGTTGTTGCATTTAGATGTGATGTTCGACATCTTATCATACTGAAAAACATATGCATTTTTGAGGTCAGGTAAACTGTATATAAGATGTGTTTGTTAATGGACATTTGTGCTGTAAATAAAACAAGATTTATGTTATACTGTGTTCTTGTTTGTTCTTACTAATAATATTTATTGTTATTTGTAGAATTTACTTCAAGGTACAAAAAACTGGTCAACATCAACATGACAAGTCAATTTCAGTGCTGTTTTCTTTTCTCCACACAAAATACATTCCAATAATTTTCAATACATTGCTTGACAAGGAATGAAAATTTATTGAAAATTACGTTTTCTGAAATGTAATGAAAATAGAGAATAACATGACAATTGTTTTGTTGAGTGGATCAAAAGTGCCCAAGTAACACTTAAAAGTTTTGGGTGAAAAATACTTTGTCATCAATAAAGCTAAGATCTATAACTACCATTATCTTTTTGAAAAGTACATTTTCCCATGAGTTCCCTTCAGAAAAATAACCTGAGCTTAGTAAGAAAGGTAAACACAATACACCCACATACTAACTAGAATATCAAAAGAGTGCAACCACAACCATGACCAGCAGCCAATGTATCACTGTATTTCAGACTGTTAAACACATTCTTTAGTGCAGGGGTCTCCAACCTTTTCTAGCATGAGAGCTACTGTACTTCAAAAAAATGAAACGTCGCAAGTTACAAATATATATATTTTTTACTTTCCAATAGGCACATTCTTCTTTTCTCCTCTCTCCTGCAACTCTTCCCCGGGTCCTTGGTGTGCAAGATATGTGTTTTCTTGTAAAATAATGGTTAGTAAACAACTCTAAGGTTCCCCATAAAATGACAGTATTTTTCTTCTGTTTTTTACTCAATATTACAATTATTCATATAAAAATAACTAAAATGGATGTTCTGAGTACATGTCAATGCTTAAATGACATCAGATGACCAATTTTGAGGTCTGGAAAAAAAACTATTACATTTAGATTTTTGAGTGTAATTCCCCTTTAATTGTGCATTTAGAAAGAGAGGAATGTGTGAGTCTAGAAATGTCTATGTTAGGCCTACTTCTGCAGCACGGCATGGCAGAGTTTGCAAAACAATGGCTACCCAATTGATACAAATAATCATTATATATTTCTGTCAGGTAGGCCTACTTTGCATTTAATTGATTAATTGAGAAGGTTTTTGGGGAAAGTCTCTGTGTACCCACAAGACAGTTATCATTACTAGCATCGCTAACTGGTTACATACGGCATGATAGACAAAAGTGCGCACCAAACAGACAGAAGTGCAATATTGCTTGAAATTAATTGGCAGATATTGTGTTACATTTGGATTTTTAAGCCAATAGTGGCTAACCAGGGGTGGAATAATGTCAATGTGGCTTTGATTGGATAGTAGCCGGGAGCTTTATGTTTATGACAGTTTGCGATGGAACACATTTAAAAAATGCATGTACTTCCAGAATTGCTTGGCAAGCTACTCATAGGTGGGCTGCGAGCTACTGGTAGCTCACGATCTACAGTACCTGTTGGAGACCTCTGCTTTAGTGCCATTATAACATTTCCATATCATCCATTGTATTCACACTCAAAACAGAAACTGTAATTTAATAGGCAAGCGGGCATATTCTAACGTAATGTATGATTTTGACTATGCACAGGGCAGACTGAAGAGCTGAATAGAAATAAAGCTTTATCTGATAGATTTGGTTAAGCTTAAAACACCTTAAACACCAATGCTCCGACGTCGACGACCAACCCTAACTTCACCTGGAAAGAAAACAAGGGAATGAATAACAGTTGTTGAGCTGCACTTGATTTTGTATCACAACAATCCCAAATGAAGCAAGCAAAGTGAGATGTCTACCTTTCTCTCCCTTCTCTCCTCTGTATCCATCCTGACCACGTAACCCCTGCAGTCCGGGAGGGCCTGGGCGACCCATCTCGCCTGCAGATAGAAACACCATACTTCTGTTATGTCCTAGCGTCAATCCCTCCCTGCATCCATAGCTGACCAGCCTTCCCGGGTTACAAACTCTTTACTGGAAATCAAAGGAGGCTGGTGGGAGGCGCTGCTGGAAATGTAATTCAACAGTATGACCCTGTAGCATGACTACTGTACCTCTGTCTCCTTTGGGTCCGATGTACCCCCTGTCTCCTTTCGGGCCAGTATTCCCTGGGGGGCCAACAATGGTGCCGTGGGCTAGAGCAGAGAGCACACGCCATGTCAGAGGACAGGAGGCAGGGCAACAAAGCTTTTCAGCAAACATTTGCTTAGCAATTCTTCTGGGTACCACAATTCAATTCACAACTGTGGACTAGTTTCATATTTTGAAAAAACTGAATTTGTCCCAAATCTTACTTCTAAAGAAGTCCATGAGGTCAGCAGTCACGTTGCCGTAAGACCCAATGACACGGCTATACCCGGGGGGTCCAGGAGGCCCAGGGGGTCCTGGGAGGCCTTGGGTCTCCCAGGAGCCTCCTCGCTGGCGACCCTCAGGCAGGAAGTCCTGCAGTAAGCCCTGGTCTGGAGGAGCAGAGGATAGACTGTTAATCTGCTGTCTGTCTATACCAAAAAGGTCACAGCACCGTCTGAGCCACAGTGCAAAGGCAATCACAGCCTCAAACCCAATCAAGTCTCAGCACTTATACTGTATAAGCACACAGTTACAGAGACACACCATTGCCAGTCATTCACTCACTCTTGATGTAGTCTGTCACTCTCAAGGCAACGTTGGAGTAGTCCAGTGTTTCTGTCAACCTCTCAATGTCACTCTGGCGCCGCTCAAGGTCAGAAGAGTACCGTGGGTCACTCTGGGCATAACTCTGACGGTTAGTCTGAACCCCACCAGGTTCTCCAGGGTCTCCTTTGTGACCACGGGGACCCTGAGACCCAGGAGTACCTGGTGGGCCAATGAAGGAGTGCCGTATGCTGTCACCTGGGAAATAACACAACAGTAGTTAATGTGATGTACAGTATCAGGTTAATGTCTATTCCAATGGGTAGGGGAAGAGATGGTCAACATACTGCTGAGGTACGCCTGGAGTTCTGTGCGGATGGTTTCTCGCTGGTAGTTTCCAATGTTTCTACTATCTCCATAGGAGACTACTCCGTGAGAGTTCCCTGGGGGCCCCTGAGGTCCTGGGGGGCCGGGTGGGCCTGGAGGACCACTGAACCCAGAACCTGAGACAAGACAGAGATGGATGTCAAACCATGTTCTTTGTCTACTGCACCCAGAAGGATGAAGAACCTCTTAGCTGAACAAGACTCACTTTGGAGGTAATGCTGGACGTCCTCTATCCTTAAACCCCCTGAGGCTGAGCTCCTGTAAGATGATCCTCCTGGGGTACCAGGGGGGCCTGGGGGTCCTGGGATTCCTGGAGTACCAGGAGGACCAGGGGCTCCAGCAGAGCGCCCAACCATCGCACGAAATTGTGAATCTTAGGAAGGGGGAGAGTAGGAAGAAGACAAAGAGGTAGCAGTAAATCAAACATGTTTAGATGATCATAAACACAAGAGACCCCTGTACACCCCAGAGGGTGAGGTCTTACTTTGCAGGAGTGTGGAGATGTCACCAACACCGTTGGAGGAGCCAGGTAACCCTGGAGGCCCGGGTGCACCCGGAGGTCCAGGCTGCCCACCACCGATCCCGCGCTCTATAATAAATAAAAAAACACCATCCATGAGGGGAGAGATTGAAGCCTGGTCCATAAGCAACACAAAGACATTCATGTTACTCATCCTGTGCATGTGTTTTGCTGCAGTAGCCCCTACTTACCGTTCATGAGTCTGAAGACGTAGGTGGCCACTTCCTGTGGGTTGTAGTTTGCCATACTGCCTCCTCTGGCGTCTGGTCCTGCTGGGCCTGGAGGTCCGGGTGGGCCCATTACGTATCGCCGTACGTCATCCCCTGAATCAATCAGTCAATCAATCAACTGCAAGTATTTTTGTATTACATTTTTTATTGGCCCAAAGTAAATTTTGTCATAGAACAAAAATAAACTTACAGTAGTTTTTACAGGTTTTTCTTTTTGTATGTTCTACACACATATTACATACAGTGCCTTGCGAAAGTATTCACCCCCCTTGGCATTTTTCCTATTTTGTTGCCTTACAACCTGGAATTAAAATTGATTTTTGGGAGGTTTGTATCATTTGATTTACACAACATGCGTACCACTTTGAAGATGCAAAATATTTTTTTGCGTGAAACAAACAAGAAATAAGACAAATAAAGTTGAGCGTGCATAACTATTCATCCCCCCAAAGTCAATACTTTGTAGAGCCACCTTTTGAAGCAATTACAGCTGCAAGACTCTCGGGGTATGTCTCTATAAGCTTGGCACATCTAGCCACTGGGATTTTTGCCCATTCTTCAAGGAAAAACTGCTCCAGCTCCTTCAAGTTGAATGGGTTCCGATGGTGTACAGCAATCTTTAAGTCATACCACAGATTCTCAATTGGATTGAGGTCTGGGCTTTGACTAGGCCATTCCAAGACATTTAAATGTTTCCCCTTAAATCACTCAAGTGTTGCTTTAGCAGTATGCTTAGGGTCATTGTCCTGCTGGAAGGTGAACCTCCGTCCCAGTCTCAAATCTCTGGAAGGCTGAAACAGGTTTCCCTCAAGAATTTCCCTGTATTTAGCACCATCCATCATTCCTTAAATTCTGACCAGTTTCCCAGACCCTGCCGATGAAAAACATTGCCACAACATGATGCTGCCACCACCATGCTTCACTGTGGGGATGGTGTTCTCGGGGTGATGAGAGGTGTTGGGTTTGCGCCAGACATAGCGTTTTCCTTGATGGCCAAAAAGCTACATTTTTGTCTCATCTGACCAGAGTACCTTCTTCCATATGTTTGGGGAGTCTCTCACATGCTTTTTGGCGAACAACAAACGTGTTTGCTTATTTTTTTCTTTAAGCAATGACTTTTTTTCTGGCCACTCTTCCGTAAAGCCCAGCTCTGTGGAGTGTACTGCTTAAAATGGTCCTATGGACAGATACTCCAATCTCCGCTGTGGAGCTTTGCAGCTCCTTCAGGGTTATCTTTGGTCTCTTTGTTGCCTCTCTGATTAATGCCCTCCTTGCCTGGTCCGTGAGTTTTGGTGGGCAGCCCTCTCTTGGCAGGTTTGTTGTGGTGCCATATTCTTTCCATTGTTTAATAATGGATTCAATGGTGCTCCGTGGGATGTTCAACGTTTCTGATATTTTTTTATAACCCAACCCTGATCTGTACTTCTCCACAACTTTGTCCCTGACCTGTTTGGAGAGCTTCTTGGTCTTCATGGTGCCGTTTACTTGGTGGTGCCCCTTGATTAGTGGTGTTGCAGACTCTTGGGCCTTTCAGAACAGGTGTATATTTACTGAGATCATGTGACAGATCATGTGATGCACACAGGTGGACTTTATTTAACTAATTATGTGACTTCTGAAGGTAATTGGTTGCAGCAGATCTTATTTAGGGGCTTCATAGCAAAGGGGGTGAATACATATGCACACACCACTTTTCCGTTATTTATTTTGTAGAATTGTTTGAAACAAGTTATTTTTTTCATTTCACTTCACCAATTTGGAATATTTTGTGTATGTCCATTACATGAAATCCAAATAAAAATCCATTTAAATTACAGGTTGTAATGCAACAAAATAGGAAAAACGCCAAGGGGGGTGAATACTTTTGCAAGGCACTGTACATGGCACTTATTTTTCACAGTAGTTACATAGTACACATTACATAGTATACATTATATACCGTGTTTTCAGTCATAACTATCAACTATATGTTGCTATGGATAAGAGTTTGCTGAATGACCATGTAAGTACTCACTCTGTAGCAGGACAATGAGGTCGTTGACAGACATTGAGCCAGAACCAGAGCCAGATGCCCCAGGAGGTCCTGGGGGGCCTGGAGGACCCTGAGCACCACCGCTGAAGCCTGATCCTGAACCTGAGACAAGGCAGTACAATCACTAGGCTGCTTCCACTCTTTCACAGAACTACAAAAGTGGACACGAAATGATCTTACGCTGCAGATAGGCGATGACACGAGAGGATATGTCCTCCACAGAACCAAAGGATCCAGAGGATCCAGGAACTCCTGGGGGTCCAGGGAGGCCACGGGGGCCGGGAAGACCAGCGGACATACTCCTAGCGTTAACTGCAAAGGACAACCAGCACAGGTTCATCGAAGTAGAGTATAAGACAGCTCTGTCACTATATTTCATGTGGGAATTATTACTTCATGACTTAGTGTTGAATGCGCCTTAGAAGAAGACTCTTACTTCGGAGATAGTCGTTGACATACTGACGCAGATCAGGAGGAGCGGAGGCTATGCCTGGAATGCCTGGGTGTCCGGGAGGACCCGGTGGACCAGGAGGACCTGGGAACCCTGGGCTGGCCGCCACAGTGCCTGTCAGAAATTAGATAATTAGATACAGTCATCTTAATTTAATGAAAGTATCTGCATTCATTATATGGTCAGCTATTTAGAGTTTAGCATATTGCTTCAAAAAATTTTGTTAAGTATGTCTTGATGATCTAAGTTTGTCTACTGTTGTGGGTGGAATGTTGACAACAGGTCAAAGATGAGTGTTTACCTCTTGCAGAGCCAGGAAGACCAGGAGAACCGGGAAGTCCAGGTTCGCCTTGGAAATGTGGAGAATAAGAACTAGTTATTTCAAAGACTGAGTCTATATCTACTACATTTACAGGTACCACAACCTTCAGAAGCTAAGTGTATTTTGTTCCTAATTAAGATTCCCAAGTGTTGGTAGTTTACCTTTGTGTCCCTCTGGTCCAGGAATCCCTGGAGTCCCTGGGGGTCCAGGTGGCCCCTGTGTTCCACCGTATGATGACGCTGTGTGGAACAAAAGAGCAAAGCAATTAATCTGGAATCTTTTGTTCTACACACTTCTAGACTTCTACCCGTTAACAATGTTTTGACTATGGTCTATAGCAGTGGTTCTCAAACCTCTCCTCTGGGCCCCCCAGCCGTTCCATGTATTTGATATTTTCCAGAGCTAGCAACCCTGATTCAACTTGTCCACTTATCATCAAGCCCATGACTAGGTGAATTAGGTGAGCTAGTTTAGAGATGAGCTAGTCTGTGGGTCCCAGAGGAGAGGTTTGAGAACCACTAGACCAGTGGTAGACTATGGTGGGCCACAATCAATTCTCATTACTGTGTCCATAACCTTCTGTATCAGAGTTGGTCATGTTTTTCTTTTCGATCGCTGTTGGTTTAGCCTTGAGTTGGACCAAGATAAGCTCACCTCTTTCAGAGCCTCCTCCTGGTCTTCCTGGGCTCCCTGGTAGACCAGGCTGGCCTGAATCTCCTACAAGGGAACATGGGATACAGGGATGAAGGACAGAGGATTAGTGTTTCCAATGGGAACAACCAATGTGGATCTAGATAAGTATTTAATTCTGTTATAGGAATGATTCCCACCAAATGTAGCTTTTTAGATTTTAGGGGGACAGACCACATACCTTGGTATCCTCTTGGTCCTGGTGTACCTGAAGTAAGAATATTTTTTAAATACTTTTAGATGAAGAGCATAGGACTAGCAGCTAAAGTTTGTGACGATAAACATAGCCAGTTTAGAGTATACTGTCAGTAAGCATCTGTAACGCCTCTGAAAGGCAGGTGAAAGGTGTCTGAAAGGCCTACCAGGTGATCCTTTTGGCCCAGATGGCCCGGGAGGTCCAGGGGGTCCAGAGAAGAACGTTCCTGAAATAATTATAGTGACAAGCACATCATTACAATGCAGCCAAAAAAAAGCTCAACAGAAATCTTGGGTCACTTTTTTTTATTGATTGCGTTATGGGTTTTTATTGAGTTTGGTCATGTAAGTAATATTGTTACGCACCTGAATTGGGTACAAAGCTTCCTGGCTCTCCTTTCTCTCCTCTAGGACCAGGTCTGCCATATCCTGAGAGGCAGAAGCACGAGGAAAATCATACGATGACATCAAGACTCAACATTTTGCCAAATCGAATCAAAAACGATATCAGTAACCTGTGTATTGTTGATATTCATTCTTAACATGGACACACTCCTCACAGGCTTACCTGGCTCTCCTGGGGGACCAGCTGGTCCTGTGAGTCCTGGTCTTGAGTCACCTGCATGTCCAGGGGCTCCAGGGGGTCCAGGGGGACCAGGGGGACCTGGTAGTGCAGCAGCACTGAACTGTCCTGGATGAGGACATCAAGAAGAACCATGAAGTTACACAAGCATCTGACTTTGCTTCATCTGCAACGTTATGTTTCACTGTGTTGGACTTGAGCTACACTTTTCCATGTGTATGCATGGGCAATACGGAGAAGTATCACTCGAGTACACAGTGTCTTCTATAACATGCCATTTACATCAAATATAGAGATTTGGTTGAAAAAATATGAACTTATCCTTTAATGAAATGATAAGCATCATTGTAATGAGTACTTACTCTCAGCTCTGGATGAGCTGACGGTTTCACTGGTTTTCATTGAGATACCTGCCTCTCCCTGGAGTCCCTGAACACCCATCTCACCCTTCGCCCCTCTCTCACCTTTAGGACCTGGGGAAATATGCATATATTCAGTATGTCCAGGACTCTTGGCCAGAAAATAGATAGCATGTATAAGACCAATACTTTAGCTATCCACAGATCCATAGATTGGCTGACTTACCAGACTGACCAGGAAGACCAGCAGGGCCAATGGGGCCTGAGGAGATTGAAAAGTATTAGAAGTGTTATACATGCCATTCATATTGACCAAAACAACATAAGCTAGTTAAACTACGTACTGTAGAAACTACATGGTATCACCATTACAACTTTGTTATGTTGTAGTTGTAACAAACCACATTTCTACAAAGCTAAACAGGAAGTCTATGTCTGACCTGATAACCCTGGGGGTCCGGCTTGGCCGGGGGGACCGGGGCTTCCTGGGGGGCCGGGGATGGCCACAGAACTGGATCCCCCTGAGGAATCACAACAAGCAGTTTTAGGTACACACTGACAGTCATACAAATGTATGGCTACTGTAAATGCATCACCGCTGTTATGCAATAGTCAACCTGTTACCTGCATTGATGACTCTTCCTGGTTGTCCTGCCTCACCTAAAATAAAGTTTCACAGTCATCACAATATCAAAGTTTAGAGCCCTCCATTTTCTAAAAACAACATATAGAAGTCAGCTGTTTTACCCTTGGCTCCTGGTTGTCCAGGGTTCCCTGGTATTCCTACAGTGGGAAGAAAACTTTAGTGGCAAAACTGATGACAAGAGTGATGAAAAGACTTCACTTGGGCTTGTTGTCATGATTCTGTTATTACACTAAATCCCAACTGCAACAACATACCTGGTGGCCCTTGAAGCCCTGGTATTCCTATAGGGAGAAAGATCAGTTAAGATACATTTCAATCTTCTCTTTCAAGTGGATACAATCTGATCATTTTCTATAGATAAGCCCAGTCAAGATTAACAGGAATGTAAATAAGAGAGATGTTTCAGGGAATATTGAGCGTGACACAGTAGCTTACCTGGTAGGCCTGAGTCTCCTGCAGGCCCAGATGGACCTCTGATCCCTGGTAACCCAGTAGGACCCTGATCACCTGAGGATGACATCATCATTAATACTGATATACCGTTTACATAGGCATATTTTACATAACACTTGACGTATTGTTTCCTGTCTTTTTGCATAGAACATATTATTCACTCTACCTCTTTGGCCTTTGTCACCATCAATTCCAGGAGCTCCTGTTTGATAATTAGATATATGTATTAAACAACGTTAAGCTCTAGAATGAGTTTGGGGAGAATGGTAGAGAATCAGAGTGCAGCCAGCCACTCACCTGCAGATCCTTTGGGTCCTTTCTCTCCGGCTGGACCTGGCAAGCCTGATAGTCCTGGGTCACCTGAAGGAAAAGACAGTTGATTGGAGTACAGTACTGGCAATGCCACATGCTGCATCATGGGTCATATAAATGCTGAATATGTACACTACCGTTCAAAAGTTTGGGGTCACTTAGAAATGTCCTTGATTTCGAAAGAAAAGCTATTTTTTTGTCCATTAAAATAACATCAAATTGATCAGAAATACAGTGTAGACATTGTTAATATTGTATATGGCTATTGTAGCTGGAAACGGCTGAATTTTAATGGAATATCTACATAGGCGTACAGAGGCCCATTATCAGCAACCATCAGTCCTGTGTTACAATGGCATGGTGTGTTTGCTAATCCAAGCTTATCCTTTTAAAAGGCTAATTGATCATTAGAAAACCATTTTTGCAATTATGTTAGTACAGCTGAAAACTGTTGTGCTGATTAAAGAAGCAATAAAACTGGCCTTCTTGAGACCAGTTGAGTATCTGGAGTATCAGCAATTGTGGGTTTGATTACAGGCTCAAAATGTCCAGAAACAAATAACTTTCTTCTGAAACTCGTCAGTCTATTCTTGTTCTGAGAAATGAAGGCTATTCCATGCGAGAAATTGCCAAGAAACTGAAGATCTCTTACAACGCTGTGTACTGCTCCCCTCACAGAACAGCGCAAACTGTCTCTAACCAGAACAGAAAGAGGAGTGGGAGGCCCCGGTGCACAACTGAGCAAGAGGACAAATACATTAGAGTGTCTAGTTTGAGAAACAGACGCCTCACATGTCCTCAACTGGCAGCTTCATTAAATAGTACCTGCAAAACACCAGTCTCAACGTCAACAGTGAAGAGGCGACTCCGGGATGCTGACCTTCTAGGCAGAGTTGCAAAGAAAAAGCCATATCTCAGACTGCCCATCTAATTCTTTTCTTTTTATTGGCCAGTCTGAGATATGGCTTTTTCTTTGCAACTCTGCCTAGAAGGTCAGCATACCGGAGTCGCCTCTTCACTGTTGACGTTGAGACTGGTGTTTTGCGGGAACTATTTAATGAAGCTGCCATTGGAACACAGGACTGATGGTTGCTGATAATGGGCCTCTGTACGCCGATGTAGATATTCCATTAAAAATCAGCCGTTTCCGGCTAAAATAACCATTTACAACATTAACAATGTCTACACTGTATTTCTGATCAATTTGATGTTATTTTAATGGACAAAAAATTGCTTTTCTTTCGAAAACAAGGACATTTCTAAGTGACCCCAAACTTTTAAAAGGTAGTGTATGTTGAGTGTAAGTTGCTTGGGCTAAAAGCGCCTTTTGTATCACTATAGCTCGCCAGATACGCACCTGTTGCCCCCCGAGGTCCTTTCTCACCATGGTCACCTATGATAAAAAATCTAAATTACTACTTAGCTACTGTATATCATATGGAAAATACACAGGTATGTTACTGACCCTCTCTTACTGGCAGTGGAGGCTGGCGGGGGAGGAGCTACATGAGGACGGGCTCATTGTAATTACGTCATTTAGCAGACGCTCTTATCCAGAGCAACTTACAGGAGCAATTATGGTTAAGTGCCTTGCTCAAGGGCACATCGACAGATTTTTCACCTAGTCGGCTCAGGGATTAGAACCAGCAACCTTTCGGTTACTGGCACAATGCTCTTAACCACTAAGCTACCTGCCGCCCTATATGGCTGAAATTGAGTAAATGGAATGGAGTCAAATATGTGGTTTCCATATGTTTGATGGGTTTGATACCATTCCTTTTATTCCATTCCAGCCATTACAATGAGCCCGTCCTCCTATCGCTCCTCCAACCAGCCTCCACTGCTTAGCAGTCACTGATAGATCAACGTTTTGCAATGCCTAAAAGTAAAACAGCGCAATAGATTGTGTCTCTATGTTAACACATAATTCCCTCTCCCCTGTAGCGGAGAAAATGCATTATTGAACAGTTCAATACTGTTATTCATTAATTCAATCAATGATCCCTGGATCAATAAGCCCCACATAATGTAAGGACATACTGTACCCTTCGGTCCAGGTGGTCCTGATTCTCCACGGAAGCCTTGAGAACCTGGTTGGCCTAGAAGCATATTTTAGTCATTTAGCAGACGCTCTTATCCAGAGCAACTTACAGTTAGTGAGTGCATACATTTTCATACTGGCCCCCCGTGGGAATCGAACCCACAACCCTGTCATTGCAAGCACCATGCTCTACCAACTGAGCTACACGGGACTACACAGAACAAGGTTTTAACCTTTCACTGAATGTGCTGTGGAATAATGTCAAAAGGTCAACGCATACCCTGAGTTTCGCACACTTAATTCAAACTTTCATGTAGGCTACACAGTTTATATCTCAAGTTAGGATTCAGCCCTAAGTGAATGAAATCATGAGGGACACTGACCTGGCATACCAGGAGTCCCCGGAGCACCCCCTGAGCCTGGAACAGAGATTTAGAAAGGAGATTAGGACAGAAGTGACATCAACTGAAACCTGATACAGTATATGCAATACCCTTCATTTTGAAACACACTTCAGAAGCACAATTTTGTATGGCCACCCTCAGTTTGACATTGGTAGTACACTGTAAAAAGGCCAATTTAACCAACTGCTTAATCAGCGTTATTCTGTGAGTTGAGGGGGACTTCAAAAAAGTGGAGTCTACTGAGGGGAGAACGGCTCATAATAATGGCCAGAACGGAGCAAATGGAATGGCATCAAACACCTGAAAACACAGGTGTTCGAATGGCATCAAACACCTGTTTTATGTATTTGATAACATTCCACTGATTCCGCTCCAGTTATTACTAAGAGCCCGTTCTCCCCAATTAACGTGCCACCAACCTCCTGTGCTTCAAAAGGACAAGAATTGAGCTAATGTGTTAAAGTTTGTTTACTCAACAAACTCTGCTCGAAGTGAGCTGAATTTGAAAAACCTTGTTGAGTAAAATTACAAATTCATGTTTGCCTTTGGAAGGCAACACTGTAAAAAAGCCAACTTAACCAAAGGCTTAATCAGCGTTATTATGTGAGTTGAGTGGACATCAAAAGGACAAACATTTGAGCTAATATGTTAAAGTTTGATTTTCAGAATTGCTTGTTTCAATACCTGTGTGTTTGCATTGACTGGTTGATTAATCTAATACTACACAAAAATAAATAATTATTTTTAAAGTTCCAATTGTTGGATATCCTCACATTGGCTGGATTCCAATAGGAATAACCCATCACTTTGTAAGCCAGCATAATGTGACTTGCAGGTTTGATGTGGACTGTAAACCAGGAGTTTCAGACCACTGTGTTAGGTGGGTCAATTCAATGTCTATTCCACGTTGGTTCAATGTAATTTCATTGAAATTACGTGGAATTAACGTTGATTCAACCAGTGTGTGCCCAGTGGATAGGATCTCAAAGAAAGATCTTATGATATACACTTACTATACCAAACATTAGGAACACCTTCCTAATATTGAGTTGTTTGTCCACAGAACAGCATCAATCCGTGGGGGCATGACTCTACAGGGTGTCGAAAGCATTCCACAGGGATGCTGGGCCATGTTGACTCCAATGCTTCCCACAGTTGTGTCAAGTTGGCTGGATGTCCTTTGGGTGGTGGACCATTCTTGATACTCACAGGAAACTGTTGAGCGTGAAAAACCCAGCAGTGTTGCAGTTGACAAAAAACGATTTGTCTGACACATACTACCATACCCCGTTCAAAGGCACTTACATTTTTTGTCTTGCCCATTCACTCTCTGAATGGCACACATACACAATCCATGTTTCAATTGTCTCAAGGCTTTAAAATCCTTCTTTAACCTGTCTCCTCCCCTTCATCTACACTGATTGGAATGGATTTAACAAGTAACATCAATAAGGGATCATAGCTTTGACCTGGATTCACCTGGTCAGTCTATGTCATGGAAAGAGAAGGTGTTCTTAATGTTTTTTATAGTCAGTGTATGTAATGTATTGTCATAAAGAGTTTAATTTTCACTGGGAAATATGCAAATACGGTCAAACAAATTCTCAAGTTGAATTGTATGTTCACTCAACCTAAAATTCTAAGTTGAGTGAACATTCAACCTGAGAATGTATGTTGGTTCAGCTATATGCCCAAATGTTAAGCAAACTTGCAATACTTTTGCAGCTGGTTGCCTTACAGTTGTACGTTGAATCAACTTCAATGCTATTTTGTTGAGCAAATTCACAGTCCTACTGCAGCTGGTTGTCTTGTGTTGAATCAATTATTAATTTTTTTACAGTGTAGAGCATATCTGTCAAACTCATTCTATGGACAGCCAAGTGTCTGCGGGTTTTCGCTCCTCCCTTGTACTTGATTGATTAATTAAGGTCACTAATTAGTAAGGATCTCTCCTCACCTGGTTGTCTAGGTCTTAACTGAAAGGAAAAAGCAAAAACCCACAAACACTAGGCCCTCCATGGAATGAGTTTGACACCCCTGGTCTAGAGTGAAGCGCTACTTTGTTTATGATCCTCTCTGAAATACACAGTCCCACTCATGGCCCTACCTTTGGGCCCAGCTTGGCCGACTGGACCAACAGGACCAAGAGATCCTGATTCACCAGGAGAACCTGTGAGAACAAACCCAAATTGATGATCATTTAACTCTATTTTACCTGGTAAGTGGACCATGTGGGTATGCAGTCTATATAGATTAGGAAAATCTTAATTCACACCCTACCTTTATCCCCCTTCTCTCCAAACCCTGAAGGTCCTGGCTCCCCTCTGGGCCCTCCAGGCCCCTCTCGGCCCCTGAGCCCTTGTGGCCCCTCAGCTCCATGGTCACCTACACACACATGCACATGTGTAAGCATGCATATAGCTTGACTTGTAACCCACTTGTTTAAATGGGTCCATATTAGCTTATTGATAAATGCTGGTTACAAAATGAATCCACACACGTAAAAAAAAGAAGGGTTAACGTTATTGCACCTTGACTTCCTTTTTGTCCTTTGGGTCCTTCGTGTCCTGAGTGACCAATGGCACCTGGAGGACCTGAAGCCAAAGGTGAGAGGTCAAAAATGTGTGACATAAGTACCAAGTTATTCTTAAAAGTGATACTGTACTGTACTGTCAATGAAACTAGTCCTGAACCAGCATAATGGTAACTTCCACATCATACCCATTGTCCTTACCTGGCAGTCCTGGGAAACCATTGTCACCTGAAACAAAGCAATTAAAGTTTACACACTTGGTGACAGCGAATTTCAAAATAAAGTACATTACGTTTCTTTATGTCTTAAAAAAACAAACCTTTAGTTCCATGATTCCCTGCATCGCCTGAAGCCAAGTAAACAGAATACATTAAACAAAGCGGGGAGAGCATTGAGACAGAATAACGCCTTAAAGTATCGGTGTAGACACAATTCTTTGAATATCCTTGGTTTAACAATTATCTCCATTGTTTGTACTTGCAAAATACACATACTGACAATATTGTCACAGGAGATCTTACCTTTAGGTCCCGGCTCCCCTCTGTCCCCTTTCATTGACGAGGGAAGAAGGGCTGTGAAACAAAATAACAAAATAAGCACAAATAATAATAAATTTAAAAAAGCCCACTGAATTCAGTAAATATTTAGAACATGTACATATACCATAAATGGTGAATGTATTTCTTATGTTCTAGGTCTAGTCATCTTCATGTGTGTACAATACCTCTGAATGACTGAGACTGCATCTCAGCCCTCAGTAGTTGCTGGATGGTCCTCTGGAGGGCAGCATTGTCTGTGCCAGTTCCCATGCCAGTGCCCATCCCCATGCCCAGGCTGGTATCCAGGTTCAGGGTGTTGTCGGAGCGGGCCGCGCCCCCAGTGTCCATGTAGGTGCCAGACTCGAGGTTGTGGATGTCGTTAGCGGAGACTGACAGCCGGCTGGTGCGAGCAGCGGTGGAGGTAGACTCAGACTCCAGAGCTGCCACTCGAGACTTCAGATTCCTCACTTCCTCCGCTGTGGAGGGACACAGAGTGTGAGAAATGTTTCTAGCAGTAAAGATGATTGTATAAAAGTTCACTATGTACGGTATCCCTACATGTTTTGACCGTATTATGTGCATTGGTTCTAGTTACATCTTAATTATACAGATGTAGGATCTTAATTTTATCACACTTTAGTTGCAGAGAATTTTCCTGCGCTGCAGTAAATGCAGATGAGCTTCGTGATTTACATACATTCACTGAAAAATTATTTTGTTATGACAATACTGGTCAAATTAAGATCCTAAATCTGTAGGTCATAGGGTCAGGTGAAACTCTTGTCCCTAAGCATGACTGACCCAGGGCAATGAGTCCGAAGAGCAGGCCCAGGAGCAGCAGGGAGAGCAAGAGCAGTCCTAGCAGCCACTTCCACCAGGAACAGCAGGAGTCCACACACCCACAGCAGCCCCCACCTCGTCCTCTGCTGCTGTAGTAGTCCCCCTCTTTCTGGATCTCTGACAGGGAGGGGGAACAGAGAATATGATGGATGGGCTATGGATGAAGTGTGAGATACCAATGGCCAACTACTGAAATATTTAAATCACAAATACCTGCATATGTTGCTTTGTCTTTTGTTGACACTAGGGGTGATCCATCTAAGGGAAAAGATAGTGTTGTATCAGCAGCATTCACTGCAGTGTGTGTGTGTGTGTGTGTGTGTGTGTACATATAAACATGGTGCTTACAGTATGAATTGGACTCAGACTTCAGAAGGACTGGTGCAGTCTCACTATAGCTGGTCACCATCTTCTCCTTCTTCAGAGAATCACCAGATAGTGAACCTGTGATAACATACACATTATTAGTTAATATCCCCTCAACATTAAAAAGCAGTGAATACTCCGATATTGGAGGAGCTGTCTTACCCCCAACACTGCGAACACTGCTAGTGAAGTGTTTTCCACTGTCTTTAGCCAGGGTGAGCACTTCAGTATCTTTCTTGACTGGAACATTCTCCTTCTGCAGCACAAGGTACTTTAAGTCTTTCCTGTATGCGTCATCAGTGTGAGACCTCAAAGCGGACACTATGGAGGAACACAAATCAAAATAGTCCTTTAAAAACATGATAAATTGTCATAAACATGGTTCTCTAATTCCGTATCACAAAGTCTATACATTAAGTTCAGCAATCCTCTAAACTCTAGACTTACTTGCAGAGGTTGACACTCCTGTGCTGACGAGACCACCCCCATTCGATATGTTCTTCTGCACTCCATATCCTGCTTGCCCGCGCACACACACATAGGGTTAATTCCATTACTGTCTAAGTCTGTTAAAATGTATACATTCTTCATACTCTCTATATGATTAGGAAGTTCTATTATCATACCTGTAAAAGTGCCTGAATGTGCATTAACTCCACTGGTGGTGAGGACACTACTTGACGTGGGCGCCAAGTTATTCTGGAATCCATACACTGCAGCAGAGTCACAAACAACACACAGAATTATACTCAAAGCTATGAGGCTGTATGTCAAAACAGAACATTTTCTTTACATTTTCTGAAACATGAAAGAATGCACTAGAAGAGCGCTTGCTTAACTGTGAGGTGAACATATACACCCAAAACTATTTACTGAGTTCAGACTAACCAATAAAAAACATACAGTAGTACCAAATATAACTAACTGGGGGGGGGGGTGGTGCTGTTCTGAAGCCAGCATCTGCCGTCTTATTGGATATAATTGAATTGGATCCAAATTTGGTTGCCCTAACTTGCCCAGTCCATCATCCAGAGTGCTGCTTAGTGCTCTCATTGGTTGTCTCACCTGACAGGGAGGAGGGTGAGGTGGTATTGAGCAGAGAGGACCCCGAGCCTGGAGACATGTTGTTGGTGTTGCTATGGTAACCGTAGGCGCTGCTGCTGCTGCTGCTGCCGGTGGCGGAGGAGATGGGCAGTGTGGAGCTAGTCCAGGAGTAGGAAGAAGGTAGGCCAGAGTCCAGGGTAGTGGTCTCATACTGCCCAGAGACTAGAGGGACCAGGGAAGAAAGAGTCTGTAAATTGAAGCTTTTAAGAGTTCATATAGGAGATAGGGGGACGGCAACAGCAAAAATCATCTCCAGCCATAAATGTATGATAAACCATAAGGGAATAAATAAATATCATCTAACCATTTGACTCTTGATCCTGCAGGTGTGTGTTCTTGTTTGGCATGCTGCAGGTGTGTGTATTTGGTCTGTGTGTGAGCTGCGTAGCCTACCTGACTGGGAGGCCTCAGTGACGATCTTGGTCTCGACGGTGGCCTTCCTGGGGACAGGCAGAGTGGAGGAAGTGGAGGAGCGGGTGGGGCTGACACTGTTGGAGCGTCCTCCCTTCACCAGCCTCTTCACATCATCCAGCTCAGTCCCTGTGTGGAAGTCAACTGAGTCAGTACTGCTATTACTGAAATGGTAACCTCCCATCACAACTGATCCACTAGATCAAAATTAATCAACTAAAATGGTGTCCAAATAGCTCTGCGAGATAAAAAATAAAAAATGTAACTCCCCATGCTGCTATACATTCCCACACAATATCTAAAAAACAACAGCATGACATATATTTGATTAATTGTGTCTAGAAACCATCTCCCTGAAACTCACATCTGCCAGCACTGGGAGAGGCACTCTGCAGTCTGGCTCTGATTTCACTCTCTGGAATATAAAACACATTATTATTACTGCTGTTTTATAGTCACCTTGTAATCAGCAGTAAGACAGAGTTAGGGAGGAATAGAGGTGAGTAAGCAGAAATAAATAGAAGTATTGGTATACCTCTACTCTGGCTCCTCCCTATTCTAGTGGCACCTGACCCTGCTGAAAAGAAACACACACATTGATATTATGTCGATTTTGATGAAGTTGGATGTTATTGAAATGTCAGTATGATCTCTATAGTCACAATGCATCTACAATACTCATATAAATAATCCTAAAATGTACTGATATAAAACAGTTACCATAGTCTTTCCGTGTAAACTCAGGGGAGGAGTTGCCACTAGAGCTTCCTGAATGAAAACAGGTCAAGACAGATTAGCCATTGGCACTGACACACATATAGAAGCTGCACACACACACACGCATGCACGCACACACACATACGTATGCACGCACACACACACATATCAGAGGAGGCTGGTAGGAGGAGCTATAGGAGAACGGGCTCATTGTAATGGCTGGAATGGAATCAATGGAACGGAGTCAAACTCGTTGTTTCCATGTGTTTGATGTTTTTGGTATCATTCCATTGATTTTATTCCAGCCATTACAATGAGCCCGCTCTCCTATAGCTCCTCCCACCAGCCTTCTCTGACACACACACACACACACACACACAATCAACAGTGTGATTGGCAGGACCCTCCCTCACCGTCGTAGCCTCCTGAGCGACTGGCCATACTCTTCCTTTCCAGGAAGCCAGGGGATAGACCCCCAGGCGAGGCCGAGTTCTGGGCCCTCCTGGAGCCCCCTGACGAGCTGCACTTCACCTTTGACCCGGAGCTTCCTCCGTACACTCCTCCATAGCCTGAGCCACCCCCACCTCCACCGCCACCACCTCCTCTGCCTCCTCCACCTCCACCACCTCCCCCTCCACCATCTCCACCACCCTCAGAGTAGTCCCCCAGGTAGAACCCTGGTGAGGAGCTGGATCCTCCGGCATTGACACCCACAGAAGCTGGAGGGGCAGAGAGCACGGGTTAATCCCCCTAAGTATTTTCACTCATAGCCTAATGTCCACGTTCCAGTTAAAAAATGTACAAATGAAAATTTTTAAAGATCTATTCTCACATGAGGAAAAGTTACTTCCGCAGCTGTTCTGGGTTAAAATGTTCTTTTCCAACCACAGGCCTCCAGCACTGCTGGACATAGTCTTGTGGGTACTACTTTTTGATCCACTGCCACCCTCTGGTAGATAAAGAGATACATGGCAAATTCATAGGGGCCACGTTCTTAAACAGTTCTTTCGATGTGTTAGAGCAGTCCCAACTCTCCAAATTTTTACAAAAACTTTGTGTGGAATAATAATTGAATTATTACAAAATCTGCATTACCAATACCTTTAATCAAACAATTTAACAGTTTTGGCGGGAATGAAATAGTACAGAAAACTTACTTGGAGGTAAAGATACCAATCTACTTGTAGTTTCTGTCACAACTGGAGACAAAGAGAAGAAGATTACTTACAAATGTGTATTCAACTTAGAACATTTAAAGTTCTCCTGCAACAGGGTGATCAAATTAAGATCCTATATCTGTGTGTGATTATCACATTTTACAGTCACAAACAGACACTTGAAAGATAGGGGTCGATTTGGGATTCAGCAGAGGATTTGCAATAACTTTAAGAAACCACTGGGTGACACCCTTTATCTACAATATAGACTGTCCAATTCATTAAATTCAATCAAAACATTCCACAACAACTCCCTGGCCTACTCCCTTCCCCTAGCAACAACCCCCTCTGTGTTCAGGATCTACCAAATAGGTGCAAGGAACATGGTGATGATGACTTCACCCAGCCCACTAATAGACTGGAGATAATTGCTTTCATCCAGACATTTCACATCTGTGTATTGAAGGTGGAATTAGAAGAGCTTATACGGACAGGAATGGAAATGGATATGCAACTGGAAACAAAGTAAATCACATGATGAGCAGTTGGTGACTATCATAGATCTCTACAATACAATAGACGTACCCGTTTTAATAATAAATATCTCAACAAGGTCTACATTAGAACTGTAAGAAGGCAATTCTCACCCTTTCCCCCAGAGCTTCCTCCTGAGTGGTTTCTCTTTCTTGTTGTTAAATCATCCATCCCATGTTATCTGGTGAAGTGAGACCACATTAAGGGAAAATAATATGTCAATAGCATTAGCGTATTAACTGACTTCAATAACTGAGCAGTCTCAAAGCTTTTAGTTGTGTGGTCTAGAAATGTTTTTGTTACCATTGCTGTTTTTTGCTAAAATTAAAGGTTAACACAGAGAATAAACAGCTTCATTTCTTAAAACAGTAACACTCTCAGAAATACAGCACACAAGCCAAATATATGTCTGAGCACGTACTGTACTCATTGATTTCTTTTTTATATCCCTGAGGGGCAGAAGATCACCTCCCCAGTCACTCCTTTCATGAAAGCACTTATAGCTACAGTTCATTACAAACTAGATAACCTCAATTGATGTCAAATAACAACATAATTGTTTACAAGAGTATGAAGTGCAGATTAAACACAGACCGTTAACAACATTTGTTTTGCTTTTCAAAGAGTTATCAGCTAGCAACTGTAACTGATCATTTTACAGTATATACGGATCATTTTACAGTATATACGGATCATTTTACAGTAGATACTGATCATTTTACAGTAGAGCCTGAAAATTGGCCTATTTAAAGTTTCCTCTTGGTTTAGTTAACATGCACAGCACAGCATTATCGTTCTTACAATAGAAATTCGAATCACACAAACAGTTCACAGGCCTACTCCGACAAATCATATTAGGTATTAAAGCGAATTCGGGGGTAGTCCTGACTGGGATTCAAACCCGGGTCCAGTGACTGTCAACCCTTAGCCGTTACGCCAAGAGATCCAAACTTCTTGACGAGGTCAATAGGTGTTGGGTTAAGGTTGCTAGGTGTTCGGTTAAGGTCGCTACCCCCTTCATTCCGGAGAGTGTGTCCCCGTGATCTCTATACAAAGTCCCGCACATGTACACACCTCGCTGATGGTCTCATGGGCGTCATCCCTCTTCCGACACCAATGTAGCAAGTTCAGGGTAGCCCCGACTGGGCCTCAAACCCGGCTCCAGCGACTGTCAACCCTTAGCCGTTACTCCAAGAGAGCCAAACCTCTTGACGAGGTTGCTAGGTGTTGGGTTAAGGTCACTACATTGTAGAGGACCTGGATTTTCAGATATGCCTTCTAGTGCAGGCATTACATGTCATACAGAGAGCATCCATAATTATTGTAAGGAGTAGCCTAGTTTGGTGATTTACAAGCAGATTCATTAAGCTTTTTGAACTCATACCCCCTAAAAATTTGGTGTTTGAGACATTTACACATTTACAGTCAGTCATGAAATTGAATAGCATGACTACGTAGCCTACCCCAGGAAAATAACCACAATTCCCAAAGGAGATTGTGTACGCCTGAGCAAGCAGCTTTTGAATGGGCCTGAGGCCTGGGATAAAATTACTTTGCGGTCTTCTTTGGAGATCCCATGATAACAAAAGAACAAAAAACCTGGGAGCATTCTACAGTTCTGAGGACACAAAGGATCATCCTTTCTTACTGTGGGTCGTCTCTATACCACACCCACATCTATAGACTTTAGACCCTAATCTATAGACCTATTATGATTTACTATAATTTCCATTTTATTAGGTTAGGCTACTGTACATGTAGCTTCAGTTTCTGTGTCCCCACATTCAACTCCAATGTCCTTAGTCAAAACTGAACGTGCTAAAACAGGGACCAAAATATCTGCTATCATTCTAAAATAGGGCATAAACACCGCACAAACTGCACATCTCAGAACAGGTTTTTGGTCATTGAATAACATAGTTACATCCCTGTTAGACTGTTATAGCAATAACATTCATTCTGTATGAATGCTTATTAATAGCCTATGCCTGCGAGATTAAAAGGCTTAGCCTTTAAAAAAATTAAAAAAAGAATAACAAAGTATTCATTTAAGCGAGCCTGTCACACTTTTTTAGCTCAACAATTTCTTCAAAAGAAAAGGTCCTATGCCTTCCATAAATGTAGTTGTGACATTCAAAATACAGCAAATCACAATTTAGAAAACCTGCAAGTGCAGTCAATGTGTATCTTTACACTGTCTCAACCAAGGAACTAGACAATAGTCGAAGAGAGTCCTACAGAAGAAAGTGATACACCAATCTAAAAAATTATAGGTGTCCTAATGCCAAGGTATTTTAAAGTTAGTGATGCCTAAGCCACACAACCATAATTAACCTGTTGTCTTTGTGTCTTGGGGAACTAACTACTTCTGAATTATCAGAACAATATGCCTTTTAAAACCTGCAAGTTCATCAAACAGTCAAACAACAAAAACATTGATCATCATCAAGTGGACCCGTGGCATACCTTTAGTGCATGTCAATAGGAGAATCTTCAGTCAACTTCTGAAGAAGAGACGTGTCAAATAAAATTTACTAAAGCCCCCAGATAGTCCAACTGATATCCGTCAGGTAGTGAATATTGTTGATGTTACTGTTGCAAGGTAGTGAAGTGGTTTGTCCTTATACCTGCCTCTTTTTTTTTTTTCTCTCAACTTTCTCAGGCAAGTCATAACAGGGCAATGGGCTTTTGTCCCAACCCAACCGCACCCATCACCGTTGCTGGGCAGGTAACATGTAGGCTACCCAGCACGGCTTGAAAGAAACAGTGCCCTCGGGAATGACCAATTAACTTTTCAATCACACTCAAAACATGTACATACTCGGAGATGGGAGGTTGAGCAGCATCTAGAGACTCTAGAGCCTTTTCCTGTTAAAAAGCAAACAAAAAATCTGCTTTTGGATCGTTTTTCTCTTCTTTAGACTGTGCAGTTATTTAAATTGATTTGACATTCTAGCTACTTTATATTTTTAATTCTAAATTAACTTTTTCAGACTTATATATACATTTCACACACACACACACACACATACACACACAGACACACACACACACACACTAACCTCCCATGCCTGAACAAGACCTACTTTAATACTGATTTATAAGTTACAGAAACATGCAGTTAACTTCACTATCATAAATTGGCACTATTCAATACAACATTTTATTTCCCTACAGGGTCTTATAAATTGGCTTATATAGAGCTACTGTGTGTATAATGTTCCATAACCTAGCTAGCTATGCTTTGTTGTTGATTGAGAATAGGGAAAGAAAAACGTGATAACAAAGGCTGATTGAATTGTGTGTTCTACCAATGTCCATTGAGTCCAATATAACAAGATGGAGCATGTGCAAGTGCATTTTCATTGATTCCTTATTGCTGTGAGGGGAAGGATGAAACAAATTAGGATGTTTCATTAGGGAGGTTGCCCAGGATCCCGGCAGTCACAAGTCTTCTCCTCTGCTGTCCTGAGGGTTTGGTTGGCTGTCACCCTGCTCTCCTCAGGTGGGTACCAGTTTCCACCCACCACACCCTCCAGAAACAAGCACCCACCCTGTATGACTCATTACAGGATACACCTCTTAATCTGCAATTATCAAAGAAAACTCATTGTGCTCTTGAGCCTTTGAATGATGAATGATTCACAGGCTTGAATGATGCATTGCTGAGAAATCATTGTTTGCTCCAAATTGGCTGTTTAATGTCAGTAAAAAAAATGTGTGGTACAGTGGCTTGCGAATGTATTCACCCCCCTTGGCATTTTTCCTATTTTGTTGCCTTACAACCTGGAATTAAAATAGATTTTTTTGGGGTGTATAATTTGATTTACACAACATGCCTACCACTTTGAAGATGCAAAATATTGTTTGGGGTGAAACAAACAAGAAATAAGACAAA